GGCCGATGCAATAAATACTTCCAGTAGCGTAGCTGACCAGTATATCCTGCAGTAACGTTCGGATGATTGAAGTTACACTTTTATTGGTCCACGTAATTTCTGATATTGGGCGCAAGTTGTGTATCCACCAACTCTTCAAATTCGATTATCACAAAAACAAAGCGTCGTACAAAAAAAATTTTATTCTACATTTTTTATTACCTTTTGCATAAGGAATCCACCTTCTGCCCTCGTATATCATTTCCTTTACAAATCCACCTTGCGAACCATCGTTCGATTCCCATGACACACGTCCCGTGTCGGTCGCTAAATTATTTCACCCCATTCCTTGTTCCTAATATTTAATCACGTTTCTCGGCTGTCCGCGCTCATTGTGCCCGAGTCACGAGAATTTATTGACCGTCGTATATTACCAACCCCGTCCATCCGTTCCACGCCACCAGACACACGCGCTGGTTACTTTTGTTTCCTCCCCGTGCGAGATATGTTTCGGTCGGACAGCAATGAAGGGGTAGGATGTGTGATCGATAAAACGGGGAATGAAAGCTGACGGATTATGATTTCTTATCGGGCGAAACATTTCGCATAAGGGAGATGATCCTTACTGATCACGTCACGTAGAATGTTGCTGGGACGCGATCGGGAAGGGAAGAGTTGTCCTTCACTTAACGGAATTTTTGTTTGTTTGTCTTCTCGCTCTCGGGATTAACGAACCGTTTCACCTAGAGGAGTTTGTTTTTCGGAAAATATGAAAAGTTTTGTTGAGAGATTGGTTGAAGAGGGGTTGATCTGACTTTGAAATGAGATCGATTGCCATTCACGATTGGATAGTATTGAATACTATGAATATTGTTGGTGTCAATTATACTCGAAAGTTATATCGTTTTTGTATGTAGATTACTATAGAGTGAAACGGGAACATTCTTAAAATTCCGATTGTAACAACTATACAAAATTCTCAGATCTCACCAAATGTTCGAGCACAATTAAAAAGTAAAATCAAAGTTGCGACATCGTCTAAGTGCAGTACAAACACGTTCAAACGGTGAAATCAAAGTTTAAATGCATTAAGCACGTAGCTAATCTCTCGCAGAGCAGACAAGAGAGCGCGAAACATTCTTGGCAATCTTCCGTAAGAGCGCCAGGCGAGATCAAACAACACAGAAACGTTGTCCGTTAGTTACAAAGGATCCTCGAAAGCTAAACGGAGCGTCGCGAAAACTTCTTACAGCGCGTGTTTACACGTAAGAGATCGCGCTCTCGAACGTCGAATTAATCGGATCTTCGAACCTGCAACTCGGAAACTTTGGGAGACGTAAGAACACACTTGAAGCGACCTAATTGCACACTGTCCGCAGAAAAAAAAAACGGGGACAACTTGGTCGTTACCCGTTTTAACCGAATCTTCGAACCAATCCGGCCCACTTCCAATTACTCGAGGTCGAGGGGTTGTACGAGAGTGCCCCCCTTCCTTCCACGAAAGAGTCACGCGAGTACAGAGCGATTAGTTCAAAGATTTACGAGTTGGCTGGTTTTATGGGGACTCTGTGGCAACGTTAACGAGAAAGGAAAGTTTCCGTTGTACTTTCCTGCGATTAGATGTTGAAAAGCCAGAGTTAGCCAGGATTTTATTCAAATAATACATACAGTCTGTCTGATAAGAGCGTGACCAGCAAAAGTTTTACCTGGATGCTGTAGTGAAAAGCAACACTATCTAAGAGCGTGATCTTGACTTTTAAACAATTAATGAGATTGAGTACTTAATTGTTTGCCAAGTGCCTACTCGTTCAAGAAGATACTCTTTTATTATAAAAATTGGAACTTTCACGTCTAATCGATAAAAAATGACGAATTACTTATTTTTATCTTTTATTCGTTATTCGAAACTCTTCCATTCGGACACTGAATTTGCAGATCTCTGTGAAAAGATGATGACAATGATCGCACGCGACCTCTTCTAGCCGAATGCCTTTTTCAGCCTTTACACTCGGAGGAGCTAGCCAACAGAGATCGGGGCACGTTCATTCAATGTAACAGCCGGTTACATGTGTAACCGTGGCACGGAAACGGTCTTTGAAGTCGATAGAAAAGTTTCGCTGGCTTACACACGGCTTTTTCGAGCGATGAATAGAACGATAGGAAGCAAGAGGAACAAAGTGGAATTTAACGGAGAAAGAGAGAGTACACTTTGAACGATTAAACGGCGGATGTTCGTGCAAGATCTCATTTTATTATTTAGAATTAGACCAACTTGTTTATCCGTGCACTTAAACGCGGAGCCATAGATTGGATCTTAATTGGTTCCGCTTTGCAGCAGAGAAAATGTATTTCCGTTTTTAGAAAAGACCTGGTCGAACACTCGTAAATTAGCTGACATCGAATAATGTTAAAATAGAAGAAACTTGGAATATTTCGTGTGGTTAGGGGAGAATTATCTCCCTATTAAGGATCTTGGATAATTTTGGATAGTTAATGTTATTATTGAAAGATTGTCAATACGATCAAATGATTTCAATCATAGGAGATCAAGAGAGGTAATTACTTTATTCAAATATCTAGTATTGTGTATTTTTGTATCTCATGAAATGTTTCTATTTTATATTTAGTCTTACACAATATTTCAAGTTTCACTCGTTCTTACAGCAAGAGGAATAAATTCTAAGTTCGCAGCCATTAGCTCAGTATTACCCTCGATTTACAATATATTACAATACTTCACCGCAGGTGACAGTGATTGCCCGGATCTCACCACGGGAGTATGTTTCTATTTTATATTTAGTCTTACACAATATTTCAAGTTTCACTCGTTCTTACAGCAAGAGAAATAAATTCTAGTTCCTGCGAGCGGAGACCCAAAGGAAGATAGATGGAACCCGATCCCATCGATGTAACCGCAGTTACAACGGTTACATTGGTCAAAATAAAAAACATTCCTTCACAACGATAACAACAATTCTTTTACGACATATTATAACCGTCACTTTGTCACTGCATAAATAATTCAGACAACCGCGTTCATCGAAGTGTCACCGACGACTCAGCCACAGAAACGTGAGTGACACCGCGTTACAAATAATTCCTAGCTTATATTGCACACCGGGAAATCCCAGTTGCAAAATTTCTTTTCGCTACTGCACTCCAGAGCATCAAAGCTAATAAAAAGTTGGTGCACCGTTCTCGCGAATTTCCCGCGTCAAACTTTTTCATTTCCCTTTCCCCGTCGAAAATATGAATTGAACAACCTCGTTTAACGATGTCCCCTTTATTCCACAACGGATTTCAAGAAAAATCGTGAAACCCGGTTCATTCAAAGTACCCAGCGACCGTATTCACCGAAAAGCCACCCATCGTTTGCTGCGTGAATTCGAACCAAGACTACTATGTCCGCAAAATTTGTCCCATTTCGCATCCCCCAAGAACCCGTTCATGTCGCATCGAAATTACCCCCACTTAATGAGATTTTTTTACAAAGTTCGCATTTAGGCCAGCCACCGTTCACGGTGGAAAATAGAGATGCATTCGGGGAAAGGGAGTTGCTTTTGGAGGCAGCTCGCGGCGGAAACTTTCGAGGCGTTTTATAACTTCGTCCCCCCACTTGTGTAAAAGTCAAATAAGGAATCTAGAATGTTTTATGCGTCATTTTACAGCCGTGTGGAACGGTTCCACGTGAAAGTTCTGTCTTCAACCCCTCGTGAAATGCAATTTACGTTTTTATCAATAGAGGACAGTCTTGAATGATCATATAACTGAATAATTATTACTGTAAAAGCACAACACATTTCCAAAGTTGAAAATTTACAATTTTTCTTAAATTGATTCCTTCAGAAACGTGCTGGGAAAAAAAACGGTTTGCGCATTCGTATTTAGCTCATAAAGATCTATCAGAAGCTCCTACCGATGGCTATGAGGTATTTTACTTGTTGAACAGTGTTATTGAATTGATTACCACATCGGTTACGATTCGTCACGATTCACCGAAATCTCCACTTTAATTGCAGGTGAACCACCACCAGTCGACGACGTCACACTGGAGGCTTCCCAGCGACGAAAGCCAGGTCCGAGTTTCCGTTTCCCCGTTATCCCGTGAATTAGCACCGGAGCCGGGATTAATTAATGCGGGAATCGACGTGGCAGTAATTATCGTTGACAGCTGGGACCTACGAGATCGATCGATCGTTCGGCGGACGACCAAACGAACGAACACGTCCATTTCCGTGGTAATCACCGTTTGTCGAGGACTGGAAACATCTTTCGAAAAGGTACGACTTGATACCCAAAAGGAAAAACAATTCTCCAAGTCGCCTGAAGGTTGAAAACATCCTCCGAAAAGGCACAACTCGACCCAAACGGAAAAAAGAAGAGGCAAAGACGAATAACCTCGCGAGAACAGAATCGAGGGTGGAAGGTTATTCGAAACTGTCAGGGGGGAAGAAAACCTGTGAAAAGGGCTGAGTATGGGGGTGAGAGCATGACAAACTTCGACGGGGAAGCGGAACTCGAGGAAAAAGCGACGTGAAAATGTCCACGATCGAGGGGTGAAAGGTCAAAGGGAAAGGAAAAGTGCAAGAAACCACTGGAAAAACGGTTTACGAAGGGCTCGTTGGGGGTTATGGCGAGGTTTCCGGTGATGTCCACCGTGAAAAGGGAAGAGGTAGCCCGATATATATAACCGAGAAAAGGATAAAGACAGAAACAGGAACCGTCATCGATCGCTGGATAAACGGTAAGGTGGCGAAGTGGAGGGAAAGGTAAATAGCTCGGTTAGGACTGTGAAGGCGAAACGAAATCGCGAAAAAAGAAACGAATTCTGGCCAACGAAGGGAGGGGAAGGAAGTTGGTAGACATCCGACGGAGATCTAATAACACAGCTCCAGGGTGAACGGAGGTTGGGGGGTTAGTATGAAGAGAAAGAAACAAGATTAAGTGGCCCGAGCACGAATAGAGCGGGTGGGAAAGGGGTGGCAAACAAGGACGTTGGATGAAAGAGGGTCGCACCGATGAATAACCGCGTCGCGAGCTGGTGGAAGCATGAGATTTCCGAGTGGCTGTCCAACACCCCGCCACGACAAAAGTGCTCGGCACCGCGTTACAACGACGAGAAGCGTCTATCCCGTGTCACGTGTACGGTGGATCCATTGAGGGACGAAAATGGGTGCCAATCAGTCGACCAGGAACCTGCCCACCCCCGGCGAAGAAGGTGAGTAGTATACTCTCTCTTTCTGTATGTACAAACCTCCACCTAACGATTCTGCGAACGCGAGCTAAACTTTCTGGGTAAATAGGACTCGTCGGTTGATTGATCCAGTGGAGGTGGTTTTCGCGCATCGGGCAAAATTTACTCGTGTGGCTTCGGCTAGGTGTGAAAGATCCAGCTCGTTGTACATGGAGGACGTTTATTTTGGTCCATGGGGTACGTAAGCTTCCGGGGATCAGTTTAGTATACATATAGAGTGTATCACCTAACGTGAGCACCTTTGATATCTCACTTGTTTTTGAAGATACAAAAAATGCGAGGTATTATTTGATTAAAAGGAGAAAATACTATAAGTAAAAATTTGTCCAAAAAAGTTACTAAACAATTAGAGAAGAATTGCTCCCTTTATATTTATACATTTAAAAAACGACGATAGTTACTCTTCAGTGATCAGGAACTGAGTCCGTAACGGTATTGGGTTGTTCTGGTCGGAAGATATATCGTCCGTTCGAATGTTTCGTTGAGGGAGGGTAGTTTGAAGACGAATAATAGACCCTTAGAAGGTGGATATGGTTTCCCCTTTAGTTGGATGTCCGAAATTGTAGAAAAGGGAATCAGAAGACGTATGCTCCTTTTTCGTAGGGTTTGATTAGGATTGAATAGCTGTTGATTGCTTGTCGATTAGACGTGATGGATGGAATCGATTAAATATGGGGTTTCAGCTGTGGATATAGCTGGCATAGTCGACCTAAAGGCATGTTCACGCGTTGAAATAATTCCTGTAAAGTGACTTGTGCGTTGACATTCGAAAAACACGTTTTTCTGAATTTACATCACTTTCCGTAACAAAGACGCGATATACAAATGACCGTTCAGAAGCTCGTGCCAAAGCCACGTTGCGTCGTGAATGGCGGTTATACCACGGAAAATCGTTCCCTGAATACAGCACGATAATTAGGTCTTGTACGTCGGATGTTCGAGATCGAGGGAAGCGATCGCCTCCCTTCCAAAACTTGGAAACCCGCCCAAGTTTCTCCATGTCCCGTCCGTTGCGTTGAAACTCGCTCTCGCTGAACACCCCCGCTCGACGGAATACGCCGAAACGATTTTAGGTAGCCAGGCTTTCCCGACATCGACGACGACGATAAACTTCGTCAGTCACGGGGCTGCCTGGAGTTTACCGATCCTCCCCCCCCCCCCCCCGTTAATTGGTCCTTTGTGTGAGACAATCGCGACTACGTTGCCGCTCGATCCTCCATCTTCTACAGGATTGTTTCATTGTTCCCGCCACCGCAAGTCGGATATATATCTTGTTTGATTTTTGAACCGATTTCATCAATCTCTGCCAGTCACAGTAGGAATTTTACGGTTTGTTGGTAGCTTTGAAACTTTTTGAGAATTTCGAGGGCAAAATGGAATTTCTGTTAAACAGATTTCAAATCTACGAATCATTAACAGAATCTCATTTAATTCAAAAGTTCGTTTATCCGTGAAGTCACGTCTTCCCATTAATCCAGATGATCAATATTCCTAGTAACTACTAAAAACTACCCACTCCGTATTAGTCGAATGGGAATCGAAAAAAATAACCACTTTATCATTACTTGCATGAACGTAATAAATAACGTTTCCAAGATTATTTAATTAATGAACTTCCTCTGTTCCAGTAAACTTCGATCACTTTCAAATTCTACGCGCCATCGGGAAAGGAAGCTTCGGCAAGGTACGATATAAACTGTTAAATATTGCCCTTTTAATTAAACCAGCCCGCCTTCTTTTCAAGCCTTGACGCTGTTACGCGCCGAATGCGAAATTTAATTATCCTTTAATACATATATACGTTCATCGTTAACGATACCGATGCCCGTTAATATATGGAATTTCGAATTCGTATTCTTTGGTAATCGAGCCAAAGATTAGGTTAATTATAGCACAATATCAGAGGTGACATGGGCATAATACCGTAAATTGTTCCATGGGAATACGATAATCAACAATAATTAATTGGAAGCACGTACATAATTCGTTTGTGAGCCCTCCCCACGACGTGTAACCGAACATCTGCCGTAAAGTTGATTATTATCGTTTTGTGTTTATTAAATACGGTTCGTCTGTTGCGCCCGCGAATTGCTCGCGTAATTAATTTTGTCGACAGGATACGCGAATTTATGTACTTATATTCGGAAACATTATCCCCGTGTTTATATGTCGACTTTATTCGCATATGCGTAAAATAACATTTTTTGTTCGAAACTATGAACATTTTTCAACGTTTAATTACGTTATTCGCGAAGTTTGATTAAATTGGGGAGCACCGCAGCTATCCTTCCATCTCTCTTTACACGCGAGATAACTACCCCCCGTGAACTGGAAACGATTTTGTAATTAACCCTGTTCTCGTCGATGAACTGAAATATTTGGAATTTTTTTGTAGATTTTATGAACTTGCGACGAACACGATGGACCGTATAAATGTATTTTAAATAGCATAGTTGGTCGCAGTAACTACCCTCGATTTTTTAAATTCACCGTCCAGTTATTACCCACCCTCTTTTTGAATATGAATGCTCTACATTGTTTTCGAATTACAATATATCTATCTCTTTTGAACCATGCAAGAGCGACTTTTTTTATAGGAGGAACAGTTAACAGTCCCCATTATCCTGTAGTTTTTACTGTAACAGTGAAAATCCACAAATTCTAATCTGAAAATTTCCACCATCGACTGTCTCCAAGTTGCACTATATTTTACTCCTCTTTTTTGTTACACGTCACAAAAGCGTAACTTACTTTTATGAAATAATTAACTACCTTCCGACTGCAGCGGCTGCTTTAATTCATCCAGTCTGTAACGCTCCAAAGAATCTTTAAATTATTACCATCCACTGTCTCCAAGTCACAGCATATTACTCCTTTTTACGCCAGAAGCAGCGGGAGCATGTTTTCCTTCTGAAATATAGCCAGCTACCCTCTTAGCTACTACCAGCAGTCTTCTATAATTCACCCTCTAGCCATTAACGTTTCAAAATATAAATCTGGAAACGTCCACTTTTTATTTATCCTAGCATTATACGGTATGCGTTTTCCTTGAACCACCAACCATACAAGCATATTTCACATGTGAATAATAGCCAGATATTACTCTAAACCGCTTGTCTTACATTATTCACCCTCCACCCACAACCTACACCCTGACAACCCAAAAACGAATCTGGAAATTTCCACCTTTATCTTCAAAATACACTGCATTCTTCCCCTTTTAAACCACTAAGTAAACGAGTATACTTTATATTTTAAAAAACAAGCTTACCTTTAGTAAACTTACCAAGTAAGCAACCCTTCTATATTTTCTCTGTTCCAAAATTCACCCGTTCCATCTACTAACGACCTAAATCCGAATTTAAACACTTCCACCATTTTATTATTTCCAAGTTACATCGCATTCCCCCCTTTTGCCGCAAACATCCGCCCCTTTGTCCGCTTTATTCCCGAACAACGGCTAATTATCCCCGTACCACACGCGGCCGGGCAACATGAACATTCATAATTCATTCGACTCGATCCGGTAACGGGCAATTAATTATTTCTTAATAGGTGTGCATAGTGCAGAAACGGGACCGTAGCGGGAACATGTACGCGATGAAGTACGTTCACAAGGGCGAGTGCGCGGAGAGGGGCGCGTTGAGGAACGTCGCCCGTGAAGTCGAAATCCTCTCGCGGCTGGAGCACCCATGTCTGGTGAACCTGTGGTTCAGCTTCCAAGGTAAGCCGATCACTTCTGACACGGTAGAACTCGAATTCTCGGATCGTTTCCTCGGTGGACTGGTTAACAGAGGGCGAATGGACGTGACGTTTCGCATCTCCACGACCACTGAAGTCGGGACACTGTGAGAGTGGATTCGCGAATTTGACACCTCTGTGACTTGGTGGTGCCTAGCAATGGGAATTGGTTTATACCTTCTTCTGCCATGCATTAATTGAAACGAACGTATATTTATCGGTACAAGGAGTGACGTTTCCTCGATTAAGGAGGCAGGGTAAAAATACTCCTGGTAGGAAATTATCAACAACCCAACTTTAGATACACTTTTATCCAGAACTACTCAACAAAATTGCAAGTTCTTTTTCTACAGACTGTTATTTTTTGGTATCAGAACAGTTCACAGAAAATTAAAACTAGAGGAAGCAAACATTTTTCTAAAATTTATATAAAAAATTGACAAATTAAACTCAAGGAAGAGCAATGTTTCGAAATATAATGGAGAAAAGTGTACCTAAAGTTTGGTTGTTCTTCTGACAATTCGTTACCAGGGGTATTTTTTATCCTACCCTCTTAAACGAAAGATGATCGATGCAAGAAGACTTATGGTTTACATGTAGTAAGCTATTTTCTTGGTGGAGTCTAGCAGTGGAAGTAAACTTATATCATTTATGAAATAATACAATTTTTTCGGATAAATCGAATCGTCCTATAAAGTGGAATCGAATTATCGCAGTTATCGAGCTTCCAACCCGCCGAGGACGTTACTCGAAAACCTCCTTCCCTCGTTGATTCTCTACTCGTCCCGCTGCTGTTCGATTAACCGCGAAATTTCGCTCCATTAGCAGCTCTACATCCCCTTTCGCGGTTGAACTGTGAATATTTAAACTCTCTTAAAAACTCTTTAATGAGGTGCGCCGCAACTCTGCACGATAGTACACTGGGGGTTCGTTTCCATAGAGCTCATGAAGATTGATGACCGAGAATCCTCCACTCGAAAGAAGAATATAAAAGCAGATTCGTACGGACGCTCGAGGGACACGAGACGTTTGAGTAACGATCGCGTTTGTATGCTCGTGCATCATGCACGATGTCTTCCTCGAATGGTCGTGTGCTTCCTGTCTATTGTTCTCTAATTCCGTATTATAAATCATGGAACCTAACCAATCATTTTTCCAGCGAGGATCACCAGTTGGAACGATACCATTGCTGAATGAAAATCAGGATCCAAATAATTATTAAAGAATTCATTAATAGCTGATTATGGGGGCTTCTCTTCATTTCCAGCAGTCTCGACAGAAATCTTTACTCTATAGTTTAATTACCTTAAATTAAAACATCACAATAAAAACTAAACAGTGTCGCCGTATGTTCTCACAAAGCACACCTTTTGTTTCAGACGAGGAGGATCTGTTCATGGTGTCCGACTTGCTTCTCGGTGGTGACCTCAGGTACCACATCCAGCAGGAAGTGGTCTTTACAGAAGAGAGCGTGGTTCTATTCGTCGCGGAAATCGCTCTGGCCCTCGATTACCTGCAGACCCACAAGATTGTTCATCGGGACATCAAGCCCGACAACATCCTCCTGGACGAAGAAGGTGAGTCCACGCCAAACACCATTAAAAATTCATCAAACGAAAATTTGCTTAACGGTCACAGAAAATTTCATTCCTACATTACCGAGGAAAATCGAAGGAACACATCACGTATCCTTCCGTAAACATCGTTTTACAAACGGTGAAAAACACGAGAAAAATCGTGAATCTAATCGATTTACGAGTGGCCATGATTTCCGTTAGAGACCTAAAAGGAAAAGCTTGTAACGAAACCCCTTATTGTCTTTTCTATTCGACGGTATCAATCGTTAAAACCAAACGAACGCGTAGCGGTTTTGGAAAAAAAAAACAGAGAAATGGAAAAAACCGCTTAAGTTTTCGGTCGAGGAATTTTTTTTCGAGGTGAATCGATTTATTGGAAATGGGAAACGGATTGTGATAGATTGTCGGACGCTATTGTTGTAGGGTGGCCGGTAGATCTAGTGAAACTGGGGGGGGGGAGGGACCTACGAAGAAATTTTCGGAAGGCGAAATTGCCGTTAGTTCCGGTCACCGGGTGGAAGCGGCCGCCGCGTAATTCCGCCATTTGTGCACGGGACCCACGGATGTGACTTTGAAATTCTTGGACCGGAAGATTCGTGGATAAATCATGTTCAACGACTTATTCCGCCATGGCAGCGAAATTCAAAATCAGCACTGCCAACTCCAATGTTTCCCTTTTTTTTTTAAATTTATCTATGCGTTTGAACAGTGAATCTGGAGAAAGTGACGCGTGATTTAAGTGGGAATAATTACAAATAGCGAATATCGACCAAATTTATTGTATTATTGTGGTGGCACATCGGTTGATTCATCAACAATAATAGAGAAGGCTGAAGTTCCAATAACAATTTTCTTAGCTGGAAGAGGCTCGAAGATCTAAAAGCCTTTGGCCGGGTTTATTCGCGGAAGAAAATGAAAATTCCGTCGAGCACATGGCTTTGAACGTAATGAAATGTTGTCAAACGCAAAACACAATATCCTCTTGAATCTTGTGTACCTTTCAGGTAATTACGTTGGTATTCGTTGGGTGACGATGATCAGAAATTCGAATTCAATAAAGGGAATATAGTATTTTGCATATAGTCAAAAAACAAGTATTGCATGAACAATAATATTATTGCATCAAACCTATATCATTTTTGTTGTCTCAGATAACAAAACATTTTCACAGAAATCTTCTCTTTTAAAGCATTTTATCGTCCGATCGAATGGAAAAAAATGTAATACCAAACGAACGAAGTGTGGTTCGATCGAGTGTTTCAGTGTTTCCGTATGCTCGACTGGATTTCCTGGAATCTACGCCCGCCACTTCGCGAAACGCGACGGATTGCGTGGAAAATTGCCGCGAATTGTCAATTGCCGCGGGAAATGACAGGAATGAGGATTCGCAAACGAGCCGCCCCCACGGTCGAAAGCTCGACAATTCGTGATCGTTACGTAATGCGGGCTTGAAAACGTACGTCGAGGATCTGGCGAGCACGAACGACGGGCCGATAATCGAGCCGGATCGTTCTAAATTACCACGGAATTTCGAAACTATCGGAATATTCCTCGAGTTATTGTTAAAGCACAGGTCACGCCGTAACGCGCGCACAAGCAAGCGAGTTAAGGCACATTCTACGGATAACGTAAATCACAGCACGCCCGTTCCAGTTTCGTGTTGGATGCATTATTCTGTTTGCAAATCCGGTGTTTCGCCCGGAAACCACCGGGTATACACGTACCACCGTGTAATTTCTAGGTTACTGTTGCGTTATTACACCCCGTGGAATTGAAATGGAAAGAGAAATCCCGGATAAAAGCGTGTAGAAGAAATAATTTCTTTATCTGTCACTTCGTGGCTTAACGTGATGATAAATGAACACGAACGGAGATTGTGCGAATTGCGTAGTAAAAATTATTATTAGGTCATCTTGGATATTCGTTCCTATTTTTTTGAAGCGATATATCGATATTTAAACCGTTTATTTCGAAAAGTGGTACAAGTCCAACATCGAGAAATTTCATGGCATTATTACTGGAATGTGTTATAAACGAACAGGAAAGGAGATTGTTTTAATTACGAAATAAATTTAGATGGAGTAAAGGGAGATCCCTGCATTGATTAGCGTCCATTGCGTTACGGATATGTTCGTCGCGGGTATACCCGACGATGGAAATGTAAAGTGGTCGTAAATTCAGAGTTCCATGGAACGGATGCACTCACCGAGAATGCACTTCGGTTACTTCGTTTGCATATGAACCGATCTGTTTACATCCGATTTCGACATCGTCTCCAGCAAACCCACCAATCAAACGACTCGAGGACCGATTAAAATGAGCCGTGAGCACGGGATTGCTTCACGGTGACTGGGAGATCGTTATTGTGAAACGTTCTACAATTTCTACAGTTACCTGAGACACTGTATGTCTAATGTCGCTAATTTCCTCCCCCTGTCCTGATATCAATATTTCTCTTCACAAGTATATCTAGTAAGTAGACAAATTAAACGAAGCATTCCGTAACTTATAGAAAGATCGATGATATACATATACTAAACTGAACTCCACTCAAAGGCTGAACTTCGTCCAAATGAAATAACTTTGCCGAGTTTAAGTTCGAGGCGAAGGCAAAGCGAATCCAAAGAGTTTTCTTCAAACGTCCAAGTAATGTACACTTAATAATAATACCCAACGGTAATTAATAAACTGCGGATATTTATGCATTTATAGCAATTCGTAACTTAGAAAATGTAATAAAATGGATTTTTTGTGATATTTAATCAAGTTTATATGGTAATATTAACGTAGTAAAACTTTTTGTACAGAATTCAAACTTTTGTCCCATTTTAATTTCTCGATATTAGTATCGGAGGGACTGTGAATTTGCATAAACTTCTGCAGTCTAGTAATTAAAGTCTCGAATCGCATAGCTTCGATCCTGAATTTCCTTCGGTTGACTCCGAGTTCTGACGGGAGCTGTTTATTTAAACTGAAGATTGATTACGGTTCTAATTGTAATGAGAACTGTCCACTTGTTCGGATAAAGTTCAGTTCGGACTCGTAACTCTGGAGATTAATTACCGTGAAACGAATTACCGTAAAACCCTCTGTGGTTTATGGATTTTCGAGAGAAAAGTCACAGAACCAGATTGCAGCGTTGAGCCACTCACGGGCCAACTGAAGCGTCACTTCGCGACGGTGAACCGAGCGCCATTGTTTGGCAATTCAGCGAAACGACGACCATAGCGAGTTCCGTTCGTTTCTAGTGTTTCGTCGTTAACCGAAATTTCGAGGTCCATGTGGTCCAGGAAATCAATAATATTTTACCTGTAGCCATCGTGCTGCTGAGTAATAACCGCAACCGGGTCGAGCAGCCAGATTATTGCAGGCCGTTACTGTTTGTGCCCCGAACTCTGGCTCCTCGCGAAATTCCCAATTTCACCGAGAATTGTCACGAATGTTTCCAGAAGATACTACCGAAGGCGGTTCGTTAAAACGATTGGAAAGAACGTTGATAGAACAATAAGCGAAATCATTTAAACGTTGATAGAGTGAACTTTAACAGAGTAAACATCGAAACCTCTCCTGTTCTTACAGAATGGTCTAGAAAAATCTCGATTTGCATGAAGATTCACTGTGTTGGCAATTGTATCTTATCGTGATTGAAATTTGAGGAGGATACGGGACACTCCAAAAAGAGTTTACTGTCTGCACGTAGATGTGTCCTATTAACAGGATCGATGTGCCAAGATCAGGAGATTTATGTTTCAAGTTTGGACACTGGAGAACGTCCAACTCGTCTTTCCAGTGCATTTGTATTAATTTACGAGAGAAACGGTATATCGGTCCATTTACTAATTTGAAAGGGAAGATTCGATTGTTTAAAACGATCTACAAGGACGATCGAGAGATTGAATTAATCGAACTGCATCGATGACGTTTTAATATCCTCGAAGAAGGATTCCAATAAGGATGGATAGAGAACCGCTTTCGTGGGTTCATCAAAGGTCAAAGAACCGCCACAATGGAGGACCGCATTATATTCCGGTGACGTAGCGGCCCGCAGATCCGGTCATTTTCCTCTCTCTTTCCGCGCGTTGACTACCAGCGAACTGACTCAGCCTATAAATAATCGTACGGTTTTCATTCGACAACGTGGATCCTGCTTGTAAGCCTTTCACCCTTCGACGTGGATCTCCTTGATCTTGTTCGTTTGTAAATTAACCCCATCAGATCGTGGCGTATACGTCAAATGTCGCGTGTCCCATACTTCATACATAATTACCTTCTATTTTATTTACTAATTGTTCTGTAGTTAATTAGAGTTCTTAATCCACGCAACAAAAATGCCAAGCTTATTTAGTTAAATCTCAACCTCGAGACATTCATGTACCTGAAAATCCTCGATGTATACACGAGGCCACGGACAAGACACGCGTATGACTACCGAGAAGAAGGAATACGTTATAAGTACGCTTCGGTTCGAAGCCCAAGCGAGCTCATGGGATCCTCCAAGGCGGCCGCTCTTTGCAATTGCGTTCTCCGCCATTGGTAAACGCTGCGAGCTCCACGCGTCGTTCAGAATTTCTGAAAAATTGATTCGCGACGAAAGCTCTCGGGGAGAACCTTTGAACAAGTTCGCGGGAAGATTTATTTTTGAAACGACCGAAAAACGATGGCTGAGCCGCTTTCCGAATGAAAAATTGAACGCTCAGGGGATTTCACGTTTTCTCCCGGGGCTTTGATCCTTTAACGCATATTATACGACTTGCTCATAGAATTTATATTAGAAAAATTTCTAGTTCACTTAATGGATTTCATTTGACGCAAACTCATTCGATAAACCGGAGACTAAGCTATGCTTTCTTAATAAAGATTTGTAAGTGGTTATAATTGAAATTTTATTCCTTGATTTAGCTTGTATATTGAATCAATAAAACGTAGATTCTACAGTGATGTATGTCTCTGTAGCAGCGCCAGTGGAGTGCAAAGTGTTAGTAGACTTTTACTAATAAAAATAATTATTTATCGCTGCATCTAACATTTTAGACGTTTACATCTCAGAGGTCTGAAGAAGAACGACTATACGTATTTATATTCATAGAAAGATCGTAAAGGAACGTCGCGTCAGACGAATCGATTCAGACGTGAAACGAGGAGAAAAAATAAAAGGGGGGAAGCGCGGTTGAATGTAGCACAGCATAAGAACCCTGAGGAACGTGCAACCCTAATTTCCCGGTGCACTTAGCCGACAGCTGTTTAAACCGTGGAATTGCTTCTGCATCATTTAAAATTACGGAAGCCGGCGTCACTCGAGAGCGCCATTCGCGTTCCGCCACGGCCCCTGTCCACCCTCTCTGCGAAAATTTTCCTACGCGCAAAGCCTCCCACTTTTAACCCTTTCAACGGTCGACGAAGAGCCGTGATCCGGTCTTTTAGAAATTCCCTGGAAATTGCGACGGAACTCTCGTAATAATAGTCCGTTCTCGACTTATATTCTCCATCGAACAATGACATTCACTTTGATACTTTCTATACACTGTGGAAATAGTCCACGCGAATGTGGATTTGCGAGAAATCTATCGAAAGTCGTGATACATCGATATATTCTAGATAAAGCGATCTATCTATGTATATTTATTTTATCTATATTTAGCTGCACAGAAGTCACGATTTGTAGCATCCCCTGACTTGCAAAACGTAGTTAAATAAAAATTCCTGTAAAAAATTAATATTATTTACGCATTATTGCACAGAAATTTCTGTGGAATTTTGTTTTTTCTATATTCGGGTCTGAAATTATAAATTTGTCCATAAAAAATGTCCAGAAGTAATTTACAGCAATTGCGCCATCATCCCCCGAGCAACTCCCGCAGATCGCTAACTCACCATCCCGTCCTGCAACTTTATACCGTTCCACAGTGGAAATAGAACACCGATGCTTCTATTAAAATTCTATTCAGAGACCAGGGTCTCAGAAGGATAATAGGATATCCGATATCCCCCCGAGGATGATCGAAACCCTGCAGATGACGTCTCGACGTCCCGTTACCGTCACTTGACAGATGTTGTGACCGGTAACGATCGCCAGCTGACTATTGATCGATTCCTCTATGTTCTGGCAACGCCAGGACCGCGATACGATAAAATTCATTTAAGTAGAACAGCATGTAATGCGATAGTGTATTGAACAGTGCACGAAATCTTTATAATGAGATATTATAAATAATGAGACATTTTAAATTTATGAGGATTTTTATGGGAATTTTTATAGGTACTAATTTGACAATCAATATGTTAAAAATGTATAAGTCACGTAACGAGGATTCCTGTCTGCGTAGGACACGCGCACGTGACGGATTTCAATATCGCGACGGTGCTGGAGTACGGTGAACTGGCAACCTCGATGTCAGGAACAAAACCGTATATAGGTAACGAATTAATTAGACGCTCGAGACAGTACCGGAACGGCTAATTGGCCGTGAAATATAATTACCAGACTGTGGATTCAATGAATTTGTTTGGGAACGCGACCGACAGCCAGTAAAGTACGGCAGAATAATCCCACGCAAACTATGTATATCCTACAAAACTGAACTCACATCAACATTCGCAGTCTAGTGATTACTCTAGAGAATTCCTATCCACTCTGACACCAGGTTGAAATGCAAAACACGTTCTCCGATAATACTCCAAATGGTTCTATTCTTATATGAAAGTAAGTTAAACTTCAAATAATTCAAACATACAAGATCTCTTTGATTCTAAGATAACTTAGGAGATAGTCAGAAGTTTATTCAAATTTTGCTAACAATAAAATCTATTAGTTCTTATATCCTATACTTATAGCGAAAATAATTTTTCAAGTCACACACTAACTCTCTGCTCCAATCACCAAGGATGTGTCCAAAAACTGAGACATTTACCATACTGAAGTTATACAAGCTACAGTGGAGAAGTAGGTGTTTTACGTACATATTTTTATTCCAGTTATATGAAAGGAAAGAAAAAGGGGGCACGAATCATTAAAAAGTTTCAAGTCACACACCTTCTTAACCCTAGAAACATGTCTTATTTAATGTTTAGTCTCAATTCAAAGCTCATCCGAGAGTTCAGAATAGGAACCAAGACCAGAAGAGGTCCGACGCGCTCGAAAGCTCGGTGGAAAGTGAGGATCATCCGCGTCGACACTGCGCTTCATATTCTGGAACTCCCCCACTGGAGCTGCGAGATGCGCGAACAGTTTGGCGGGTAACTTAACGAGCAACTCGTCGCGCACCAATTCTCGTTTTACTAACAACATTTTCATAATAACATTTGTGGTGAACGTAGCTGTCCAATAAAAGTATTAAATTTTTCGTAGAACAACTTCTGCCGGGAAGCTAACTGCCACAATTTCTGGGCCTTTTTTCTATTTCTAAAGTTAGTTTATTTATAAAGTTTTTTTTATTTCTTTAGTATCTTGTATATCCCTTTCACACTACTAATTGTTACTTGGATCTCTGAGGTCCCTTATCCTTCTTGGGTACCCCTTGAATCTTCGAGTCGCTTAACCTACCTGAATCTTTCTACTCCCTTTATTCTCTTTGATGTTCTTTCAGTCTCAACTCCCCGTTGACCCTCTTGAGCATTTCTTGGAGCTTCCAACATTTGACCCCCCTTTGAATACATTTGAGGTCTCTCAAACTCTATGGTCACCATTGGTCCCCTTTGACCGTAAGGCTTCTATTTCCTACCTTAATTCCAATTTCCTATTCCGTCCCCTTATATTCATAAGCTTGACCCCGACAGGTACTAATGATCCTCTTTAAATAATAATAACTCCGATACTGACCCCCTTTTATCATTCCTCCGATCCCTCGACTAATTAATAACATCAAAGATCGAATGTCATCGGTTCTGTCTCAAATGAAGATCGATCCTTCGGTGTTTCAATAAACTACTAGAATTTCCATAATTCACTTTCTTTCCTTTTGTAAGCCCGCATAGACCGGTATCAGAGTGGATAAAACGTTCCTGTACAAATAGTCGTTCGGTACTTCTGTCAGAGTACGGGCAGGATCGTCTCTCCGACATTTATCCCCGCTATTCTCCATTTATATCCCTTTTACGTGTCTCCGCTACAGCGCCAGAAATTTACATGTGTTCCTGCGAGGAGTACGGTGTCCTTGGCTACGGTTTCCCCGTGGACTGGTGGAGCTTGGGAATCCTGGCTTGGGAGACCCTCTCTGGAGAACGTCCTTTTCCCCTTCACTCGACCACGTCGCACAGAGAAGCTTTAAGGATCCTACAGGTAAAATTGACGACCGATTCCTACCATCCACATCATAAAAATTCTCGAGTCGGTAAATTTGCCTCGTGTAGCTTTTTGTTACACCAGTTTAGCGTTTGAGTATCTTAATTTCTTCAAGGTATCCATTTGAGTAGGTAGCATCCATCATCTTGGTACACCATCCAGTACATCTTTCTCAGGTCTGATGTCTTTCCAATAGAAGAACGACGAAGCAAGAGACATTTCCGTGCACTAAAATTCTTTTGTGCAGAAGTTTTGTAATCTTTATAAAGAGAATCCTTTCGCAGGAGGAAAGGCCTACGCCAGCCGGCTGGAGCTCCTCGATACGCGATCTCCTCCAACGGCTGTTAACCGTGTCGCCGGGTGAACGGGTGTCGACCCTGGAGGAGCTGAAGCAAGTGAGCATAATGAGGGACCTAGACTTCGACAAAGTGTTGAACAAGCAAATCAAGCCCGTGTTCACGCCGCCGAAGGACCATCTTAATTGCGACCCGACGTTCGAGCTCGAGGAGATGATCATCGAGACGAAGCCACTGCACAAGAAGAGGAAGCGACTCGCGAAACAGAGGTAAGGGGTCTCGTGTCTTCTTCTTTCTCGTTAGAAGTTCTTCTGTCGTGCACACTCTCGTCCTGGGAGAACATAACCGACTCGGTAGTGATGGTACAAGAATATAGCGAAGAAGTGAAAATAATTAACCCTTAACTGGTCAGATGGAAATCTTATGTTACCAGTTAAGGATTAATACTCCCTTCGAGTCTTCGAGAAGAGAATACTGGCAACTGATTGTAATTCTTGTGTTGGCAGAAAAGTTACAAATTCGAATCATTATTTTCATTCTGCATTTAAACGACCACTGATATTAACTTAAAATAAAGTTGACGCCACACTGATGCCATTGACAATCGACAATCGACATACGACACTATTTTATACCCATTTATGTAAGCCCTTTTTTTTAGTACAGATTACAGATAATGAGTTAAAGTATCGGTAATCAATACTGACGTCGTATCGATATTTTAACCACCGATATGTATCGATACGAAATATCCATACAATTGACATGTATCGCCAATTATATCCCATATTGCTGTCGAGTCTTCCGTCCCAATGCGCAAAATACGACCGTTGGAGCTTCCACTCGATTTTACTGCAATATTACATCTTTTCCATCAAGTAGATATTCTATTAACAAGAGACAGAACATCCTGTTCTCCCTACCGTTCATATAGATCCCTGAAAGTGGAGCATCCCCTCGAGGACACCCTCGGACTGGAAGGCGCCGGGCCGAGCGTGGATCTCAGGAGATTAGCATACATCCCTGAATACCGCATATACAACCGGGAAAGGGAGTTAGAGAGACAAGAGAGGGAGAGGAAGGAGAAGCAATGGGAAGAGGAACTGAACACTGCCATGATGGGTGCCGAAGAAAGGCTGAAGTAGGGAGTGAACTCGAAATGTCAATAACTCCTGGGAATGTCTTTCTGAGTTTATAATCGTTCCAGAACGAAGCAACAGCAGCCATGACCGCAGCGAGCCGGAAACCGGCTGACCGTCTCGACGGCGAACGTCAAGACGCGGATCAATTCGTCCCCGCGACAAGGAAGACGCGCGAGCACCGCAACGTCCTCCGACATCGACTACATCGACGCCAGCCCGGAGCCCTCGACCTCGTAAACCCCGTGGAAATCCGGCGATCGAACGCCAAGAAAATGGAGTTTTCACTTTTTTTCTCCCCCTTCCATTCTGCAGCGAACACACAAGCATCCAAAAGTGTTCGTTTACCAACGATGAAAACCAATTGTAAAACCAATTGTTCCCCCCTTTCCCCTCAATTCCGACGACTTCTTCGGTTCCGTGACGCTTACGGAGCCAATGTGATACTTGTGCTTTCAATAGCAGTAGAATAGCCGTAGAGGATCGAGCCTTTTGTTCTCTTAATTTATTAGGTAAGTGTCGGATGTTTTATACATACGGACGAAACATAACTATTTTTCTTCTCTCTATTTGTTATCTATGTGTTCATGACTTGAATTCTCTTCGAGGAAACGTACCGAAGTTCTTAGAAGCTTGCTAGGAAGAGGTATAAAGGCACAATGTAATCATCGTTTTTACCTCTGCTATGACCCTCGGTTCGAATACATGTTTGTAACAATTATGAGGAAAGAGATGTATGGTGTGTTAATAACAATTTCCTCGTAAAAATGGAATTAGGTCGAAAGAGGCTGGAGGGTATTTTGTGTAATTAAAGAAATGATAATTTCGATTGTCGAGACAAACTCAGAAATCATGGAAGGATCAACTTCCTTGTCGTGGATATGATTAACGAAAAAAGAATTCTAATTGGCGCAGTAACAACGAAATTAATAACGGACGAATCGTGTGACACACTTCCTGTACATACAGATAAGGAATGGAAACATTAAAAATAGTTCTGTGGTTCATCAAGAAAAAGGGTCTTTTCATTTTCGATGATTTTATGGTAAAAGTTTCTATGAAGTCGTACATCTCTTGTACCATGTAGATGACAAATTCCATCATTTACCCTCCCTCTCTCTATTTCTATATGTGTGAATATCTCAAGGTAAAATGTATTGTTTATTTTTATAAAGAATGCAAAAGCAAAAACCCGACCAAATAGAGAGCCCTTTTAGAGAGCACTTTATCAGATACGAAAGCTACGAGGGAGAAAAGCTTAATCCGCATGATTTCCCCTTCCAATCTCGACCTCCCTCTCGGCAAACGTGGAGGAAACCGCGGCACGATCCACGAGAAAATTCTGAACTTTCCGTATACGGTATGTTCATCAAAAGACTGCGGGGTTTTATGCGTTTATAACGTAATGTAGATAAATAAAATATAACGAGACGAGAACATATTAATTAATTAATCTTGCGTAAACCATTTAACTCTGCTGAAATAGATCTTCGATAATGAAACTTTGCATAAACATCCGCAGTCTTCCCATTACTGTAAACCGTAATCGGTCGATTTTCTTCTCTCGAAATTACGACGCTCGAAATGCGATCAGCGTCACGTTTTTTAAGTAGAAAGAACGAATCTTTGTAATCGTAAGTGCATAGATTACGTACGAATCTTACATTTTAATCTTATTGTTAGTCCATTACGATCAACTATCTGACGTTATTCTCGCCGAATAGGATAGTTCGACGCGTTAATCGTTTGTTTAACGACTCACAACCTTGCCCTGCATACATACATATGCGGTGGGATTTCCATTATCTGAACGGATGGAACGCGATCATTCTGCGAATGAAACGCTCAATTTTCTACCACTAAGAATATCAATGGATTGAGTCATAATGAAAGCTTACCTTCTACTCCCACATGACTCATCCCAAGTATTTTATCAACTACATAAATGCTCTGTATTGTTATTATGTTGCGGATATTTATGCAAATTTCCATTTCTTTAAACTATTCTGTAGACCATTATCATCGATTGAAGAGTCTTTCTTTCCTTATATTATGCAAACATTCAATCTAAATGCATTAATATCCGCAGTCTAATCATTAATAATAGCGAAGGATACTTAATATTACATAGTTTACTGTTACTACTTGTAAAGTGTCTTAGACCGGGATAAGTATAAGAAAAAAAAATGGCGGTCGCCTACAACATAATCTATAATTATCTGAACTTTCTAGTAGAAATATTGAGAGAGAAAAAACGTTTTTAATTGTTCAATTATACAAGCTTACTGACGAATGTATACTTTTGTGCCTTTTTTGTGTTACAGATCATGTAATGATTGTTTCTATACAGTTTAATCGTGTCTTCCTGGCCGCCATATTATCGCTAACACCGCGACATCCTCAGCTCCTTCCACACGCGAATCATTTCGAGTTCTATTTAATATAACTAATCATAGTTGTTATAGAACATGTAACCGTATCACAAATTTCACGACAAACTATTACAATCAAAATTTCGATTAACAAATTTTCCAGTAAAAGAGAAATGCATACATCCATCCGTAGTTTACAGCATTAAATGCTCCGCAAACAACAGAACCCCCGAATAATAGAGATCCTACCGCACAGTCATCGATTGCACACTCGATAATCAGTAAACAAACACCAATGAGTAATGTAATTTTGTAAATAATCACGTAAAGTATAAATACGATAACGTTGTACCACGAAATCAAAATGGTTCGACAATTCGACCGATACCTGTCCCCCCTGTCTTATGCAGCTTATCGATTTAAGAATGGCGACGACGGCAATCGCAAATATTTTCACGGTAAACATTTAAACAAGGAAATCCGATAGCTGCTTTTGCTGCAGTCGTACGCTGTCGTGAAACTCACCGTGTGTAATTGATATTTACGACATCTACAACGATCGTAAACAAGGATTGGGCATAAAGCAGCATGCTTGTCGCACAAGTGCCGAATAATCGATACCAACGGCGCCGTTTCGCGAAAAGGAAATGTAGACAAAAAACACGTTGGTTGTCTAGACACTTTTTCCATTTTTTTCCAACCATAGTTAGCGAAGTGCAACCAGGAATGAAAATGTGAAAAGAATTTACACGTCCGTAAATATTAGTTTTGGATGGGAAGTATATTACGATTTTTAATCGGAAGATTTAATTACGAGTTGAAGTTGAAAAAGCGTCCCGTGTTATCGTGCCCGCTTTAATTCAAAAAGTTCTACTGGATCGATTCATAAAAGGCATGACTTAAATAGAAATTTACTTCTTCGTACGCGTCCGGTAACTATTGGTTCCACGTTCCACAGATAGGAAATCGATAAAGCAGACGTTTACGACCTCATAAATTTCTTCTTTACCTTCCCCCCCCCCCTCCCCGGAGGGAGTAGCCGCACAAACTATTATAAATTAATTTCTGCTGGAAATATACATTTTACGTGGGAAGCTAAGCCCGCGAGGGTCGAAAGCAAAAAAGTTCACGACGAAATATAGATAAAGCGTCGATGCCAAATTTGGGCACAGTTTTATTCGAATAATATGAAAATAATATAAGTATTTTTTTTCACTCAAGAAGTATTATTTTATTCTAAAAATTGGAATTTCTACGTTTAACCGATTAAAAATGACGAAGTAACTTTTTGATCTTTTATTCGTTATTCGCAACTCTTTACCTAGAGAATGAATTTGCCCGTCTCTGACCGATGCCAGGCGATAAGCATGGAACCCTGTAAGTACAACGAACAAAAAAACAGCTACTCATCGATAAAAGAACGATAGAAAATGTAAAAATAACCGCACGATATCGGGAAAAGAAATAAAATAAGACTTACGACGTGTATGTCCGCGATAAATATCCTGCATCGATCGACAAATCGTTTCGTTATTTTTATTTGTCCCACAAAACTCGAACTCGACGATGACGAACAACGTAATTATATTCACCAGGACCGTTAATTTAATTCAGAGGACGAAACACGCCTACGTTCGCGGATATTAATGATATTCAAGGCTTCGCGAAGCTTCGACCGTTGGAAAAGGAACTTTCATTTCCCCCGCAGGTTCGACGGGACGTGCGCGTCTACGAAATTCGATCAAGATTAATGCAATTTGCCGCTCAGAGGCGACGAGAATCGCTCTTTACGATCGATTTACCCCCTATAAAACTTCGGCAGTCTTCGTTACCAAGACTTACGAACGGTGTTATCGCGAGTTTATTTGCTATTTTACGAAAAATTCACGATACCGAACCGAAGAATACCAAGTTGTTCGCGTGTTATTGCGTCGGTTGTGGGAAAAATGGAGGATTCCTTCGAATATTGTTGCAGTCCTCGTATCAACAGAAGTCGAATCTTAAATTGGATGCTCCATTGTTGGAGATGCAATCAATAAGAGAGTGATTTTTTTTATGACAAGATAATAAAGCATTTTTTATATATCATTCTGTTTTCGAGACACCCCTATTTGAAAATTGATTTGGCACTAAATCAATCTGATTTCTAACCCTCGAAAATCTCTGGGTACCCTTTGAATAGTGAAAGGATAAAATAAGGCAGGAAAGGGACGATGAAATGAAGCGATAACATGCTTATCGAAAGCTTCGATCAAAGTTCATGTAAAGGTCGAACCACAGGAATAAAAGTTTCAAGACTTCTACCTCGAAATCGGTGAAAAGAAACGTCGATAGATCAACTACGATGAGTGAATTGCTTGTCTAACGATGAATTGGTCGAATCGAGGAATTAAATCGAGAAGGGACGAAGGAAAGAAGTGTCGATGGCTTATTTTCAATGTTCACAGAAAATACACTGTTACAGTAGCATTAGAAACGTTCGTTTATTCCTTTACATGAAAATAAATTCACAACTGTTCAGAATTTCCTGCATCAAAGACTCGACCAGCGGATACAGAATACACACCTTTCTTTGTTTTAATATCTCAGTAATAGCTGCGATACGTAACAAAAACCAACAATGTAATAATTAATAATAAATCATCTATGATTTCTAAGAACGGTAAATTACGTTTGTTAATATCACAAAAGTATTGCCCTTTATCATCTCTATCACACGAACTGGGTACAGCTGCGCGGGTATGATTCTTGCCGCTGAATAGCTAGGGCCGATACACGGCCCTCGCGGCGAGATTCATTCGAGCAGTGTACATATCTTTCTTTTTTTCCATCCCTCAACACTAGCGTTGACTATATAGGTAAGACTACATCAGCATGAAAATAGAATGAATTTTATTATTCCTATCTACCATTCTGCGAAAATATTCTCCGAGAAAAATAATATTATACCCGACACGTTTTTGTATATTATTCCCCGAAATGGTTAGCCCCCGATAAAAAGTATTCAATCGATTTGAAATTGTAACGTGATTCGTTAATTCTTGACGAAAATACTCTTTTTCTCCAGGGATTAGTATTGTTTAACAATTAATTAATCTATTATCATCAGTCTGTAGGATCAGATAAGCGTTATCGACTGCTACACAGATATGCACCCTGGGGCTCTGGTAACAGGCCTTGCGACAAATCATTCAAATCCGCTAACCCTTACTGGTTAAATAACCCTTATGTAATCACAGTAAATATCATTGAAACGATTCGAAACTAATAATATTGTCATGGGCTCGTTAATCGAACGTAAATAATAATAAGAGTTTAATCTGAGTTAAATAATGTTAGCGACTTAAGTTCCATACACATGTAAACGTAAAGCTTTTGTTAGACTCATTTAGACAGACCGTCGAAAAAATTCGTTATAAATTAAATGCCTTAGCAACTTAACTTGTTATACACAACAGACAATGATTCACCTTGCGCTTAGCATCTAAATACGTATTTGCATTCGCGCGTTACCTGTAAAGCTTAACGTATTTTAAAAATGTTATAAACGGCTACTAATCCGTGAAAATTAGCAGCCACAGTTGGAAGAATCGCTATAAAAAAATACTCGCCGTATAACGGCAGAAATTGTACAATTATATGAACAATATGCAGATTGTTTCAGGTTTGTCCAAACTGTATCAGTGTGTTCTATAAAAATCATTGTTCTTTGAATGTTGTTTCTCTGGATTTTCGTGTACACATACAGTGAGTAATACAAGTATATTTATTATTTAAAATATTGGTACGAATTAACGTTAAACGTTTCACTCCTCCTCTCAAATTTATAGTCAATGAAATATATTTAATAAATATCGACCGATACATGTACCATTTTCTTCACTCTAACGTAATACGTGAACAATGCTTATCTGTATACTGAATCTTTGAGTATTCATATCGTTCGAATACATCCATTACTCACTGTAAATGTCAGCCTAACGTCTGCCAGTAAAACATATTGAGACAGTTTGACCATTACAACATGGAACAACCTGTATACTACTTTAAATATTTGTATGCCCTCCAGAAAACGCTACAATACCTTCTCAAACGGAAGTCACATCGGTGACTTCAATTCTCGAGATCGGTTTGGTAGGTTCAACTATTATGAAATCGGTCTCGTTGCCGGTCGACTCACCGATACGAAGCTCTTGCAAATTCGCCATTATCGAATCGACTTGTATTGGCTGTTCCGGTAAATCGGTTTTTTTCTTCAGTTTATTAAAATGGAGATAACATATTCCACGACAGCCCTGCCAAACAATTTCGTTCGGCTTAACTCCGCGCTCTGATAAAGCGTTCTTCAAGTCCCGTATCCTTGCGCCGGAATAAATATTCGACAGCTTCAACGAGAATTCGACTTGCGATTTGGACTTCGGCCTAGGATTTCTGCGACGTTGTTGCGTGTTTTTATCGCCGTTTCGGAGCTTTTCCTAAAAGTAAATTGCACGTATGCATATGTATACATACATAAGCATCCAGTAAACTGAAGCATTCTTGTAAAGGGAATTCACACACACTCTCAGTGATTTAAATCAATAAAAATGTTTACGTAAAGAGTACTTCCCTTTTAGGGACACAGACTAACATTACATTATTATTAGCATTACTAATATTAGTATTAACATTACTTATACTGTCGTAAAAAATGGAACTCCTTAATTAGGAATGAAATAAATGGTGCTCTCTTCTGTACACTAACCTCCATATCATTAGAGGACAGATTAGTGTTGCCATCTTGTTTCGCCTTACTAAATGTACGTCTTTTTGGAAAACGTGTCTTTACCACTTTCTCTTTTTCTCCTTCTTCAAAAGCATCATTGCCTGCCAAGTTTCTCCTTGCCCGAAAAGGTTTTTTATCCTTCAAGTGGCTAGACTGACTCCTGTATGGCTTTTGGACTTCTGTGTCAGAATCCTCTTCCTTCAATGTCACTACCTTACCATCTCTGTGAATCAATAATTCAACGTATTTATTCATATAGGTCAATCTAACTGGTGCAAAAATAGGTGTTTCAACAATTACTTCTCATCCATCTCTTTCAGCTGTTGCAATATTGGCATAGTCTTTAACCTCCTTTCACTAAGCATGTGCCATATTATGTTGGTTGGTTTCTTTAATCTTGGGTTTACTATTATTGTTTGAGTGGGTGTAACAATTATATCCACAGGTACATCGTATTCTTTAAATAACGTTGGTGGAAGACTATCAAGAACTTGGCAATCGTGCACAGTTGTGATCACTAGAGTATCTTGAGTGACTGCACCCATTCTCATCATCATCGCGAACTCTAAATCTGCAAATCCTTTTCCTTTACCCAATCTGTATCCATCACGACTGACACACACAGATCCTACCACTACAAGGTCCACCTATGAGGTAATGTGAATTACACAAGAAATAATAAAAACCAATAAGTACAGCTTAAATGTTGTTATAGCAAACAAGATATACCTTTATATTAGACTCTACTCCAAGTGGTTTACCAACTTTCATTAAACCATAAATTTTTGACAAGGTTCTCAACTTATGTTTGGTGATACCAGCCACTGGTGTAACATGAAGAAACAGACCTGATCTCAGCCTTGGAATTGGAACTAATATTTCTTTATTAGCCTCCAATGCTAAAAATCTCACAGGCTCTTGTGGCTTATCTGTATTTATCTCTACAACCCCTGCCTTCTTAAACTCTTCCAGCTCTGCCAAACGTAGTGCTGCTTCAGTGGCACCTTTGAAGTTTGGTATACGATCATATACACTGAGAGGAAAATTTGTCAGCTCGTTCTTCATCAAATAATCCCATATTTTTTGTCGGAAACTGTGCTTAGTCACCTCTGGTGCTGAGAAACGAAAATAAAGCTGGTAACCTCCACATCTAACAACATTAAAGCTTACAATTATCCATTTTTTTTTATAACTTGTCAACATGCTATCTTCTACTATGTACATTAAAGATCACTTTTGAGTACTGACAATAGCATAACAGAATTTATATTTTCATATTTGAAAGAAATGGGTATACAAATTTTTAATAACACGCATAACAATCAAATTTTCAGAATACACGTGCAATGCACGATTGTTTATATTATGTTAAAGTACTACTCACATAATTGTTCTTCTGTCATTTTTAATTAAATATTCGTAATAATTCCAGCCAAACTGTATCAGATATTATTTATAATAAATTCGAGAACGGCTGCTTATGAAAATCCTATTTTACAAAAATAGATTATATGATTTATCTCTACTCCCTTTTACGCTTGTTTCTATTTCTATGCGACACCATGCCAGTAAACTTGACATAATAAAATCCACCAGAACTTTGAATATCTATAAAGTAGCAGCTTCGCAAAAAACAATTTTCGAAATCAAACGTACAAACAGATTGCAGTTTTTAAATTCTGTGATCCAACTTAAAGTAGACTAAGACATTTGACAGTCTTTGATCAGACCACAGAAGATTCAGTCACAGATGACGTGCATGTTAGTAGTGTATCGGTATCTGAAATACCGATAGTGTAAAAAGCAGGGATTTTCTGCTGCCCTCTACGTTATGAAAACGGTGAATTTGTGAACTACGTTAAATAATTAATTAAATCACTCAGAATTCATGCTTTATCAGTAACGTCGGGTATTGACTCTAAAATGGTAACAGGTGTTACGTAGCCCTATGAACGTGGTACAGAAAAAAGTATTGGATGATAGGTCTATTCTATACCTAGTCGGTGGTTATACGTTATACCACGTGGTGTATTCAGTGTGCAGCATGTGCAGTATGTCCGATGTGCTTTAGCTGTCTTCTTTGGCTGTTTTAGCAGTTAACCTTAAGTTTTGAAACTACATACATAGTTTCAATCTTTTAGATCATGTGTATGATATTCTTAATTAAAGACTGTTCTTCTAAATAAGTATTAAATTTTCTTAATAAATTGTAGATGTAATCTTAAATAGTAGAAATGGAAAATTTAGCGACAAAATTAGGTAGTTTTGTTCGCATCTGCAAACCTGGAATTAATGCATTTTATACCAAAGCATTTAAAACAGATTATACACAACACGCTACTCAGAAATGCTCAAAAAGAGACATTCATCCTTACAAACGGATACATCCTTGGAAATCGTTGAGAGAGTTTTCCGAGGATCTTGTGAATAATGTAATTTATAACAGCGGTAAGAGTCGGACAAATAACTAGAAATTTCAATTTTAAAAATGAATTCCTTGTTTTGTAGATGGTCTAATAGCGCTCAATAAACCTTATGGCATAGGTACTGAGAAAGGAGCAGTGCAAACTAAGTATGCTGTACCCAATGCTGTAGATTATACATTGCAAGATGCCCTACCACATATTGCTGAACATTTAAAATATCCAAAGTTGACTGTAGTCAGAAATCCAGAAAAGTAAGAAATTTATTAAACTGGAGTAAATCATAAATTACGATTAGCTTTTCTGTAAGAATATAAATTTATTGTTTAACTAGATATATGAGTGGTGTTACACTTTTAGCAGGGGATTCACAAGTTCAAGATAAAATAGAAAAATCATTAAGACGTGGTAATAACTTCACAAAAACTTATTTGGTAATTACAACTAGTGTGCCAAAGCGATTAAAGGGTAAAGAGAAATTGGCAATGGAAATGATATCGAATCCAGATTACAATTATAGAAAGGTAATCTTCTTAATTAATAACCTCTCTCATAAGCTCTGGTAACTATAGACCAATTATTTTTAGCCGGTTATAGTCTCATCATGGTCAGAAAGGGCAAGGAAAAGGCAACTTATCAAACCTTTAAGCGTAGACTTTAAAGTTTTGTCCAATTCTACCCTTAATTTATGTTCGCTGATTGAAATGAGATCTTCTACCATACAGTGGCATGCGATTAGACTTTTTGCAACTACAGTGTTATATTGTCCAGTATTAGGAGATAATATGTATGCATCACGAATCCAGAAAATTGGAAATACTTATGTTCAAGTTGATCCCTTCCTGGAATACACACAGTTACCACCAGTACTAGAAAAACCAATCTTGCAGTTGCTAAATGTAAAAAGGTCACAGCAACATATCATTCCTGTTCACATTCATTTAAAATCAATAGATTTACCATCCTTTATCAGAAAAGGAGAAGACTTAAAGATTGAAGCTCCCTTAATACCACCGTTTGATTGGACTTGCGAACAACTTGAATTTAAGTGTTTAATGAAGAATAAATAAGACTGTTTCGTGCAAATAATGGAATTCTAATTTGATGATATTAACGTATTTTTTATTTCTATGTTATATTTACTATATTCAATAAACAATAATGATTGTACATAATTTGGATAACAGAATCTCCATATTATGCTCAGTGGCTGAGTATGTGTCTGCCTCTCAATATTCTCCTCATTAAGATTCTTCTACCAGCAGGCGTGGACATTCTTGTAAACCAACCGTGCTTTTTAATACGTTTATATTCGTTCGGACGTGGAAAATGATATCGCATTTTCGTTCTACTTAATGTAAGGCTCCACTGATTTGTTAACGTCGGAGAACCAATGATTGACGAACAAGTTTGACTTAATGACAGAAGACGTCTGTAAATAAAATACATAACCTTTTTAAAAAAATATACGTTTATATTGATTTCAAAAAATGTGTAAGATGATTACGCACGGAAGGGTTTGATATGCGTTGGAAATTAATGTGCCCAGCATGTTGCGTTCCTTTAAAGGTTAGTTTCAGAGTTTAATGTGAACTTTCGACGGCCTTTTGTAACACGTTTCGAAGTTGTAAAGCACCCGCAGGCAGAACTATGCACCGTCCTTCAGGTTGCTTCAAGTCCATGGATTCACCGTTCTCATTGGTTCTCATAACGTAGAGGCACAAACGAGGTATAGGAGTAGACATTTCATCTTATGGGAGCTGGTGGCCCACCAAAACTGTAGTACCGACACCTTAAATGCCTCTGATTTTAAAGACCTCTACATTATGAGAACGGTGAATCTGCGGTGGGTAGTGACACAGCTAGCTGCAGCTAGCTAGCAGTCCTAGCAAGTCCTGGGCCTGGGAGGCTAATTCAGCTAGATTGTAGTGAATGGACAATTATTTTGTTCAGGATCATTCAGGATGTATACTTATGTAATAAAGATGTTATAGTATCAATTGAGCTAGGTATACTTCTTTTAGTCTTACATTTATCTCGATTTTCATTCTAGTCAAAATATATATCGTCAAAAAACCTTTAAGCCCAAGAACGCCACGCACGTACTGCAGATGTGACAGCGATGTCGGTCGTATCGTTTACCGTGTACTGTGTCCTCTTACGGCACGTGGGAAAAATACGATCATATGTATTATGTGATCTGTAGGTCACTATAACCTCAAAACGTTGCATTATGCATAATCAATCTGTGAGAAGTAGCCTTTGAACATAGCATATAGGCTTAAGATATCGTTACTGGATCCTCACTTGCGCTTGTCACTGCCCGAAATGGCAATTATGAAGATACTGCTGCGACCAAACATCGCAAGGTTCACGGGTGTCAGAGTGAGTCGTATTTTATGTCATCATTGTTATGTTCGATTCTGGTTCTGTACTTTAAGGTGGATTCGTCATGCATGCCTTCTTTTGTTTATGACACAAATCGGTTGACCTACTTTCAACGAATCGGTGTGAATTGATCAAAAAGCGAACCATAATCAGGAACGATAATGTTCGTAGTCTGTAACCTTTAGAACACTCCTTGATGTTTAAAAGAATCTTTTCGTAGATTTTGTTTTTCTCCTGCTTATGAGCCTTGTTGAAATTGAGTAACTTAAAATTCAAATGAACTTGTTGATTTGAAAGAATTGTTGATCAATAATTTTTCGTATAATTTAAAGTAAATTGTTAATTCTTTTTGTTTCCTTTGTTAATATTTTAATCATATAGTATAGTTTATTATAATTATAAAATATTAAAAGAAAAATGATGCAAAGTTAATGTATTATTACAATATATGCTGGTATAAAAATATACTGCATACCATTAGAGTCAAGTATATTTTTATATCCTGTCTCAAGGCTGTGGGACAGTTTCAATGTCTTGCTCCAAAAATATGAAGTAGTTGTACATGTCCAACAGCTGTGATAGTGAGAATTTAACAAATGCATATACATTACAATGAATATTTTAAACATAATATAAGTCAGAAATAATAAAAACAATTTATTGGAACATGCTTTTTTTATTTTCAGCATTTAACTATCAAGCCAAAGTTTGGTTTGCTCTTTGACATTGATGGTGTAATAGTACGTGGCAAAAATGTGTTGCCACCAGTACCAGAAGCCTTCAAGCAACTTCAAGGAAAAGATGGCAAATTTCGTGTACCAACAATATTTGTCACTAATAGTGGAAATGCTCTGCGTAGTCAAAAAGCAGCAGACCTGTCCAAATGGATAGGATTTGAAGTAAAGGAGTCTCAGGTGGTCATGGCCCATTCACCTTTAAGGCTGTTCCAACATTTTCATAATAAGCAAGTTTTAATATCTGGTCAAGGTCCAATTAAAGAAATCGCTCAGGAATTGGGCTTCCAGAAAACAATAACTATTCACGAATTAGTAAAAAATTTCCCATCCTTGGACTATGTAAATATGCTAAAGAGAAATCCACAGAGTGGTCCTATAGATCCAAATTTCCCTAGAATTGAGGGTATTGTACTGTTCAGTGAACCAGTGTCGTGGGAAACTCCCTTACAATTGATGATTGATCTTCTAATGACTAATGGCATGCCAGCCAGCCTGCCCAGTGAAATTCCTTATCCTCACATTCCGATCTTGGCATGTAATATGGATTTATTATGGGTATCTGAAGCACCAATTCCAAGATACGGTCATGGTGCTTTTCTATTATGTCTAGAGTCCCTTTATAAGAAAATCACAGGGAAGGACATGATATATTCTGCTCTAGTCGGAAAACCTGCTGAAGTTACATACTATCATGCAAATCATATGCTTCGTGAGCATGCTAAAAGTATTGGAATAAATCACAATGTGGACACTATATATGCAATTGGGTAAATAGTCTTTGAATGATCAAGAAGAAGAGTTTAAATAGGTACTAAACAGACTGTATGTTTTTCCAGGGATAACATTAACACCGACATCTTTGGTGCGAACTTGTACGATAAGTATCTGTCCCGTTGTAGTGGCGACGATGTGTTGAAGCCCCAGAAACTAAAGAGATTACTTGGTAGAGACGTACAACCGCCTAGCGCGAAAGCTTGTATCAGTATTTTAGTCGAAACCGGAGTTCATCGACGGGATTCGAATTTCATACCAGAACACTGTCCTAGAGATTTCTTGCCGGTCGATGATAGTCTGTGCAAGCCTGCGTTCGTAGTGAAAGATGTCGGCGAAGCAATTAATCTCGCGTTTAAGGAAGAGAAATTCGACTGAAGTGATATATATAGGACATACTTTTAGCCTTGGAGTGTTCACATCCTAATGTCGATTAAGATAGAAAAAGAGATAAAATCGTAGATTAACTTCGCTAATGTAAGTATTATGCCAATTTTGTTTAGAAGACGTTAGTTTTTCTTGGAACCAGTGTTCTAGCGCTACACAGCGAAGTCGATAGGGGATTGGAGGTAGCAAGAAATAGGTACGATTTTTTTTTTGCTTCTTTCTTGGTGAATAATTTTCGAAACCTTCGTCTACCTTTTGGTGGAAAAAGTTGTGTCTTCTGTAATGATGTATGGCAGGTATGCAAGATGAAACTAAAGAATAGTGTTCCAATCTATTAACATCTATTCAGACTTTTATGTATATTCGTTTCTATAACTTGCGTTACGAGTATAGTATTTAGAAGAGTGTTCAAAGGTGGTACTGAATGTATATAAACGCACGCGTACACACACATATAGACATCTTATGTCTATATGTATAGGCAATTTTCAGTCTATCCTTTGTTATATTATAGATGAATTATTACATTTTTCAATTTTAATGCCCCCCTCGGAAGTATGTATAACTATGTATAATTTTATGACGCCTTGACAGTGACGGCATACTAGATACCGATTCTCTCCAACAATTAGAAACACATTATCTATATAGGATGAAGTTGAAACGCGTTTTCTGAATCAACTGAGATTGTGTAACATCTGCGTAATTAGTGATAGGTACTGAAAAGTTTGCTTCTGGAGATGAAGTCTGATAAGCAAGTGTAGGATGACCGAATAGTGACTAGACCAGTATCCTCTTCGGAGTCTCATGGTCAGGCCCACAAGTCAAATCTTTTCAAGTTTCATCAGTATCTGATTTTGTATGCGTGATTTAAGATCAATTGTTTTAGTGTTTATCGCCGATTATTGCTTTGTACATTAAATCTCATCTAGTCCCATGAAACAGTTTTCGCCAACATCAGTGATCACAGAATTTCTTATCAACGTGACAGAAGTTAAATCGCAAGCCGACCTAACTACAGAGATCTTCTTCACGGCCACAATGAAACACTGACTGAAAAAGGTCTAATGGACAGAACGAAAGGAGAAAGTATAAAATGAAACAAAACTATAAAAAAAGTTGAAAACGCACATAGCCTGCACTTAATCCAGCCATACGTTTTGGTTGGTCACACCGATAAATGCACATGAGCACAATCCAGACGTTCGCTGAGACGAAGATGACCACCTCCAGTAGAATGAAACCCCCCGACCGTTTGCAGAGCTGGTCTATGAGTTGTTTTAGCTTTAGTGAATTAAAGGAAAATAGGAAGAGTTAGAGGTTGATGCTGTTCGAGGCTGCCAGCTCTAAATTGTGTCCTTCGGAAGATGTTCCGACAACTTACACACACACACACACATACACCCTAGCATTGTATCCACTACTATTTATAGGATCTATTCGAGTAATTAGACAATACAAACTGGTAATAAACTTGTGTGTACTCATCATAATATTGTAAGATAAAAAAAACTCTGTTTCAGAAGTAATAAGACCCATATACAGAGAGATAGGGGTAGTTTGGCTATAATGGTAGAAACAGCGGCCTCGAGCGACTAAATTAGTTCACTCCTGTGCTTTGGCTTCGCCAATAATGGCGCAACGATGGAACACGCTTCTAAAACCACAGTTTTCTCTCAGAAACTTTAGTTACAGTCAAGTGGAAGAAAGTGTATATCGTTGTACGAGGCAGGATCGCGACGCTAACCCAATATATATTGCGAAGAGAAGTGGCTCTGTGAAACTAGTAACTCCGGAAATAGTGAAGGGCAATTATACACAGTTACTTATACACATATAGAGTGTTGCAAGATTGAAAGCAATACGTAATGTTATATACATATATATACATTTTTTTTTAGGTATGAGAGATTATTTTGTAGGAGTCTTATCCGTAGAGTACCTGTGACTTTTATGGAGCAAATTAGAATCTATTTTAGTAAATTGTACATACAGCCTGTTCTTTTGATCCTTCTACTCCTCTACCTGTGTCCTCTATGAAAGCCACAGGCCGTGCCAAGGTATTGTTTACTTTATTCATTTTTTTTGTATTATTGTTTTTGAAACTTATCCAAAGCGATCGTTGTGGAACGCCGATTGATTTCTAGTAATTTATTGAATAACGTGCACACACAAACGGAGAAGACACATACAAAGACGCGAAATCGTCGTGCTAATTGATCGTTAGATGCGAATAGTCTAGTCTAGTCTAGTTGAATGACATACGAACTGTTTCGTGGACCTATTCCCATTGTTGCACGCGAAGGAACAAATGGGTTAGTTAACGAAGTAACAAGTATTTGGTTGCAATAATTAATGTCCAAAAGAAAAGGCAGTATGTACAGAGAGTAACGAAAAGTATTTGAACGATAAGTTTTCACGTGTAAATTGTTGTAATATATGTTTCAAAGTTTCTGAGTACATATAATGTTTAGTTTGTTTTTCCTTAAAATTTGTCTATGTTAAGTGAATATTTGCCGATACATATAGTAATGAACTTTCGGCTACCCTATCGTTCGAATACTTTCATGGTTCACCGTAAACACTCGTATGACTCATTTATTCCGTATAACCGTATAATTTATGGATAATTCGGTGTCCATTCGAATTGAAGTATTGTCCCGTCTTAACCGATCCCTGCCTTTTATTCGTAACCGTAAATATCTAAATAACAATTTTGCGAAGCATTAAAATAAGAGAAAGGAATATGTATTGTTTCGCGAGACTACGAATTAATTCCCTTTTCGCAAGCGTTTGTTCGACAAGCCAAATGAATATTGTTTTTAATTGTAATTAATTGTATCCGAATTTTATCGCGCATGTATAATGATCGACGAAGGATCAGTTCGTCACTTCGTTGATAGCAATCTTTCTCCTTTTAACAGCGACGAATATAAGAAAACAGCAGATACCGGTGCCCAGCAATGCGTGATGTCTTTAATTTCCCCCGATTTCCACTGCCTATCGCAAACACGTTGTATTTGTAGAAAGATAATGTAGAAGCAACGAAATACACGATATATTTTTCGTTAACAAAGCATATTATTATGATTAACAATGCACACAATATTCAGAACTCTCAGTGCGATGTGTCTCGTCGAACCTGTTTCCATTTTTCGTGTCGTCACACTTTCTTCTTCCACCGTGAGAAATCGGCAAACAAGAAGAACCGCAGCGTGCACACGTTATATTAGACGTTTTAATGACCCCCGAGAGGTTGGGTTGAAACTAATAATTGCACCCTGTTACGGTGGACTGTAAGTGCAGCGTCTGGCTCTCATGACCGACGAATTAAACCGTCAATCGTTCGATCGAATAATTCAATTGTAATCGGCTCGTCGGCCGTTCCTGAAGAATGAATTTATATGTCCATTCCAAAGAGAGAGAGAGAGAGAGAGAGAGAGAGAGAGAGAGAGAGAGATGAAGAGAGACGTCGGGCATTTTCTCTTGTTTGACAGAGACAGAAACAATTTGGGAACCTAATTGCACTCTAATCGAATTTATCAAGGTCGAACCGATGGTCACGCTTGCGGTTCGTTTTAAGTTCCCAATTTATAAGTTCAATCGGTTCGATATCCAAGACAAGCAACGATACTCCATTATATATTTTTTCATTGTAACGAACGAACAATAATTGAGAAACATAATTTTCAGGCGAAAGGATGACAGCAGGAGAATCCCGCGGACTTCCGGTATTCGGAATACAAGTTATTCCCAAGGGAACTACGGTTTTTACGAAACAGGTGCTCCTAATGTTCTCATGACCTTCGAAAGATTCGTATGAAACAATGATGCACAACGATCGATCGCTCGAACGAAATTCAACGAAACGTAAATTGGAACGGTTCAGTGTCCTGGATCGATCAGCATTTTCAGCGACGAAGAAATCTCGGCCAGAGATATTATTCCACCGATGGATTTCCGGCCACGGTGTGCTTCACGTTGGCCAAGCCTAAAAACGAGCCAACCTGGTCTGCACGTAAACCGTCACGCTTAATTCACGATCGTGGCTCATTAATGGTGCAGGTTATCGTGATTGACCTTATCGCGGTTATCGTCGTGTACTCGGAATGTTACGTCATCGCGTAAGGATAATTCGCCACACGGTCTTGACGTTTTTTTTTCTCCTCGTGAAAAACGTTTCCGTGACTTCCGTGGAAAAATTGTTTATAACTTTGAAAATATTCCTTTTTTGACCCATGTTTATCCAGGACTTGTTTTTTATCATTTGGCAAGTTCTATCTACCCTAGAAATTCGGAACCCTTCTTTTTTGTGTCATCCTGTATTGTATCTGGAAAAGGTTTAAAAGACTTATACGACAACCCAAGTTAGTTCCCATAAGTGTACTAACAAGCGACTTAACCATACGTTTCTTTTTTCTCAATAAATAGAGAGAAAGGAAACCCGGGGTGGGCATCTCAATGGCTCCAAAATGATGATAGGCGTAATGGGAACGGGTTACGCGTTCGTCGGACCAGTTTCCGAAACTGGTCACTGGACGATTAATCAAAACTTTGATCGGCTTGGATCACCGACCCACCGGAATACCGAAACCGGTTATCCATTTCTGTGTCATGATGCGATGCAACACGGGCCCTGCGGTGCAAACGAATCGCGGATGTCATTTCTAATTCAGAATTCAGGGCTCGCCGGTGTGTACGCACCGATAGTATGTAGGTCGAAGACACCGGCCGATCCGCTGGAGGTGTATACATTTGCGTTTCGCCCAAAAACCGAGGAACGGAGGAAACGCAATTAAACCTTGGATACTTGTAAGTCTTTTGATATTTATAGCCAGTCTCCTGACGGGAAGAGATTTGAATTGCTAATTACGAATTGGAACCATTTTTCCTGTGCGCGGCAAAACTTTCAACTTCCCGCTTCGCATTATTTTTTTTTAGCTCACCGCAAGACGAGTCGAGGTACTACACTTATCGGCATGAGCGTAGCCACGGGGGCACTTGCCTCCCCCTTCCCCCACTGGACGGAAAAAAGTGTCTTTTGAAGTGTATTTACAGAAAACACTTAAAATAACAGGGAGTTATCGAAAAGAAAATTGAAAACGAATTAGGAGTGCAAAGAGTTAAAACACCAACATACACCTCTAATCCCAATCTGGAGTTCTCCTGATCTAAATGTTTTAACTGTACAGTTGACTAGTTAAAAAATCTAGTCGGTGACTCATTTAATCGGAATGTAAACAGAATACACCTTAGACCGCTACACGATACGCAGTCTGCGTCATTGGAGACCCCACGTGAAGCTAACTACAAAAGGACACAGGTTGGAACTCGAAAGCCTTAACAGGAATGACGATCCAACTGTAAAAGTAAAAGTACTACAAGGGAAAGATCGGAAATTCCCGTGTTACATCAACATCCTCACCCCGGTAATTAAAGGCTGCCAGGAGGAAAACTGTTCACGCGCTATCACATGGATGTGAACAGGGTCACACGGATAATTGACCCGCGAACGTTCGCTTCTCACGTAGAAACGATTCACTGTCACCCTTCTCCCGTCAGGTCGCTCATCCCGGCGTATCCGCGAGTCTAACGATTCATTTGTCACACATGATCAGCCATACCGAGAAAGACAGAGAGATCCATCGTCGGAGAAAGCACTACTTGGTTCTGTGGATCTTTCATCGAACGTTACATTATCATTATTATTATTATTATTATTATTAATTTACACACTATTATATACAACACCGTAAATACTTAAGACTCTCTGTAGATCCTCCCGATCGTCTCTGAATCAGCATAAGTCATTCACACCCGAAGAAGAAGAGTCATTCAAATAAATTATTTCAGACAAGACCACGTCTCAGCAATACTCAGCATCCGTCAAAGCTGGTGTCCCTCTTTGTTCGTTTCCTCTCGTAGCACTCTACGGCCCTCTGCAGCTGCTCCATGTACTCCTGGATCGTCTCCTCCCTGGAGAACTCTCTCGAGTCCGATCGGGCGGCGAACGATCGTTTCTGGACCAAAGCGGTGAGCATCAGGGTAACCACGGGCAGCGTCATACCCAGCAGGAACGTCGGCGTCATGATGTTCTTCAGGCCGTGCTTCTTGAAGCCCCGATACAGGTCCGACCAAATGCTGTTGCTGTTGTCGTCGTACTTACCCAGCTTCCCGTACAGGTGAGGCTTGATCTTCCCGGTCTTGGCGATGTAATTGTAGTAGTGAGGATCGTAGGACTGCGCGTACAGCTGAGAATAATAGACATCTTTCGCAGGTGGCGGTTGATCAGCCTCCGGGAACCAGGCACTTGCGTCCTCGTAGGGCATCGGAGGATTGCCCAAGACCGGAGGTGGACCACGATTGAAGCCTGGTGGCTTCGTGTAGATCACCTCGACCGGAGGGACCTTTGGCTTATAGGGAACTGTGTGGTGGACAACAATAAACACCGTTAGACGCGATTGTCTGTAAACGAATAATGCTGATACCTTTAGAGCATAGTTTCCCAACATTTTCTTTTTGTTCAGTGCCCCGTTCGGGTAAACTGTCTTTATTATCAAAATTGTAGTTGTGCGTGTAAATCTTTGAATCTGAGGAAGTTAGATTGAAAGTAAAGAAAATATAGTAACTACAGTAACTCATCGATGAATGTTCAGACGTCATGCCCATAATTGGGGGGTTCCGTGGAACCAGTCAAGCGCCCAGTGGTGAGAATAACGCCTGAACATTCATAAGGGAAGGACTCCAACTGTCAGACTACGATTTTAACGGGATCTTGTAAGATGCCCACCGGGTAGTGCCCACTTAGGAATCTTATGCTCTAAAAGTACTCTAGATTTAATTATAGTATCGTCGAGAATTCGGAACATAGTGTACCAGCACGATTCATTGAACTGTACTTCGCTTACGAAACACATAAAGGCTCTCAGGACTCTCTAAAGAAGATGGACTTTCGACAGATCATCTCCGTCGGAATCTCACCTGGCACAGGCCCACCGTGGAACCCAGGCCCCCCCCTGGACTGAGTATACGGGAACGGTCTCCCGCGTATTCTTCTCACGCGTTGATGCCATCCGACAGGATAGAAGATATCGTTTCTCGCCTGTAATCCCTGCGCGTACGGCGTCTGCATGATCTGCTGCGGTAATGGAGCACCAACCGCACCGGACACGTGCGGCAAACGAGGATCCATGGGGTTCACAGGAATATTGTAAACCTGTCCGTTCAAGTGTTGCCTCTGATTAACAACGGGGAATGGCTGCAACGGTTGTCGTTGTTGCATCAGTTGGGCCGTCAGGTGCTGATTGACCGGCGATGATAGAGCCACCGATTGCTGGTCAACCGGCGACGTCAGTTGCACCGTGTGTCGCGATAATTGTTGCTGATTGACCGAAGACACCGTTTGTTGGCCCGGTTGCTCCCCAACGAGGACATTCTGAGAGCCATCTGCGTTTTCTAGGTAAGTGTCCAGGGACATACGAGACTCTTCCGGTGTCTTTGAGTTCAGAAACGTGTTCAAAGCCATCTCTGCCGGGTTTATGACATTGTTTGCTTGGTTGTAGACGCTGGCGAGCAGTTGTCGAGATGTCTGAACAGCCTCCGGCTGAACAGTGATGAGATTCTCGGGCTGCGATGGATGTCCCAATTCCGAACGATCGGCCGAATCAACAGGCCGGTTTTTCGGTTCCGGTTTCTTCGATGCGTTCTTTGCATCCTCGTGTACCGGATAGAGCTTCTGGGAACGGAATTCTGTGACCATGGTGGACGTCGCGTTCGCTGCGGTTTCCCCCTGTCTTGCGGTTCGCCGCGAAAACCGTGATTCTTCAGCGGTGTACTCGGTATTCTCCGTCAGCGGGTTACCCTCGAAGTTCAATTGACCGTTCGATAGCCCTATCGCGAGGACAACTGACAGAGTCAGCAGGACCGTCGCCAGGTTCATGTTGCTAAAAAGAATACGATATATGTACGTAAAATCGAGTCGATCTAAACGATCTTTTCCCTCCCTCGAATACCGTCGAAGGAGAATCCCAAGACAGAGAGTTTTAATGCAAACAAAAATGAACAAGTCACCCCTTTGTTATTTTTAAATTTATTCCCATAATTAGAACGACTGACAAGCAAGTAGGCTGGCCCCAACGCATTTCTCGCGTCGTTCCACTTACATTCGCCGCGAATGGCCAAGGTGGGGAAGACACGAAGCTATGCAGAAATGATATTGGAACTCCGACAGTCGTTTATAGGCGCGTGGAGGAAAATTGATGGGCCCCATAAATGACAAAATACAGTGAAATTGATGAAAATTTATTTACCAATTTCCACTTAAATAGAATTAATGAGTTTCGAAATTTTGTTATTGTTTCAGTTAAATTAAGCATATGGGAGCTACGAAATTTTGATTCTGGACCCAACTGTGCGTTATCTTCGAAATACTTTGAATAATCGAAACGGACTGTGAACAAAATCCTCTCGAAGATCGAACACCTGTCAACATGAATATATGATCTACCGGAATGCATTATATTGCACGCGACGTCCAACGAATAACCGCTGTAAACGCAACGAGACAGTCGGTGCGCGCGCGCGCGCATGAATCGAGCAGCCGCCGGTTAAAGACCCGCGTAACACTTTCTTCGGTCAAGGTGAACGCAGTTACACCAACACGGAAACTCCATCGATCGTTCTCCAATTGAAGGAGATGGTTTCAACTCGCCGCCGACATCGACACTGCATCATACGGAGGTCGTTACCTTCTGAATGCGGGATCACGAAGGATCGTAAAGATATTTTCATTGTTGCAAATGATTCGAAATCATTCATACAAGACGGCAACCACATCATGAAAGCAATTCCATGCAGATTAACACGAGGTGAAGCGACCGATGGAATTACGAATCGAGAGATTAAGGATCGATCGAATCGTGAATGAATTTGTAAACGATAATCTTTTGCGCTTTTTTGTATTTACATAACACGTTCGCCTACTGTATTCAACGTACAGATCAGACAAGAAATATTTAAAACATAGTGAATTATTGATCTTGTAAAGTCGACAAATGTTTATGTAATCGCAAAGTTCAGTGTGAACTTGCTGTAAGAGCACGTTAAAATCCTACGTATAGTAGGCTGCCAAAAGTTTTCAGGCAAACTGTAATTTCGATGTTTTTGAAAATATTAAATACTAATATAATCATATTAGTATTTAATATTTTCGGTGAAATTACAGTTTAGACGGAAACTATTGGTAGCCACTGTATATCGAGAACGTTGCCTGGGATGAACTGTTTTTCTAAAAACATAACGATTGCGTTAAAAATTACAATGCACCGGTTATGCAAATGAAGGAAAGCGAAAGACGAGAATTTTCTCATGATCATTAGCTCCGATTGCAAGACAGGATTCACCAAGCCATTGTATAACCGTATTCAATTATTCGGGAATTTACGGTGCGTTCCCATCGAATGGAAAGTCCTTAGATTCTTCGGACGTGTGTGTGTGTACAGCACAGCGAATAATCGAGGAGAAAAGCCATTAAAAACGCTGTAGAAAAGTCGTCCAGAGAGAGTGGTTCTGTTTTAAAAGTCAGCCCACGTGCGAATCCAGAGGAGTTCATGGCCAGCACTGAAACATTCTTTTCTGGGTTTCTCGCCGAAAGCGGTTGTTATATGTAAATTCGCCTCGAAACGGACATGCCCACCCACTTTCGTCCGATTCAACTGAAAAGTTCATTGGACTCCTCTATATTTCTTTTATCTTCGAGTTGCATTTCATCGAAAATCTGATTTGTTATCGTCACCGTATGATATTTATCAAGAAATCACCGATGTTCCAGATACAGAAAAAATTTACGCGCTTTCGGTGAAAGGTTGACGAAAAGACACAGCTCGCCTGTACCTCCCAGGAACTTTCTAAACGTCGTTAATTCATTACGAATTCAACGATCGACAGAAATTCGATAAACGCCCTCGGTTGCCACCATCCGATCGGTGACACACACCTTTTCGCGGAGCTTGAAGGATCTAGCCGTGAAGGAAACGAAAATATTTCTCCTCTGTTAACGATGGATCGCTTCGTATGTATGGATGGAGCTCGTTCATAGGAACAAGAAGGTAAGACAGTAATTACCGTAGGCAAGAAACTACTAAATAACAACACCGTGGCGGTAATTAGTTACAGATTCTCGACGAAAAACGACATCGAAGTGGAATAGAGATTTAATTGCCGTTGCCTACTTAACAGAATTGAGTTCCACAGAACCAGAACACCGTGCTCGTCTGAACGTATACATTAACTGTAATAACAAAACCATCGACACATTGGCTCGAATAAATGGTGAACAATCTGAACAGTGGTGAAATATTATGAGAAGAAACTTGGATATCTTGATCTGGTAAACACGTTAATTCAAATCGACGTTCAGGATTTTAACTATAAAGTCTTCGATCGGATTTAATCGAGGGAGAAATTCCTCTAATTCGTTTTTACTCACTTTCAGTTGTCTGAAGGCTGAAAACGACCACGAGCACCAGTGTCCAACGCACGATTCAATCGCGATTACAACATCCACGAAACGACGACGAACGACCCGGAAGAGAGGACCCGTCCATCGGTTCGACTCGAACCAGGAATACTGAAGATCCACGGATGATGGGAAAGGCATTCACTTCGACTGCTCCCTACCTTCCTCTGGATCGCCAAAGCCGGTTCCGCGTTGCGGTCGTTACCTGGATGGAATCGCGCCGTTGACTTTGACTTCGTTCCGAGCGCGGGGTTGGTGAAAGTTTTTCAAAATCCGGCGACTCAAAGTCTGTACACTCGAGTTGTGGTACATTCATGTATTTCGGATGGTACGACCATTGAATTGTTGCATTTGAAAGAGTTTTTTTCTTTACATATTTCTAATTAAGTCAGTTCCGTATCGATCTGTAAGAAGATTTGTGTCGTAATGGCTCATCTACATTCTGATTTCTTATATCTTCCTATTTTATGGATGGAGATATGCAGAATAGCGAAAAAAAAGTTACCACTTTTCTGATTTATCGTATTTTTTTATTATTTCTTAACATCGACTTAAAATCTTAATACACTGGGTTTTATATAGCTTTTAATTCTCTATATATTTTTCATTAAAAAGAAAGAAAGCGCGCGAAGTAATATATTTTGTATATTTCATACTCCACAGTAAGTTGCACAGCACAAACAAGAACTTCAAATAACACTTGCCCGAATTTAGTTTTCTCCACCGCATTGATTTATCGACGCTTGTACATCGCTGGGTCTGTCAGACCCCAACTTGCACTTTCGACGTTAATAACTCGGTAACGAAAAACGTACTGACACCGTTTAATAGCGGAAAATTTAACGACAGCCCTTAACATTTTCCCCCTCCCCACGGGGTGGCAACTATGTTTGAAACAGGAGATATGACAAGGGATGGTTGGAGTTATAAAAATTCTCGATTCCTCCGAGAAAATGCAAATTCAAAGATTTTCTTCCTATTTTTATAGATGGAGATACAGATAGAGATCTAGTAAAAAGGTCTGCATTGGAAGAAAAGTTGGAGAACCAGCGAAACGTAGATCATTGAATTATTAGAATATTACGTTACAAGTTTGAAGATCTATAATATGGGATATTATAAAGGTTCGAATGAGAAGATCGTGACTAATGACAGATTCAATCGCCGAAATGTCGGAGACAGTCGGAAGATCGAAACTCGAGGATCACTTTTATCCGCGGTCGTTCGTCCGTGAACGAGTCGAGTTTCAAATAGCTATGCGCCGTGGAATCGGAATAATGACGAGGCGAAAAGGAAACGCTTCACGACTGGTTACGAGAAAATTAATAAGTCGGTTCCGAGACGCAATCTTCCTTCTACCGATTACCAGTATGCTCGATCACACACCACCCACGACTTTATGTCGTTTGAGTAATTAAGGACACAAGCACACGTTTTCGAAATTAAATAAAACACTTAAAGACTGAAAAGTTCCGGGCACCTCCTCGCAGGTCGACAACTTTCGAAGAGGAGCGTTAATTAAACAGAATATGTGGGTCGTCAGCCTAGAACCGAAAGCCGCCGATCCACCTGCGTGTGTGTGCGTGCTCGGATCGGGTCATAATGTAACCGTGATATGCGGTGGTTATCGAGCGATTATCTGACCGAGAAACAAGAGTGAACCGAACCGAATGAACGGTAGTTCAAGCATTTTGTTTCCGTTGCCTTTCCGTCGTCATCCGATCTGTCCCTCCCAGCGATGACATTGTCACAGATTCGTCTCGTCAGCCGTTGAAACGAGGATTAATCCACTTACCTCGTATCCTACATCGATTTTATTTTTTTTTTTTTTGTTTTCTTAATATCTGACACAAAAGTGGCGCTCCGTTTTCGAATACTAGCGCGTATCAACGAGAATAGGTGGTTCCTGTTTGAAAAGGAATCGGAAACTGGAGGATCGAGTTACGTTCGTACGAGCAGAATAAAGAAAAAGATTTTTAATCTGGTTAAAGAAACTAAACGCAGAGATTATGTTATTTAGAAACGCGACCAGCATGGACTACATTAATGTTACCGTGACGGAGACGATGTGTTTCATTTTAATGGGAAGAGATCGAAGATGATAGTGAAAAAAATGAAACGAAAATAAACAATTCCCGGATCGCAAAAACACGTTGGTATCGCGTCGACTTCCTTGACGTTTTATTTCTGTGGAGAGCGGCAGGGTATTGCTATATACGATCTAGAATTATGCTGATCGTATTGTATAAACGATACCCCTGCTTTGTTTCTAATATCAGATAAAGCGACTTGACTTGCAATCGCGTGTCCCGGGACATTCTGAACGGAAGAACACGGAGAAATGTTTCACGAGTATATAACGAGAAAATGGCTTCGAAGTTGGAGGATCTGTTTAACGGATTTCACGTGATTTCGCTATTTAAATCCTAGAGCAATATGTCATTTAACGTGTTGACTAATGTGCTAAGTTACACACCGCAAACGATCTTTTTTTAAGGAACCTACATCAGCACCCTCTGTAAGAAGAAAACAATCTTTCGTATGACTGTATAAAAATGAGAAGTTAGTGTTTAAAGATAGGTTAATGAAACGTAAAAACTTTTATCGAGACACCTTGTACAGTTATTTAGAAAAAAGTTCCCAAAAATTGTGATCATTTTTAAGCGTCGAATTCGCAGATACGCTTCAACATTATGACGACCGTTTGGTTTCGCGAATAACGTTCACCAGTGGCTGGCTCTTTTCATCAAGAATTAACAAAATATTGTCGTGAAACATTCGATAACTCTAGGATACCTGAAAAGTACCAATTGATGCACGACACCCAGTGTCGCGTCATCGGCCACCAAGAACACATTCGTCACACTCAGTCTCCACTAGTTTCTAAACCGAGAAATCTGAGTTTAAACTTCACGAAGATTTAACATTATACAAGCAGAAAAGTAGTAAAAGATTCAAACACACTATAATATCATCTACGGCATAGCTATTTATCTTATTACCGAGAGAAGTTTTTAATTGTTCTTAGTATTCCGAGTTACATCCGTTAAGAGAAAAACCTTTCAAAGTTATGGTGTTCGAACTTGAAAGAGTATTTGTTGTTTTCTAGGTTGAAGTTGGTGATTTATATTCTTTGGACCAACGACATCGATTAACTAAATTTGTTTTCGAAAAATGGAGCTGGAACTAGTTAAGAATTCGGACGACGATATATCGAAATCGGTGACCCGCTGGAAGAAGACAATAGGAGGGGTGACAGACGACGTGCACGCTCCTCCTCATTCTCCCGAGGCCCATCACAGAGAGAGCCCAAGCCGCGGGCCGTGCAACCGAACCATCGTCCGGAGCGAACGTTATATAATTGTCGCAGATTACTTCCACCGTTGGTCACATGCACGCTTGGGCCGGGACTACTCGACCGTGTGTGGCTTAGTAACGCTACCAGTGGACATTTGGCGTCGGAACGACCTGAGCGTCGCACAGACGATGGAAACACAACGAGGAAACGGATCCAGCAACAACAGCACCGCCACCACCACTACCACTACCACCACCACGTGGACCCGGCTGAAGGATATACTGCTAGACTTTCATCTAAATTCGGATCGTGTGTTTTACTGGTGAGTGGATTACAGCATGACCTCCCCTATTCTTCTGATCCCGCGGGAGAAACCTCTAGGACTATCTTGTGTTGCAAGGACTCTAGTCCCTTCTTTCGATTTTTTGGTACCAGTTTCTATGGGATCTTCCGATAGAATGTTTAAGTCCTCCAGAAAGATCTGATTTCGATAGAGGATTGTTCAATGTCGAGGATTCGATGAAGACTTTCGACGATCGATGTTCATCCTTGATGGTTCGGGCATGTTCTCCCTGGAAACGGATTTAAAAAAGGTTACGCGTGTCCGTTGGTCTGTGTCGAGGCGCGTGATCGTTCCTCGCCGTGACAGACAGGAAAAAATAGATCGGATATCAGCGAATTAAGCGTGGCCGTGAACATTTCTGCTGGACGCGTTATCACGGATTTTTCTGCACTGTCACCAAAACCGCCGTCACGACGGGTCTAGGGTTAAATAGTAGGTTCCTCTAGACGAATTGACATTGAGATATATGTCCGTCAATGGTAATATCATACAGAGAATTTAATTGCCTTTAGAGGCAGGAACTACAAGGAGGTCCATGTACTTTTACGATAAATGTTTACGATCCGTTGTTTCGAACGGAAAGATTGTGTTCTTCGTTTTTGAAATTCTCGACAGTAATGGAATTGATCTTTAACATATTCGTTGCTTTTCTTTAGCGTAAATATCCATTTATGCAATCACTAATGCAAAATTTTATCAGTTATTCGGAACGAAAGTCCTCGAAGGATATAAAATGTAAGTTTCTGCCATCGAATACGCGAACAATAATTAAAAATAAAAGCGTCCATTGTCGACGGTTCAGTAAAACCGGCTGATCTGGATTCGATCTTCGGTCGAATCACAATTTTCCGTCGATCAATCTCCGCCGGGTTCCATCTTCAACAGACAATCAACAGTTGCAATGAATCTCGTTGAAGGTAATTACATTACCATTCGGTTCGGTTTCATAGGTTGGAACCTTCCATCACTTTAATCCACTTACGGTGAGATCATCGCGGCCCTCTTAATTAGCCGAATCAAACGTACTTCTTTCGTTCCACGAATTATGATTGGCCTATATAAGACGGCAGGAGCCTGATTTAGGCGCCAACCCGCCCGCGGTTTTCTTATTATTTCATTGAAGGGGTCGTCGCCCTTTCTATTGACCAATTAAATCGACGAAAATTCTTTCGTATTGAATCGTGGATCCCATACGACAATTGCCTCTGAAAATTGGATCGATTCCGATGGGTTGATTCCTATTTTACACGAAATTGTGCTGACTGGACATCTCCTCTTGGAAAGGTCTCTTAACTTCTAGTTTAGGAACTGTTTAGGATAGAATATAGAAACCTGTTAGGAACTAACGTTGAAAAACTGAGAGTACCTACTTTTGCGGTTGTAACTCGACTTTCGTTTGCTCAACAACGATAACTCGTTTTTAGCATCCTAAGAAGAGGATACATCGGAGTTTGCCATCTTCCAGTGGTTCGTTCTTATCAGTGTGGTGTGGTAATAACTAGAATTCCTTTCATTCTTCCTCAGCATCGGACTGAGCATCGGGAAACGGCCCTGGCTATGGCTGTTGGTCACCTTTGTCATGAACTGCGTCTGTATACCGGGTATGCTGCTTTGGAAAGAGGCCGTCGATGACGTCGAGATGTTCGTGCCGGACGACTCCATAGTACGGGCGGACGCCACCTGGGTCAGGAACCACTTCCACGACGAGTTCCGATACGAGAGCATCATCGTGACCGCCCCCAACGTTTTGGAGCCCGAAGTGCTGCGTTCGGTACATAAGGCGATCATGAAATTATTCGCGTGTCTACGAAGGTTCTTTTCTACTTTCCCACGCACGAGTCAGTCAAAGATTCAATAGACCCACGACATTTGGCTTCCACTGGAATCTGTGGGCTAAATATCATGCCGTCCGACAAACATACTTTCAGATGTGTACTTTATTTCTTCGCAGATCAGCAAGATCGAGCAGATCGTGAAGAACGTACGGGTGAAGAATAGCACTTGGAAAGACGTGTGCGCAGGGTAAATTTCGAGTGAATCGACTCGGAATACCGTAGATCAGTGTTTCCTAATCTTTTATCGATTATGCCCCACCTAAATACCTCAAAGATCTCGATGTCCCGCCTAGCACAATAGTAAAGGCACATAGGTAAAACTGTTGCCGATTAGGTGACGATTGTCAATTTGTTAATTGCCCCCGAAAATCTTTGGATTGTTCCTCGGTGGGGCTTACGTCCCACGTTCGGAAACACTGCTGTATATCGTCCGTTTGAACCATCGATAAAACAATGTGTTCCGATTATAGGTATCTCACGTGGTTCAATAAAACGGACACCACGGATATCTTCAAGGACCTCGACATCACCGAGGACATTCTCGCCGAGCTGAACAGCACAGCGTTCAAGGACGGTTGTATATATCAGTCGATCGTGCAACTCTGGGACACTGGTTTGTCGAAAGACGTTCGTAATCTGACGAAAAAGGAAATCGTCGAGGATGTGAACAAGGCGTTGAGGCACAAGTGAGTTACCCCCGCGAGAAAATCGCGATCGATCGAACCGTTCCATGGTGACTGTGTGTAAAATATGCTTTCAGGATCGCTGGCAATCTGTTGCTGGACATCAGTCCTCTGCTCTCGGGACTCTCATACGACAAAAAGGGTCGGATTCGTGGCGCGAAGGCGACGATCCTGAATTGGTTGCTGCAGAAAACAAACTCGAACTCGGAGGAATGGGAGCTGGAATTCATAGATCGCGTTCTCCGGGGGAACGTCACGTTGCCGGCCGGGGTCGAGGTATACGCGATTGCCACGCGAAGTTACATAGACACCTTACACCAGATATTGAACAGCAATCTGACAGTGCTGTGCTGCGGTATATCGTTGATTGTGGTTTACGTGACGGCGATGATCGGTAAATGTAACGCCTTGGAGCAACGGATTTACCTGTCGTTAATGGGCGTTTTTGTGGTCGGCCAAGCGATCCTGTCCTCTTACGGGTTGTGTTACTACTTGAGATACTCGTACGGGCCGCTACATTCGATTCTACCGTTTCTGTTGCTCGGTATAGGCGTCGATAACATGTTCGTGATCATGCAGAGCCTGACGAACTTGCCGGAGACCGATCAGGCTCTGGAACTTCCGGTTCGGATCGCTAAAGCGATGCAACAGTCGGGTAAGGCGATCGTCGATTATTTAAAGAGTCAACTTTGTTCCTCACGAGTTTCATAGATTCTTGGAACGAGGGGATTAATCTAAGCGATTCTTTCTTTCTATGTTCAAGGCATGTCCGTCACAGTGACTTCATTCACGAACGTAATCGCGTTTGCCTTCGGCATCACGACGGTGATGCCGTGTCTAAGATCCTTTTACGCGTTCGCCACACTGGGTATCCTCTTCTTGTACATCTACGAGGTCACCTTCTTCATGAGCTGCCTGGTGTACGATGAAAAGAGGCTCCAGGCTCGTAAGGACGGCTGTTTCTGTCGTCCAAGATTGAACTGGAAACCGAACGAGTGCAGTCAAAGAAACACTCAGCAGATTCTCTTTGAGAATTACATCGGTCCGTGGGTTGTCAAGAACTCCGTGAGAACGATCATACTGTTGATCACCGGTGGCCTTCTGTGCGTCAACACGTGGGCCATTTTCCAGCTGGAGCAAAACTTCGATCCGCTTTGGTACTTAAACCAGGACTCATATCCGATCCAATTCAATAACAAGCTGAAAGAGTACTTTCCAAAGTACGGAAAACGTGCCGGCATTTACATGACCGGCGTGGACTACTACGAGGATCGTGACTCCCTCTTCAGATTGGTAGAAGGTCTAAAAGCGAATCGGTTCATTAATAACGGCACTCTTGAACCGTGGTTCATTGCCTATGAAAAGTGGCTTAACGCTACTAACAAAGGTAACCTTGAATTAATTATATTTAGGAATTGTTTGAGAATCAATCAATAGACCATTGTTGGCTGTTTCAGGTGAGATTGAAAGCAGCGAAGAATATTATAATGTCCTTACCGAATATTTACTTCTGACTAAGGAAGGTCAAGCATATATTAAGGATATTAAGTTCAGTAGTATTCCAGCCGGAGAATATAATATAACGGTATTTATAAACATGCAACCGTTATATGTTTAACTGCTGTTCTTAAACAGCATATGTTTACTCTTTCCTTAGACATCACAAATTCCAATACAACATGTACTCATCAACACAACCATAGAACAAGTACAAGCAATGGAGTCAATCAGAGAAACAGTTCAGGGTACTAATTTCTCCCAGGGAACCGACTATATTGCTATTTTCTCGCCAGATTATGTTTCTTGGACCGCGAACAAGGTAATAACAATCTTGGTTGAAATTTTTTCATTTTCTACATTTTTAAACGGCAATTCTCTCATAGGTGATAGGAGAGGAGTTGACTAGAAACTTGTGCCTCGAGATAATAACTATCGGAGTGGTTATAGTAATATTTCTCAGAGATTTTAAGGCATCCTTTTGGGTTCTCTGTTGCGTTTTATTCACGCTCATTGATTTATTAGGTTCTATGTACTTTTTAAACTTGACTATCGAAATGTCTTCGAGTATTATGATTTTACTATGTGCGGGGTTAGCAGTTGATTATGCGGCTCATATTGGACTGGAATTTATCCGTACAAAGGGCAGTAAGAAAGGTAAACATTATTACAATGTGTTTGCCTTAGTTTGAGGAGAACTAAATTCTAACATTCGTGTCTATTAAATGGTTTTTATAGAACGTGCAATTGCAACACTTTCTATCATTGGACCAGCCGTATTTAATGGAGGTTTGAGCACGTTCCTCGCATTTGTGTTACTGGGTTCCAGTGAAGCTTACATATTTAGTACTTTCTTTAAGGTAACGTTGGACACTTTCATTTATTATTTGTTATTTTTTTAGATACGTAACAGTTTTTATTATTTCAGTTATTCACATGTGTAGTAATGTTTGGTTTATTTCATGGACTACTATTCTTACCAGTAATCTTAAGCTTACTGGGCCCTGGAGAAAGAAGAACTGAAATAAAAAAGGCGAATGTTTCGCGAGAACACAATGGATACTGTACTGTTCCTTTATCTCAAAATGAGAAAGGTAAAATGTATTGCAATATATGTACAAAACATTTATCTATATAATCTTGTATACTTTAATAACTCTTTCCTTTTCAGATTCAGGAAGTAGAACTGCCAAATGAAATTTGGCAGTGTCTAAAAGACTGCTTAGATAAGTATTTTGGTTACAAGATCCTAGTATATAAATTGCATTTATGGACACAATGCACATGTACTGTAAGACAGTAGTTTGTACATTCTTTCATATAAAAACAAATAAAAATGTATGAATTCACATATCCTGTACTGGTTATCTTTTCCGTCTAGATCTTACTTCTGTCCATTCATCTGTCACCTGCATTTCCTGTGATGCTGTCTCATCTTCTGAACTATCATTTTCAACAATGACAGGATTTTGAGTTCTTCTCACAGGTTCATTTGTGACAAGCCATGACTGAAGTGGTGGTAATTTCTCAATCTCTGTTACTGCTATACTTTCATTACTCTTAACACAATAATTGAAAAACCTCAGAAGCTCTTCTGCAACTTGAATGGCACTGTTGTCCTGTAGTTCAGTGTTGAAATGCTCTTCCATGTAATCTTCTAATTCATTAGCAATTTCACTGCTGTTTAAATTCTCTGAGGAATTATTGTATAGACAATTAAAACACAATTCTAAAATAATACAATATGTTACAATATTTGACCAAATTTTAGTAATGTACTGATTATTATTCATTTTATATTAATTAACAAATAATCAACATGTTACACAGAGAAAGAAATGTGCAAAGTATATGTATCCATGAAAAAAACATGGAAAATGAAATATAAGTATATTGCTAAAATCCATCAAAAGAGAAACTAACTACAGAAAATAAAAATATTGTTGTATGGATTGTCAAACACATGTGATAGAACAAGCTTCTGTACTTTGGTCAAACATTTTATGAACATCCTGCAGTAATAAATAAGTGAAAACAACTAACCATTCATAAATATAACCTCCGTCATGTAAGGACAAAAATCTATTGCTCTTTCCTTCGGTCCCATTCCATGTTCTACTGCCATCTAATGAGAACGTATTCCATAAAATAAAATACAACAAACTAAGGTGATTGTTATAAATTTAAAAAAAAAGAGACAAAGTATTCTTACCTTTAACGCAGTCCAGTTGCTGAAAATACGCTGTGCAATAGAAAGGAAGAATTCCTTGGTGTTTGACATTTTTCTGTTAACGAAGAAGTCTTAACAACAATTGTTAATAGTAGTAACAGCAATATTTAAAAATCAGACACACGATGACGGTGAATCCAGTGAATCTGCCAATGCGGCCATGTGTTTCACTTCTCTCAGTTAAAGTTAGTTCAGATTGAGTTAGGTTCTCTGTCAACAGCAGTCAGTCAACAGTCAACAGTCTTTAAAGGCTTTTAGGTATAAATAGGTGTTTTCGATTAAAACGTATGTATTTATAAGCAATTTAAATTACTCCAATCGGTGTCACAAGGTATGAAATATTTTATTATCCTTTGTAACAAATGTAAGACTTCTTCTCATTCCCTTTTAACTGATTCTTTTACTTGCAACATTTACTTATAAAAACGAATATTTACTTGTAACATTTACATTTAAATATTTTTTGGAAAGACATGTCAGACGCCTTTGAGGAAATTCAAGCAATTAAAATAAAGAGAAATAGTCTACGGGAGAAACTACAGAAGAGAAAACGTGAGAGACATGAATTATTTACTCTTACTTCTGCAACACCGGTATCATCCACCTTGACCAGTAAATCGCCTCTTACCAGTGGTAATTGAATTCTTCAATATTAATTTCTTTATTTATATATTATATTATAATCTTGTGTTTACAGAAAAAGTAATACAATTGTTGTAGATTCTATTGGACATGCACAAAGGGCAGATCACAGTGAATATGAAAGGGATGTCTTATGCATATTGCATGAATCATTGCCTAATTTACCAATTACATCAGCAGAATTGATAGATCAACTTCGCAAGAATCTGAATGCAGATATATCTTCACCAGATATTCATAAAATTTTGGAGAAGCTGGCGGCTCAAGATATTGTTAAGTTAGTAAGTTTCTTCATCATTTTATGCCTTCATTTCTTGTGCTTTGAAATAATTAAATATTCTTTCAGGATTAAGGAAGTAACAGAGAATGGTGTTTTTGGGTACACTGTGTTATCAGTGACAGAATCTCAATCGTCATATCAATCACAGTCCGATGACACTGAATATCCAGAGAGTGCAGAAACATCTGCATCTGAATTGAATGATTACATGCCTGCAGAGAAGCAATCTAAATTGGATAAAAAGAATACTGAGGATATAATGTCTTTAATTTCAATGCCCACAATTAGAGAGAAGGAAAATAAAAAGGTTGGAGAGCAGATTTTGGACTTATTATCAAAGCAAACATCTAAGGAGAAATCATTGGCTGAACGGTTTCGATCCCAAGGAGGAGCTCAGGTCATGGAATTCTGTCCACATGGCACAAGAGTAGATTGTGTTAAATTGAATGGTGGGCCGGGATTTGTGGAAAAGTGCAAAAAACTTCACTTCAAAAAGATCATTCAAAGTCATACAGATGAATCATTAGGTGATTGTAGCTTCCTGAACACCTGTTTTCATATGGACACATGCAAGTATGTATTTCGAAAAACTTTACAAACACTAAAAACACTTTACTACATTGTTTTATTTATATAAATTTTCTACTACTTAGATATGTTCATTATGAAGTGGATGGTCCAACAACTCAACCCAAGGAACCAAATGATCCGGATAATACAAGCAATACAATGGTAAATAAAACTATAACATTAGATAGTAAAAATGGTAGCAGTGTCGCTTGTCCAACCGCCAGCGGATCGCTAGGCAGTGAATTAACTCTTTACCCACCACAATGGATACAATGTGATTTACGTTATCTCGACATGACTGTACTTGGTAAATTTGCTGTTATAATGGCTGATCCTCCATGGGATATCCACATGGAATTGCCATATGGTACAATGTCTGACGATGAAATGAGGCAGCTTGGTATACCGGCACTTCAAGATGAAGGTCTTCTATTTTTATGGGTAACAGGAAGAGCAATGGAACTTGGCAGAGAATGCTTACAACTATGGGGATATAAAAGAGTTGACGAGATTATATGGGTCAAAACAAATCAGTTACAAAGGATAATAAGAACAGGCAGGACAGGACATTGGTTAAATCATGGTAAGGAGCATTGTCTGGTTGGAATGAAAGGAACCCCAAGAATCAATAGAGGACTGGATAGTGATGTTATTGTGGCCGAAGTCCGTGCCACTAGTCACAAGCCTGACGAGATTTATGGAATTATCGAACGTATGAGTCCAGGTACAAGGAAGATTGAATTATTTGGACGACCGCATAATGTCCAACCTAATTGGATAACACTTGGTAATCAAGTAGATGGTGTTCACTTGATTGACCCTCAACTCATCAAAGCTTTCAAAAAACGTTATCCAGACGGAAACTCAATGAAACCAGCTAAACCATAATGAGTATTTCAGAATATTGTGAAATAAGGGAACTGTTATTTTATTACGAACATTATGAAAATAAAATCCTGTTGGATGAAAATTAAAAACGTATTTCCAGTTCATACGCTTATATTGTAGTATACGATATTCATAGAAAAATAATTTCATTTTTAAATACATGTATACATAGGTATATATAAACTGCCTTTTGGGATAAGCATGATATAATCACATACTGGATATTATCACAATACAAATCGATCTTCCAAACTTATGATATTAAAGATATTTTTGTACATATTTTTTCTTTCGTTCATGCTTTGACAAGCATGTTTCCAAACTTCTACATCTGTTACCTTTACATTAGCACTTCAATGATTATTTAGTTATATATGTATAATTTATATATTTTACACCAATATTGTTCTTCTCGAAATACTTAAACAATATATATAAGTACATGTATTTGTGCAAATATACTTTCTGGTATTGTACTGAAAATGGAATGTAATCTCCAAATATGATACACACGAAATTGTTTTTAGTACGATAATATTTAGAAATATTTAGACATACAAAAAAATTCTACATATATGTATAAATATATGAATACAAAAATTTGGAATTGAGTATAATACACGAGTCTAAAAATGTTTAATAACTAAGTACAATCAATACTGTTACGTTTTTGTCTCAAGAAGCTTCTTTTTAATGTCAGAAAGTTATTTTCACTTATCTTATTTATAGTGGATCTACTAGATTGATTCTTTTTTACTGGTGTCAAAACCTTATTTTCTTTTTCATTGACATCAATTTCATTTTCTACCGAATCAATTCTGAACCTACAAACTTTGCTTAATGAGTCAATCCAGTGTCTCTTTCCATGTCCATCTTCTGTTGTGAAAACATAATCACCAATTTTGAACTCACAAATTTCGAGAGACTTGTCTTCTGTGTTCATGCACATCTGTTCTTTAGATATTACAGGAGAAGACAAATTGTACTTTTTACTCATGGATCTTGTCCTACGTGTTATTACAAAACCAGTATCAAAGAGGAAACACTGAAATTTCTATAAAAATGAACAATAATAAATTTATTTACAATCATCATGAAAGTGACAAAAGTTACTATAAATTGCTCTTACTATGCCACGTGTATCTTTAAGCTGTCCTTCAGTGATAAGTTCTGTTGCACTTTCAACACATTTACAAGGATCATATTCTGATTTTACATGAATTTTTGATTGTGCTAACTTGCATTCTGCAGCTCCCATGATTCCATCTATATCATTGAGTAATTTGGATAGCATATCATATGCCTCTTTTAAAGATGATTGATCAGAATGACTGACTGGAGTATGCCTGAGTATTTCTTTAACTAATAATGGATACTTAACAATCCTTGATCTTGCGACATCTATATATGTCCACAAATCAATAGAATGAGGAGACTCCAAACGTTTTTTTAAAAACGACTGGAAACGCTTATTCATTAGTCTTTTTTCATCTAACAAGTGTTTGGCCCATATTTGCGTTCTGCACCTTTCCAAATAAGGTTCTGTTAAGGTAGGGGTCTGAAAGAATTATAAATTACTGAGTTTTTGAACTCAGTGAGTAAATGTAATATTACATATAATAATAATAATACCCAATTTAATATTGTAGGACCAACAATATCTGTACATCCATTTTGGTCTCTTAACTGAACCAATTCATCCCTTAATCTGGTATGTATTTCAATCAGATGAGCTATACCTCCAAAAACTGTAAGTAACTCCTCAGAATTAAAGATACCAGTAGGTATCAGTGGCTCATAATAAAAATCTTTGAGAACAGACAGGTCATTGATAAGCACATTTTCTCCACAGTATAATTCATAAATTGCTTCTTGCCTTTTAACTTCCGTGCGACTTAAGGTATAATTTGATCTATCTTTGGTACTTATATTTGCAACATCAAGTACCCAACTTTTCAGTGTAAGACTATTAGTGTTTTCAATATTTTCCTTGTGCCTAAACAATCAAAAGTATTAAAGTTAGATGAACACAATCATCGTTGAGTGAAACTATTACTGAAAATTATTTTCTTCTCACTTTTTTGTTAGTGTTCTTGAATCCGATTCATTATCCACAAAAGATAAATCTGTTGTACTTTGCTGTATTGTGAAAGATCTATGAAGAATATTTGTTTGTTTACCTAGGGTAGAAGAGGAGAAAATACTGCTGGCTACTTCTGTGATTCTCCTTCTTTTCTTTTGTTTTCCCAAATCTGATTCTATGGATATATCCATTGAACTAATACTGACAGCGTCACTTTTAGGACGCTTTCTCGATCGCTAATGCAATACAAAATGAAATTTTATCTCCCCTCTTGTTTTACAGTAAGTACGAAAATAATATAAACATTATATAAATAAGGCTAATATATCATAAATCACTGGTCTTCTATACTTTCAAAGAAATTTGAAAAATTAAACGTTTAATATACAAGATCAAAAAAAAACGAATGTCATTATACGTCAGTTAAAATAACAGCACAGGTTATTCAAAAATTGGTTTTGAATATTACCGGCAAGTGTATAAAAACTTACCAGCCAGAATTTTTTTCGTGGCTCCGGAAAAACATTTTTAATCGTGCTATTACTATCATCATTCATGTTGCTGTTTAGTTTTCAAACATTCACGCACAAACTATACTCATAATACAACTACATAAGTATTCATGCTCAGAAGACTTGAGAACACTTGAGAAAATAGTAACCGTTGCAAGATGCAAGTGATGCAAGCTTTGAGAAAAGCGGTTCATCAGTACAAACTTCGCAGACGTAAACTCTAGACTCTAGAATAAAACAGATTAAATTACACTACATTATATATATACATATATGTATTTGTGTTACAGTTTTCCTTATGTGATCACCCTAACGCTGAGGCAAATATAAAGAATTATGACTTAAATAGAATTATAAACTATACTTACGTATTTATATTTTTATCGTACATGGTGGATTTCATGCATTCATAGAAACCAGGGTTATTAACCATATTGCCGGTTGTTGCCGGTAGTGGAATCATGTTTGTATCATGATTTGAGGTTATACTATTTAGTGAGTGTTATATTTACGAGGAATGAAGATTCTTGTTAAACATTGGTGTACTTAAAATGAACAATAGATTAAAATTTGTAAAAAAAACTATCGATTTGACGAAGTTTTACTATATAAAGTAATATGAAGCTAGTAAAGCCAAATTGGGTTACACACGATGGTTTGTGCATTTAATTTAAATGTATTTCAGTTTTCATAATTGTATAAAGCGATTATAAAATTTTAATTATTCTTCAGGCTACTCGATATTTTCTGTGGATATACACCCAGATGGGAAGAGATTTGCCACTGGTGGTCAAGGTATTGATAACATTTATTATTTATCTTTCATCTGGACCTCATTTTACATATACATTTTAACCTTCTCGTTTTAGGTGGTGATTCTGGAAGGGTTGTCATATGGAATATGGAACCGGTAGTTAATGAAATTGCAGAATTGGATGAAAATATCCCAAAAATGTTGTGTCAATTAGATAATCATCTTGGTATGAACAACTTCATACAATATTGCTTAAGTGATGCCTATTTTATTGAAATATGTGATGTATACTATTACAAATTTATTATTTTTATAGCATGTGTCAATTGTGTCAGATGGAGTAATAATGGATTATTAGCATCAGGTGGTGTAGATAAACTCATTATGATTTGGAGATTATCTGGTGGGTCTGGTGGTAGTTCCATTTTTGGTGGAAAGTCCAGTGTTGAAACATGGCGTTGCATAGCTACTTTACGTTCACACGAGGCTGATGTACTTGATCTTGCTTGGGCACCGCATAGTCCATGGTTAGCTTCTGCATCAGTAGACAATAGTGTAATTGTGTGGGATGCCTCAAAATTTCCAGCTATTGTTGCTGTATTAAAAGGTCATACAGGGTTTGTGAAAGGAATTACATGGGACCCTGTGGGAAAATACTTAGCTTCTCAATCTGACGACAAAACGTTACGTGTATGGCGTACTACAGATTGGACAGAAGCAACAGTGATATCAGAACCATTTGATGAATGTGGTGGAACTACTCATGTTTTAAGACTTTCTTGGAGTCCAGATGGTCAATATTTAGTATCAGCTCATGCCATGAATGGTGGGGGTCCGACCGCGCAAATAATTGAAAGGGATGGCTGGACCCAAGACAAAGATTTTGTTGGACATAGAAAAGCTGTTACATGTGTGGTTTGTAATAAACATGAATATGAAATAGTGTAATGTATGAAATAGTTCATCCTATACCAAATTATTTACAGTTCTTTTCTTATTCCAGAGGTTTAATGGAAATATATTACAAAAGAAACAACCTGGTTCTTCTAAACCACAACAGTATTGCTGTGTTGCTATAGGATCTCGCGACCGTTCTCTCTCTGTATGGTTAACATCATTAAAAAGGCCTTTGGTAGTGATACATGAATTGTTTACACATTCTGTGTTAGATGCCAGTTGGTCACCATGTGGTTTACGACTGGCAGCTTGTTCATGGGATGGGTCTGTTGTACTGATTGAGTTTACACAACAAGAATTAGGCCAACCACTAGACCCGGCTGAACAAGTAAGTATTTAACTTGTAAACTATTTACTGCACAATATGTTAATGATTTATATTCGTTCTATTTTATTATAGAGCAGTCTACATGAACGTTTGTACGGTAAACCCTTAGTTCAGGGCGGTTGCACAGTAATGGAAGCTCCAGAACTTCTGAACTTAAAAACAACAGCACCACCAACTCAAACAACTCAAACATCAACAAGTACAAATTCAATGCAACCACCTCCTACTACACCCACAACTCCTGCTAAAGGTCCCATTAATAAACAAATTGAAACAAGAACATCGGACGGCAAAAGGCGGATAACACCAATGTTTATACCGCCACCATCGGATACAATGTAAGCCTAAGCACGTTATTTTCAATGTTATAATAATCTCCAAATATCCCTAGTATTAATTATCTTTCATTTATTAGGGACTCGTCAAGCGCTAGATTGGGAACACCAACTTTTACAAGTCAAGTGAAGAGTTCAATTGTTATAGAAAAGCGAAACGATGTTGTAGCGCCTAATGTCACAACTGCAGTGAACTCGACGAATACGAACAGTCCAATATCTACGATCGTATTGAAACGACGCGAACACGCTACACCAAAACTACATCACGCTTCGCTTACGAAGAAACTAAAAATTACATCTGAAAGGAATACAAATCAAATTTTGCTACCTCCATTAAAACCATCCAGTTCATTATCCCAACAAGCTGGCCACTACGCAGTGACCGTGACCAACAGCCAAGGTTTAGCTCATTTACAAGTGTTCAAGGGTACGGACTCTGAACCAACTTGGGACCTGTATTTAGGGTATAGCGCTGTAGCCCTAGCAGCGTCACCGGCGGTTATAGCGATTGGTTTGGAAGATGGAAGCCTTCACACGTTTCATCCCGCCAAGGGATGCCGACCAGCACCTCCTTTAGCACCACCTGCCCCACTTGCAAAAGTCCATGCTGTTGGAAATGCGGTAATAATATTGTTCCGAAACCTCTTATTTTAAGTAAATGATAAAAGTAATTATTATATAAGGTATTTCATGCCACTTTAACTCCATGCCTTATAACATCGTGTCAGACTCGTGGTGACGATGTCAAAATGGATTGAACAAACATAAATATTATTCGTTTTTTTTAGTCAAAGTGAAATACTAGTTTGATGATATTAATATTTGACTTATAAAGTAAATGTACAATTGTGATAAGTACAAGAATTCCTTTTGTTTCTGGGGAACTATTGACGATGAAGTTATTCTGGAGACTGCAGACATCAAGAAAATCATAGGGCAAGGAGTTAACGGTGGTTAGGAGACACAGCAACAATGAAAAAGGTTCATATAAACATGTGCTAGTAATATGCAGTTGCTTATTGTTATTGGTGTCCAAAATGCCATATACAGAGCACATCCTAAAGAATGGGAGAAACGGGCAGGAGATGATTCTTTATGCAAAAGTAAATCAAAAGTATAGAATAAAGTTGTTTCATCTGAGGTTAGTTTTCAAGATCAAGTTTAGAAATTCATCTAACACGTAGATATTAGTGCAGACAATAAATAAAAGTTGAATGTAATGAACAGACGCGTTAGCGAAGTTCTATTTAATTGCTCACGTATCTAGCAGCTTTTCCATTTCTATTATCTCAGAAACAAAGGCTTGGATAAACAATTTTATTCTAGTTAGTATATCAACTCAATTTGTCTAGCTTAAAAATATAGTAAAAAATGTCTATAATTCGAAAGCAAGCCACGAATGGGACACACGTTTGTATGGAACTTTTTACATTGTTTTCCTGTTCTTCAACTCCTATTAAAGTGTGTCCTATATGTTCAAAAACCCCATGATATGTTAAATATTAATATTTTCAGGTAATGGTCATTTCAACTTGCGGAGCTGTACGCGTATGGGAAATAGGATACTCCTGTAGAATGATAGTTTCTACTTCTGCTGCGCATCTAGCAGCACCAGGAACCTCTTTATTGTCTTGCACTTTGTACAATGGAATGCCTCATTTGGCTTTTACCAATGCGAGAGCATATATATATCATAAGGAAATGGGTACGTAAGATGTGGTTAATTATGACTCCAGTGATGAGATACATTGTTTTAGAAAACACATACAGGAATATAACACATTCAGGTACATGGTTATTAATTGGAGACAGTCAAGACCCCATATGGCGCTGGGCGTCATTCAGTGCATCGAGCACATCTGGAAGTAGAGCTCCTAGAGGACCACTTTCTTCTTTGCAAGAAGGACTACTCAGAACGGCTGGAAATACATTGCCCAATCCGAGATTACCACATAGCGCTCCCAGTGTAGTATCTTACTTGGAACAACAGATGCTTGCTTCTAAAGCTCTGGGAAGTGCCCAGGAATATGTACATTGGCTCGTAGCTTTAGTATCGTTTTTATTGACACAAGGTAAATATGCATACTTTATCCATTAATTTCATATTTATTAATCATAATCTATAAACAAGTATTTCTTTTTAGATGGACTAGAAAAACGTTTGAGATTAATCTTGGATGATCTTTTGGGCCCAAGTCACACGTCAGCTTCTAAAAGTATATGGGATCCTCTGATATTGGTATTATTTTAAACGTTACTTATTTTTGTTTGTATATTTGAGATTGAACAACATTGATACATTATTGAATTTGTACAGGGAATTAAAAAACATAAACTTTTGGAAGATGTATTGGCTGTTGTTGGTGGACACCTCCGTTGGCAAAGATTGTATCTTGAATATACAGAACAGTTAACTGCAATTAAAAATCAAACTATTTAAAAAGAGTGTCAATGAAAGCATAGATCTGACAAACAATATGGAACTTGGTTTGTAATTGTGCATAGTGATTCTAAAATGACGTTACAAATTTTTAGGTACATTGTATATTACAAATTAACAATTGTTGCGAGAAGTTGAATTGTTTGGATAAAATATAACTCTTTTGTTAAGAAGAGTAACATTCTTTCCTTTATTTTTAGTCTCAGAAAAAGCCTAACATATTCTAACATCGTTTTAGAATCATTTTGTTTTTTTTTTGTATATTTTTAAAAACAAATCTGTGAAGAAATAAAATTGTACAGTTTTTTATATCATTTATGTGATAAGTAAAGTAAATATGTAATAAAAATAAAATTTTATACCAAATCACTTTACTGAAGTTTTATAGTTTTGGATATTACATCCAGTTCTGAGTTTCTAAACATCTATACATATTTTCACAAACTAAGTCATTGTAAGCAACAAAACACTACTTACAAATAAAATGGAGCATTACAAGAGGGAATAAAGAACAGTGTAATTGATTAAAAATTTTAACAATTTTATATTACTTTCATACAATAATTCATGAACAAATTGAATTCATAATATTTGCAGTGCAACATCATTAAGTGTGGTATTATCACAATGGCCAATAAGGTACAATACACTGCAAAAAACGTCAGCATCAATATGAAAGTATTTCCAAAACTTGTGTCACGATTATATTCATCGATAACCAGAAAGAAACGTGTATAAATATAATACGTACAGTTTTCGAAAATACACTGTGATAAAAGAAATATCATTTAAGCTCGTAATTACAACTTTACGATCACAAATACATGTTTCTCTTAAGAGTTAATTAGTACAATACACAATCAGTTGGATCTATTTCATATAATTCATTGTATGATAAAAGCATGGAACTTGGGCAATATACATTATATGATGAAGCATGGAATCTATGTATTTATTATTTAACATAATATTAAAAATAAGTTACTTATATTACAAATATTACTTGTAACGTGTATGAAATACATCAAATAAAGCAGTTACCAGTAAAGAATAATTTTTACAGAAATTGAAAAAACTGCAGACATATCTGTCAGAATGCAATGCATGATAATATAGAATCATAAGTACATTATAAATAATTTAAAAGTACAAATATAAATATAAGTTACTATGTGTTTGGCAGAATATATTTAATTAATATATAATAAAAAATTTAAAAGAACACCTTATTAACTCGAAAATGGTTTAACATGTTGTTAGCAATACACGTAATTTTGATTGAATGCCCATTCTGCTCTATATCTTCATCTATTACAAGACTTCTAATTACAAATGTAAGAGCATGTAGGGACATTTAACCCATTGCACTCGGAATTTCTAATTTTCCATACATTTTGTCCCTTCAGAGGGGACAGTCGAGTGCAAAGAGTTAAAATTGTTTGTCTTTCAATTGACATTGTAATTTAGATAGTAAGAATTTATTTTTATGAAGCAAAATAAAAGAGAATACCATTTTCACGTATGTAAATTATCTATACGTAATCAACATTACATTTGAACACAATTATAGATCTACATAAAATATTTGACTAATTGATTATAAATAAAAGATCAAATGCTAACACGAGTGCATTGAACCATTATATAGTGCACTAATGTAAATATTCGCTTGAAAAATGTATTCATTTTCTCAAAAAAGTGAACATCTCGTTCTTATACCTACACAACACTATAATTGTACTTTCTTTAAATGTTTGTCGTATAATTTACAAAAATTTTTATTTGGAATGAAGTAATAAATATTTTTATATATACATATACATGCCACATAAGTATTTAGAAAAATTATATCGAGTGCAGAAAACTATAAAATTGTATTTTGTAATAAAATAGAAGAGGTCTAGTAAAACTTGTGTAAAAGGGATATGTAACTGTTTAATGTAGGCAGAATACATAATGATATTTCTGTTTCTCTTCTAAAAAATGTAAAAAACTCTAAATACAGGAACTACTGTTGCAAAACTAAGTTCATTTCAATTGATTACTTTCTTTAGATATAACTATTGTCTGAATAAACATGATATACTGCGAATAATTAGATAACATGTTAAATATTTACTAGAGCAAGAATTTGCTACTGTTGAATATAAAGCAGCTAAATAGTATTTGTCTGAATTAAACTGACCTTTAATTGTATGTTACACATTTCGATCTTTCCAAATTCAACATTATCAAGAAATACTACTTTTTCAAAAATTCTCAAAAAAATGCTATCCGTATTCAATTACTATTTTTGTATTTATCTGAAATTTCCCTGATAGTACAAAAATCACATTTTTTAATACCACAATGTTACGATAAGTGTCTATGCAGCATGGTATAATACAGTAGTTTTAACAAATGCTCAATCTAAATGACACGTAAGTTTTGTACCTTTAGTAATCGTTTTCATACACTTACTCAAATAGATCCATCTAAACTCAAATTCGCAATTACAATCTACACATTGTGCGTTATATATTCAACATCGTAGCACATAAATTTATATGCGTTCTGAGCAACGCATATATTTTTTCAATTTGATAATAAGCTATAACTAGTATATAATGCAATGCAGGCCACAATATTACTTACACTGATATCCATTGCCATAAGCTTTGCTATTGCAATAAACCTGATATTGTTACCACTAGTATAATTCATGAAATTTAAATAGTTACGTATATGTGTGTGTACACAAACATACACACATACAAATCGAATCCTTTAAAGACTTTTTGTTACGTTGAACTTCTATAATACTGCATTTAACCGACTGAAACTATCATTTTCTAATTATGACCGTGTGAGAGTGCATCTCCTTATCGAAAAAAAAAAACTTAATCACTATCCATTATGGACTCCTTTAATTCTGACTCATCGACGTAATGATTTTTTGAATTCCTTTCTTCTGCCGACTTCACACACTAAAACATTTTAGTAGTTATAGGAACATAACATTCGATTATGAATATAGTGCACTTACATCTTCAGTCCGTATTCGTGGTGCAGAAATCTGTTCAGGGAAATGCCATGGTTTACAATTCGGATTATTTAATAACTTCCAATTAGGATAAGCCACGGAGGCTTTGTGCAACTTTTTAACCATCTAAAAAAAAAACGGACATTGAAGTGTTCGCCATCTGAATGAAATACTTATTCGCGAATGATAGAACAGAACATACTTTTGGGGCAAATATTTGTGTAACTTTATTGACCAGCCAAACTGGTAATTTTCCATGTGGATCAGTGTGAGACACGTATCCCAATTCAGAACCATCGCCATTTCGCGATGGTCTCACAATGTATCCTTAAATTAAGGACTTTGATAATACAGAAATGTGAACCAATTCAGAGATTTAAATTTTTTTATGATTACAAGTCCTACCTGTAAGGTAAGATGTTGCCCTCACAAATTGTTTTCTTGGCGGATAATCTTTGTGAAAAACTGAATGATTTAGAATTAACTGTTCCATACCAGTGTCAAGCCAGGATCTCTGTAGTACAAAATCCCTGTTTTTCAATGGAGATGGACAAGCCACTAAGTAGAACATACAATGGTTTCAGTTAAATAAATATAGATATTTACATTACACTTATAATAAAGATATTGAATGGAAGCAAACTGTAAGTCTAATACTAAATACTTACTAGAGTAATAACCAATATCATTATTTGGATTAAAAAAGCCTATGTCTCTTGATTCGATCATGTGGGTATCCCAGACTTTTCTGTATTCAGGATCATGCAATACATCATACAATGTCTCTGGTAAAACATCAGCAAAACGTGTTCTAATCTGCAAACCAATTTAATCATTAATGTCACAAATAAATAGATACACGAATAAAATATAAAATTCAATGATGACTGAAAATGTACATACTTTCACCATTCTAAAACTTATTCCCGGTACAGATTTTGTCCAAACTGACAAATCAGGTTTATTGTAATCCAATCTCCAGTCATTATTATCGTCATATAGTTGTTTCAATTTTTCAAAATCCTTATCCTCGGCAATTTTAACGATTCCAATGTCCATTTTATAAGAATACTGTTTACAAAACGATTAACATAATCAAGTCTCAAATGCACAGTTTCTAAATAAATAAGAATAATAATAAATTATTGTATACATAATAATAATAAGTAATGAAAGCAAATTGTTAAATTACCAGATGCTTTCAAAATTCACAGCATATTGATAAGAAATCTACACATATTTGATTCTACTATACAATAGGCCTTATACTTATGCCGAAGTAACCATTGGCCAGTCTTATACATTGTTCTGCTCTTCAAAAGATAACTAAACATATAATCCATGAACTTTTTTCATTCTGGAAAAAATATTGAGTTGATTATCAATGTGACCTAAACAATTTAATGTTTCAAGTATAATTAAAGACAAGTCAAACACTCAAATTTACAATAGGGGACAAGGATACCCATACAACAAAAATATAGAATTAAAAGGACTACATTTTCTACTTCAGTTGTTACTATAGTTAATAGTTTATATATACAAACTAAAAACTAATCTACACATGTTTCTTCAAATAATGGAATGAAAGAATTAAGAGAAATACAAGATGTGAACTGTATTGAACTGTATTGGACCTTACTTAGGGTCTTATAAACAATGTTTATTGGAACATAGGAAGCAACTCTAACATTACAAAAGCTAATTAAAATGTGTAGTTTTCCAGGTAACAATACAATTCTTGTTAGTTACAAATATCTTTTTCACATAAGATGGTTTGCTATATGTAGCCCTGTATCATACAAACAAATAGGATCTAATATATACCCCTTAAAAAATCTAGGAGCATACCATATTGTATTCACAGAGTACAAATATGTACAATTGTCAATAGGGAATATTCAACTCTTTCTACTTCAACATTTTGAACATTTCAATATATCAACGTTTAAAAATGTCTTATATTTTGCTAAACAATCACAGAAACATGACTTACTTATGTAGTATTCAGATTAATCAGACAAATCAAAGTTTAACCTTTAGGAAAACATGAATTTTAAAAAATGACAATTCTTCGCCGTTTAAAGGAGTTTTTCCCAAAAACGTTTGTTATTATACTATTAATAAAATTGAGAATAATTTAAACAGCCCTCACAAACACAGTTACATATGATTTTTTAAAGATAAAAACAAAATAATCTGAAGGTGAATTTTCCCCATACAAAATGTATACCTTCCTCGTATTGAAATGATCGTCCTTTTTGCCGCAAAAGTTGACCTCTGCGGGATGAAGACAATTTGTATCACGTATTCAACTTCCAAATACAGTTGAACTTGTTCATTTCATGACATTTACAGAAATCGAATCTCACCGTCGACCAACCGTCGACCACCGTCAACGTCAACTATCAGCAACTATCAGTGAAAAAGGTCCAACCGGTCCAACCGACTGCGTCACCGGCACGGTGCAGCGGTAATAGGTTAGCGAATATCTATAAATTTCATCTTTTCTATAACTACCATTGAGATTATTTTTTGTAAGTAACATTCTGATAGTATTTTTATTTGATATTGTATAGTATTTTTTTCCGTTTTCTTCCCAGAATATTACATTGGATTCGTAAGTACTTACATATATAAATTACTTCGATTTTCATATTGTCCCAGATTATATTTTATATATTTATATATGTAAGTACCTATGTAAATATATAGATGTTTTTATACTTCAAATATCATATGTATATACGTTTCTTTGTTAATATTATAGAATAAATTGTATTATAATATCATTGAATATATACTTAACAAAAAATCATTGTCTCCAATTTTTCTTTGTTTCAACTTATTATGTTTACAGTGAGAAATAAACAGAAATAAAGCTGATTGTTGCTGATCGCTTGATTGCTACTGATCATTTTAAATACCTCTATTACTGCATGGTGTGTGTATCAGTTTGTATTATTGAAAGTAGACTATTAAGTTTCTTATTATAATTGATTAATTGAAAAAATAAGTCAAACTGGACTAGATAACCAGAATAATATTTATTCTACTGTACATGATTAGTTATCCATATTAAAGCATTGTTACTACGAATATTTGCAAAGAAATGAAATCTCTTAGATTGTTTTTTTTTTGTAGAAAAATATGGTCAGTATGGCTACAGAAATCTTTGTCAGGACTGGTGATACTGAGCTGGACATTAAAATCGATGAATGGTTAAAATGGAATAAGGTTCTGTTATTAACAATTGATCTTATTTTATATTCTAAGTACATATGTTAATGATTATAATGCTTATTTTTTCAGGATCAAAATGCTAAGCACGAGATTGAGAAACTTATTCAGAACAACAATGCCAAAGTTTTATCAGACTTATTCTTGAAGAGACTTGAATTTGGCACAGCTGGCCTAAGAGGCTGTATGGGTCCAGGATATAGTCAGATGAATGATTTAGTTATAGTTCAAACTGGTCAAGGTTTATCAAAGTACTTATTAGATACAGTGTCTAATGCATTCGAAAAAGGAGTGATAGTAGGATATGATGGACGACATTGTAGTAAAAGGTTAATAAAGAGTTATAATATTATTTCAAGCATCTATATAACTCGTATCATCTATTTTATATTAATTTTCCACATTGCTGTAGGTTTGCAGAATTGACTGCTGCAATTTTTGTGGCAAAATATAATGGTTACAGCTTCCCACAATCCTAAGATTGACAATGGTTATAAAGTTTATTGGGAAAATGGTGCACAAATAATTTCACCACATGATAAAAAAATTCAAAAATACATACTCGAAAATCTTGAGCCCATTGAGTCTTCTTGGGATATCATAAAAGTATATGACAGTCCTTTATACAAAGATCCATGGAATGATATCATGCAATCATATTTTCATGCTCTTAAACAAACTGTATTGTATCCTGAATTGAATAGAAACACAATATTAAAGTTTACATATACACCCATGCATGGAGTTGGATATGAATATATGACTGCAGCCTTTAATGCTGCAAATTTAAAGGTATTTTTAATTCTATCAATGTATAAAGTAATGTCATCTCAGCATAATTCAGTGAAGTTAATAAAAACAAGTTTCTCTTGTATTTATTTCAGCCATTCATAATAGTCGAGGAACAAAAACTACCTGACCCAGAATTTCCAACTGTGAAATTTCCAAACCCTGAAGAAGGGAAGAGTGCACTTGACCTTAGTATAAAAGTAGCAAATGAAAATTCTTCCTCTATAATAATTGCTAATGATCCTGATGCAGATAGATTAGCTTGTGCTACAAAAATGGAAAAGTGTGTATTTCAAATCTTATGTTGACAAATATTGAATTTGGTGTACTTCAATATTTTTATTATAGCGGAGAATGGTATATCTTCACGGGAAATGAATTAGGAGCACTATTGGGATGGTGGATGATGCACAAGTATCAAGTGCAGCATCCTGACACAGATTTCTCAAACGTGTATATGTTAGCTTCAACGGTATCGAGTAAAATTTTAGCGTCGATGGCTAAACAAGAGGGATTTAACTTTGAGGTGTGCATATTTTAAGTAACATACAATTGTGTTTCTATTTTGCGCTTATTATTTTTAACTTTTCTATGCTTCAAAAGGAAACATTAACAGGTTTCAAATGGATGGGTAACAGAACTGTAGAACTGAAGAAAACAGGCAAAGAAGTAATATTTGCATATGAAGAAGCAATTGGTTTCATGTGTGGTTGTACGGTACTCGATAAAGACGGTATAAATGCGGGAATGCAGGTTGCAGAGTTATCAGCTTATCTTGAGACAATAGGTTTTACACTTAATGAAAAATTGAATGAGATATATGCTCAGTAAGTTACAGTGTAGTTGACACTTCAGATATTTATCAAATTTAGTAGAATTTTGATTCTCAATTAAGAAAATATGTATATTTAATCTAGATATGGCTATCATATTTCTAAGAATTCCTATTGGATTTGTCATGAACCAGACATAATTAAGAAAATATTTGAGAGACTGCGAAATTATGCTGGTGAGCCAAATACGGTAAGAAATATATATGCATATAATGTGATGCATGTATACATATATGTAAATTCAGCAAGATATCATAATTATTTTCATATCACCTAATAAAGTATGGATAAAATTAATAAAGCTTGCTTTAGAGGCTATAAATGCAGTATCAAACAGATAAAGAATGCTTAATCATTCTTGTGCTATAAGAAAGAGTAATACATACATTGCAAACTACTATTACAAGTTTACAAGGTCAACTGTCATACACACACTGCAGTGTATGTGAAAGCATGAAATGACTAGTAAATGCAAAGACACGGCTCTTCGTTTGTGCAAACAATATTAATGTGTACCATTTGTTCACAATGTTACAAAAACATACAATACCTAATATAGTGCTCTATATGTAGTAATGAATGATCTTTTAAATTTAAAAGTTTATCCTGTGTGTATAAAAAGCATTCTTTCACTACACATTTTTGAGTTCAGTAAAACATATTTTTTGTTTTGAAAATGTTTGCGAATGTTTTATTTGTGTCATTAACACTTTTACCATTAGTATTTTTTGCTATTTTAACTATACCAATTGTACAATCACTTTATTATCTTACACCATTTGTTGACGAAACTCCAGACACACACATATTGTAAGCTTATGTCCAGAAGATCAGAAGAATTTCGACTTCGTTATTATAACAACTTAATATTTGTTTTCAGTACCCAACAGGTATCCTTAACAGAAAATATTCCATAACGAGTGTTCGTGATTTGACAACTGGATACGATAACATGAAACCGGAAAATAAGGCTATTCTACCAGTTTCAAAATCCAGTCAAATGATAACATTTAGTTTTAAGAATGGTTTAGTTATCACTTTGAGAACTAGTGGTACAGAACCAAAAATAAAGTACTATAGTGAATTATGTGCATCTCCCGAAGAAAAGTAGGTTGCTTAAAAGAGAACAGTACAAATACATAATTTCCTTAAAACTTGGTTTATACAATTTTTCTTTCTCTTTCAGAGATCTTAAAGTATTGAGTAATACACTTGACGAAATGGTGTCAGCTGTCGTAACGGAATTTTTACAACCTGAAATAAATGGACTAATACCTCGTACTAGTTAAGTAATATTAACTATTTATAATTTAATGTTATAGCAAAAGCCAATTAATAATTCAGTAGAGTAGCGAAATATTTGGTGTATTCCGATTTTATACTTTTTTATTATTTTCCACGAGAAAATACATATTTGAAAAATGAATTTTCAGTAAAAGGTTCTGATGTTATTAATTAACGCACAGTTTGACCAAAGTGATTGTGATTTATAATTTAATAAGTATGACATACTCCTAATCTATTAATATAAATAGTACAATGTTTATTTATTTTTAATAATTGGTTTTTTCGAAGTTGAAGATTCTAAGACAATAATTTAATTGTTATTAATGCTTGCTCGCCTAAAAATTGTTTTCAAAAAGATTACTTATAACGTGTAAATTTTAAAATCCATATGGAAAATTATTGTAAATTAGAAAATTTATTTAAAAAAATATTAATATATTTTTTAATTTATTTAAATGTACAAAAATATGCAATGTATATCAACAATGTTTGTTAAAATATCAACATAATAAAAAATTCTATAATGTATATAATTTTATTTAAAGTAATTAACAGCACGTGTTTGCTTATAACACATTTGCTATAAATTGCTTTTCATAATTTACATGCACATCATGTTATATACATTACCCATCCCAGACATATTATACAATTTATTTTCCTGGTATTACCATCTACTTCTTCCTATTTCTCTTGTATTTCATATCTTGACAATAAAACGTAATACACTGAAAAAGATAGGATATAAGTATATTAAATATTGTATATTTTATTTAATAGTAAAAATATTACCTGTTCGTCTAAGAAGTCCATCAGAGTATTCATGTTGCATTTGAAGCCTTCTTGTTTCAGCATAGAATGTAAAAACTCAATACATAATGGTTCATAAGTTAAAATCTTATTGTGTAGTTCTTTTTGGTCTTTTATTAACTTGAAAAACACGTTTTTAATATTCAATGCTTCATTTATCGCAGTCAAGGGTTCAGATTCATCGAATAGTGTTTCTTTGTCGATTATAACTACAGATGATTCTTCAGCACTAAAAATTTAAAAAGATTATTATAATTACATAACGAAATTTGTATAAAGAGATTTGACATACCTACTTTGTGAAAGCGGTAAATCATATCGGTAATCACTATTAGTATTACTTTTATCATAACTTTTTCTTTTCATTGGTGGTTCCTCGTCATCGCTATCTATGACTGGAGGTACAGGTTCTACTTTCTTAGAGATTGAAATCTCTGTAGGATGCAACTCATTATAAATATATGTCAACAATTTTATAGCCCGACTTCGTTTCTGTAATTTTAATCCATATTTACGTAATTCTGCCTAAAATCAAATTGACAAATTTATACATTTATCCTTATTATTTTTCGGTTCTTTATGAATTGTAATTTACTATCTTACATGAAGTTCATCTGTTTCCATGCCATCGTAATTAGGAGGAGGTGTAATACTATCCCTAATAATTGTAGGAGATGTTAGTTTCTCTGAAATTTGTTTATCGCCACAGTTACACAGAGACGACTGACTGAGACTAATAAAAGGATGGGATGCATTATTCTTTGTACTTTTTTCATTAATATCCAAATTTGTGTCTGACATGGATTTTCTTTGAAATTTTCTGATCCTCTGTTTTGTAGGTAATTGCTCTTCAATGGTTTCTATCTCTGTTGTTCCAACATTGTTGGTTATAGTTGATTCATTAATTTTCTTATTTGATTTATCATCATCATAATTGTTAATGTGAACATTTGCTAAATAAATATGTTTTTCAAAAATGGAACTGTTATTACTAAATTCTTCCAGACTTGAAACATTATTATTCACTTTATTCTTACGCGTTTCCACATTTAAAATATCTATTTCTGGGCTAGAATATATTAAAATAGGGGATTCTATTAAATTTGTTTCATTAATTTCTCGAGTTGGCGATGACATTGACAAATTATGTCGTACTACCTCTGTGTTTATGTTACTTTCTAACTTACTATACCTTAACTTATTTGGGTTATCCGTACTTTTGAGTTTACAAGTACTTCTTTGCCTATTTATTGGAGATGTGATATTAACAGAGAAATCATTTTGATCTTCATTGTTATTATCAATTGTATTGTTAAAATTTGTTGGACTTTGTGGAACTGATTGATGACCAGAGTTCTCAAGGTTCGATATTATTTCCTTTTCTTTTTCGGAAATGATTATATTGCCAGACCCTATATTTACATCTGAGTGTAAAGTAATATTTTCCTTATCCATGTTATCATCGCTTTCATAATTATCATCCTCTGAGGTACTTTTTACAGAATTGTTTAGTGCACATGTTTTCAGAAAATTTCGATATTTTATTATACTATTATTTTTATGTCCTTTCTTATACATTGTATACATAGATAGTTCACCACCATCTGTAGAAATATCTAATGAATTACTATTTTCATTTTCATCGGATTGTGCTCTAGTGTTGTCTAAATTCATAACATTTGCATTATGCTTTGATAAATCTTTTGTTATAAGAGATATATCGTTTTGAACTATTTCTTCTGTGTTATTTACATTTCCGTTCATTGAATTGTTTTTCACAGATTTTTCTGTACAATTTTCTTTATTATCTTCCAATAATTGTGTTAAATCAACCATTGCATCAAAATTTAACTTAACATCATCACTGTCTCCAGATGTAGATTTCGTATCCAATTGGAAATTAGTAACATTGCAATCAAACTTATCCCAAACATCTTTTTCCTTTTCTAATTTTCCATTTACAATTGCAGTTTCGTTAACTCTAAAAGACTGATCAGGACTGTCATTATTGATATTAAATGGATTTCTCTTGAATTTAGATGGTATTGGTATTATCGTAATATCAGAATCTGTATCAAAATCTGACTTAGCATTCTCCATTTGAAATTGTTCGATAAATATACTCAAATTACTTTTTGTTTTTTTAACATCAAAATGGTTTATACTCTTCTTTTTTGATTTATTAGATTGTGGTGTATTTGATAAGGTATTTACGTTCTCTTCAATGTTTTCGAATGAAACAAAGTCCTTAATCTCAGTGGAATCGATATCAATTGTTACCGGATCAAATGAATTAGCAATATTAAGATCATTAGATTTTTGTATTTCACGAGTATCTACAATGTGATTAATAGACTTCCTTTTATACCTTGGAATTGTATCGTTAATATCATCAAACATATCTGGAGATAGACTATAATGCCTAATTGGACTAAGTTGATTTAAATAATCAGCTTCTCCCTGCATCAGCTGTTCTTTGCATTTATTTTCATCTAATTCTTGCGTACATATATTTCTTACTAATGACTGTGTACTTAACAGAGGGGATGCCAATCTTTTTATTCCACTTTTATACGATCGTGACTTATTCCCAATATATTCTAAGTATTCTTTTTTTGACTTTTCACCCTCATCTAATGCCAAGTTTTCTATGGTTCTTCTTGAATGTACTTTCGAGTTATCTACCTCTTTTGTAATTAGCACATTTTCAAGTTCATCATCTTTTACATCATCTTTTTGAAGCGTTGCTCTGTCAGTTTCAGTCTCTTTCTCTTGTAGATAAGCAAATAATTCTTTCACCTTATACTTTCTTGCTAAATTTCTTAAAGCAGAAAAACTTCGTGAGTTCTCAAAAATATTCAAGTGCTTTTTTATGATTCCGCAGTAAATAAATTCTAAAAATGCTAACGCGATATTGTAACTGACATCAGGCCAACAAATCTTTTCCTTGATTGCGGTAAATCGTGAATTATCATTAGGCATAATATCAAGTAAGATGTTTGAACATCGTACGTAAAAAACTAGTTTGTGTGCCCAAATGTACTTATCGACATCAACAAACATTATTATGTCACTCGCGGAACTATCATTTAATACATTTCCCCAATTTGTTGCTAGAGTATCAATGTACTGTTTACCACCACAGTTTTCACATTTTTCATTTACATGATCTAAGTCTGTTTGCAATATTTTATTATATTTTGACTCCGCTATGTTTTTTTCTGTTTCATTCTGATCTTTGTTGTTTGACTTTATTTCATCTACGTTGTATACAGTTGTAGATTTAAAAAAATATTCTTCTCCCTGAAGGTATAATTTAAACAACATTAATCATATTATTAACAGAATACAATTTATAGTATTACATCTGATGTATATCTTACTTACTTCTTCTACTTGTTTCTGTTGTGGAGTTATATATTCTGATAAATTTGGTACATAAAAGGATGTTTGACTCAAAGGTAATCTTGCTTTATCCCACATTTTTTCATCCTTCAATTTGTATAATCAATAATAAATTAGTTTATAATTACCTATATGAAAGTAAATCATAAATATCACCAATATGTATATACCTTATAACAAAGTTGTCGAAGTGAATGACTCTTTAGAACAGTTTCCGTTTTTATGTCTTGCTCACATAATATTTCTTCTTTTGGTATTTGAGTAAATGGTTCATTTCCCATGAGAATTTCTGCAATTCTTTCTGTCAAAATGCGATTTCTCTCTTCTTGAGTACGTGTTTGAAGCACAGTTATTTCAGTGTACTTCCCTGATTAAAAAAAATCACTGAGTAAGAGAACCATAACGTACCTTTTGTAACATTTGAATATAACATATACGTACTCTTCTTATTCTTTATTAAAGTTGCTGGTTTGCTATTTGCAAATCCAAATTCTTCCAACTGCTCTTTATAGACTGGTTCAGCTGTTTCGGATAAGATTTTATTCGGCACCACAGATAATGTTTGAATGTCGTTAATTTCATTTAATTCTTCTGCTTCCTGAAGAGACTTTGATAATACTAGCGCAAGTTGAAGATCAGCGTCATCGTGCGAATTCTACAAAAACAAACCAAATTATAAATTTTACTTTATGTAGCATATTGAATACACTCAATATCTAACATACATACTATTCTACGGGGTGCCGGTTTTTTCTTTTTTTGTACTATTGGTGCAGCAAGTAAACCTAATGATTTTCTTTCATCTTCTTGACGCTTTTGAAGTTCTATAGCATCTAACAACGTTTTTGTAGAAACGTTATTTCTGCATGCACAAATTTTCATATGCACTGCTTGAGAATCTACATCTTTGAATGTTTTAAAACATAATGGACATACTAGAGCCACTGTTACATCAGCAGTTAAATCTTCATCGTTATTGTCATTTTTAGATTTAAAGAATGAAGATTCTATAGTAGGCTGAGACTGTTGTAAATTTGTTCTTTTCTCTGAATATTGTTTAAGCTTTGTGTTCTGACTCTTTGTTGAAGTCTTTAATTTTCCTGTTGTTTTCCTTTTTTGTTTTATGTTATTGGGCTTAACGAATTCACCAGCTTTTGTGTTAGCAGTTTTTGATTCTGGACTTTTAAAATCTAGTATACTATCATTTTCAACTTCAACAGAAACATTAAATTTATTACTTCTTAATCTTTCCTCCATTTTAGTTTCATCAAGAAACTGGTTTGTATTACATATTAATGTTGTCTTAATTGTGCTATTAAAAAAACATTTATATTATGTATAAAATAGAATAATTCGTGTGATATAATAATGAGTGTGCATTTTCATAGTAGGTTTCAAAAGAATTAAATACTACTAGCATTCAACAATAGTGGTATACAAATGCTATTTAATAAATGACCATTGTACACATTACATACATCTGAGTTAATTATTCCATACAATTTCCAGAAATATATTCTGTCCTATGAAACACTGGCAATGGGTTTTTCTATATGTATTCTTATATGTTATTGCTAACTTCTACCTGACACTACTTATGTGCATCATGTAATTTATGTTTAATGATTAACATGAAAAACTTGTAAAAATGTGAATCTTTAAACATATAAAATTAAATAACAGATATAGGATACTGGTCTATATTAATGAAACTGTCTCTATCTGTGTGCCTTTATATCATGCTTTATATTTAAATAAGCCCTAAATATCCTTCAAAAATAAATTTAAAAAATGTTTTTTCAATAAAGTGAAACTGTTAATGTATGTGTTGCAAAGAAAAATATTATATTTTTGAACAGTTAAAACATCGTAAACATTTTTTCAAGGATGCACATAACAATTTCGAAGGATTGACTCAAATACATAGTCAAAATTGTTAAGGAAGACATACTTGATAGCAGTGAAGCCGTTTAATTTTATAAAAAAAAATATCGAAATAAGCACTTTTAAAACGTTTTTGTACTTTTTAAAACGAATCTACTAATACCGTGAGACTTTAATGCTTGTTCGCGTTGTTGTGCTGAGACTGAGTTTTCACTTAAGAAGAATTAACACTTTTAACTCAATGAAAATATCTTAATAAGAAGAAAAGTTTTAAAAAAAACTAATATAAATTTTGAGCAAATGAAATTAAAGTAATGAAATTCATTAATGAGCAAGTCAGCTAATAATGTATACTGTATACAAGTGGTATACAATATACAAGTCTACAATTCTTTGAAATGCTATTCATATAACTTCTCAGCTATCAGGAACAACGTCGCGTTTTGGTGTCACCAACCGAAAAGGTTGATAGGGACCAGTACCTTATATTATAGTATTATTATACGAATGACCATAATGTTCTTATCACAAAGAGATCACTGAAAATTACTTTGTGTCGATCTAATCTATAGCAATTCAGAAAGACTTTACTGTGATCTAGACATCATTATTTTACTATAAAGATTGTGCACAAGCTCTTGTTTACTACTGTTTCTTTACTGTTTACCTGTAAACAATCATACCTTTCTATATTACAACTCTTCAAACATAATTTATTTTCTGTCACATATAGTAACTTAAACCTGTTTCAAAATTTCTATAATTATTAAGTAGAAAATATGGATAAATCAATGAGTCATTTATTTGTCTGATACGGCATTAGATTTATCATTCTCTACTGATTCTGATGGATCTAATTGTTTTTGATTTCTCTTCATTACTTCTGCAGTAACAAAAGAAAATTGTGGAAGGCTCCAAAAATGTCTACTTTCCCAATAGTCTTCAAAAGCAATCTGCTCTTGCGTAGGTTTTAAGGGTTCATCAAGTTCCTGAATAATTTTCCTTTTCTTCACCACAAAAACACTGTAATGTAAACCAGGCAATTATTATACTTACATTATTAGAACAGATACAGTTAAATGATTTAAACATATAAAGCTATAATATATAAACATGTAACAAATACTTATTTAATACACCAATATAATTATTTTTTAATTTTGTAAGTTTTATTAAACTATTTATTGCAATTATTTTTAAACACGCCGTACAATAAGGTTAAGGTATGTTTATACTTTGTATGTTAAATACGAATAACAGACTCAAGTATGAATATTATTCAATAAAATTTATTTTCATATAAATGCATGACTTCAGAAGAAAATGTCGTTTCATGAATAAAGGACGTATTAATTATATCACGTAAAACCTACAACATTCACCTAATTGAAAGACCGACAGTAGTTGCAATTAACGTTTTTATAAATTTAATCACTAGATAAGCTCTACCAGCCGGTGTACCACCAAGTCTACGAGGTTTCTGTTTCTGCAAAATTATCGGTTCATACATGGTAAACAATTGTACTGTTGCTAATAAGTATTACGTAATAGTAGAAAAACTTTTCGTGTAACTATCTATTTATGTACATACGGCATACATACCAATAACAGTGTTACCACGGTAAAATTTTCACAAGTTGTACAATTATTTCATTTTTATCAAGACTAAATGTTATACGTCGATAATCAGAAAATAAATAGGTATCAGTCCTATTCTAAATAACACTCAAAACGTAATAACGGAAATTACATAGGCTTTGGTATTTACTAAACTTATTTGTATTCGTTTTTTTGTAATAAAAAGTGATTCTATATACATGTTTTGTATAGATAGTTATAGTTATATAGTAGATCTTTATAGCTACTATAAAAATTATAAAAATTTTGCTAATACATTTATTATAAACAATAAGTTACAGTTAAAAAATTGGCTTTAGAATTCGGAATTTGTGTTTTCGCGCGTCATCATTCAGTGTCGTCTGTTTTGTTACGAATAAATTTGTGAATGTTTATGCAAACTATTTAGTATAGATCATATTTTACAAATCACAAAATTCAAATATTTTTAATTCCAAGAGAATAAATGATTTCTTCCATTAAATGTGTTTTCTCTGAACATTCTGTGCTCTGGATTATCACCACGCTCCCTACTGTTCATTGTACAAAACAAATTTTATCGTATTAAAACTTTAATGTATATACATATGTACTAAATTTGATGACTAAGTTATACATGTAAACATAAACAAGAAATTATCGATCAAGCAATAACATAACAATTGACATCTTTTCAAGCTGTTTTTAACATGTCACAAATGTTAAATATTTTTGTTTCAAAGGAATTAGGAATTACAAACAAATTTTAAATTCCTTGTACAAGGAATGTTTAGAATGTTATACCTACTGTTGTGTACCCTAGGTAGTAGTCAAGCATTATTTAGCAATAAATTGTCATATCTTATATACTTATCAGAATTAAAGCATTTGGTGAACTTATAAACATGGTATGTATCACTGTTATTACTTGTTTTGTTAATATTTGGGATTAACAACATTAGGAATATAAATTAATAATCATATTGCAGGCTTCTACTTCTAAGAAGCAAGCTGTGATTGGTGTAAAAAAAAGAGGACCACCAAAATTGGAACTGACTGCAGAACAGAAAAGTGATATAAAAGAAGCATTTGATCTATTTGATCCAGATGGTACTGGCAGAATTGCTACCAAAGAACTTAAAGTAGCCATCAGAGCTCTTGGATTTGAACCAAAAAAAGAAGAAATAAAGAAGCTAATAGCTGATGTTGATCCTGATGGTCTTGGTACATTATCGTTTGAAGAATTTTTAAATTTGATGTCTACAAAAATGTTAGAAAAGGATACAAAGGACGAAGTTTTAAAAGCATTTAGACTATTTGATGATGATAATACAGGAAAGATAACATTCAAGAATTTGAAAAGAGTTGCTAGAGAATTGGGTGAAAATCTTACAGATGAAGAATTGCAGGAAATGATAGACGAAGCAGACAAAGATAGGGATGGAGAAATTTCTCAAGAAGAATTTCTACGGATTATGAAAAAAACAAGTCTATATTAATTTTACTTTATTTATGTATAAGTTCTTCATTAAGTAATTATTACATACTTCTTTGCATTATTTATACAAGTACATTACAAATATCAATTCTTTGCATTTAAAAAGTATTTAATATTTGAATTGTAATTTAATTCTATTATAATTAATTATTAATTATTCAGCATAATAATAATAAGTTATGACAAAGGATTTTATACTGCACAATGCAATTTATAAAATAAAAGTCTATCTGTATTAATAAAGCAATATTATTCCAGTAGTATGAAGGGAAAAATGGAGTATCAAAATCTTTAAATAGTTAAAAAAAAATGATTATAAAACATTTTACTAGTACAGCAATTGTATCTTATACAACCTATTCTTTCAATTGTTCTTGTACTGATGATATAGCAGTGTTAATTAACGATCTTACTAATTCTGCTCTTTTTTTGGATTTTGCTAAACATTTTACAAATAAATCATATGAAATAGGAATCCCACCTATATAAATAATATGTTACATGTAAGTTAAATTCTTATTAAAGATATAATATATTTAAATACATTTCCTTAAATAATATGCATCATACCAGGCTTGTGCATGTAACAAATTTTTTCCTTGTCCATGACAATTGTTAATCTCCCCAAACATAAACTTTCTTCTTCATCAGTGGGATCAGCAATTAATAATTGACTACATGAAACAGTAAATATACTTAACACAGCATCATGTAAATTTTAAAGCATAGTTTAATGTATACACTATAATGCAATACTTTAACTTACTCAGTGAATATTGCAAATGTTACAGAAACTGGCAATGCTTTAATTGAAAATTGTATTTTATTCATAGGATGCACAGAAATATTTCCAGTTGCGACATTGTAAACTGTTTCAGGTAAATTCACTACATAGGAAAGAAAAAAATTAGGAATGCAATTGTACAATAAAATTATATATATGTGTGTGTGTGTGTGACTTACAAGTGCTAAGTGCACCGGTTAATGCTCCAATACAAGCATCGATTACAGAACCATCATAGTTTATACACAGAAGATCACAGTATAATACCCATACTAGTTTGCCTTTGCAAATGCATAAGTCTTTTAAGTTTACAGCATCTGAATTCTTTAAGACAATTTCTATCGTTTTTGAAATAACTTGTGCATGATTGCTCGGTGGGCCAGGTCGAAATTTTGGTGAACATAATGGAGAAAGTTCAACATTTGGCACAATATATCCATGTTCAGGAGATTCTGTTTTAGGTATAGCTAATTCCTATAATAAAATAAGCATTTCAGTATAAGAAAAAATGATTTTTGCAGAGAATTCTTATGTAACACACTTACAGCTTTAATACCACATACAACTGTTGTATTGCCAATTTTGAATATCGATGAACTGTCAGCATGAGTTATCGATGAAATGTTCACACTTATTGGACGAAAAGATAGAAACAATCTCCCATCTGGTCGAACATTTTGTGCCTAAAAATTTTGAATGAATTTAAGTCGTAATAATGGCATATAAGTACATTTATACATACCAAATGGTCTTGTAGGTACTTCACAGGGTGAATGGTCCTATAATCAATTTTTATTTGAGTCGAATTGTCAGATTAAAAACTTATAAATAATGGGTTGGAATATAAACTATCAAAATAACTTTTGTGTGCTATTGTGGAATATTATAATCTTTACAATGTATTCATGTACAATGCTATAGATTTAAACACGATTGTTGAACAGGTTATATTGAAATGAAACAAACGTGTTCGGATAATCAACCACTTGTGTAGTTATATAAAGTTTCAGTTTTCTGTCTTCACTATGCATACATTATAACATTTCAAAATAAAATTTCTAACAAATTTTGACACTTTTGTGGCAAGAAAAAGTACATAAATCTTTTAAATACTGACTTGTATTGAGTGTCCATAATTCAAATGTTGTATGAATCGCCTTATTATCTTGTGTATTTAGTTGCACAATTTTATACCTTAGTTCCTAATACATTAAAATAAAATTTATTCATTGTAGTATACCAGCAATATATGTCTGCAAATACATACATATATTTACTATGAAATGAAAGTTCAACATGAAGAAATGTAATAACCTTTGAAAAACATTTTTGGAAATTTTTAAGAAATAATAATAAGTGTTCATAAAAATCAACAATTCCTGGAAAAACGATACAGTTTTATTACAATCTTCAAAAGAAATTTTTATCTATTTGAAAAACTGTTTTTTTAATACTAGTCATGTAGAATCTTATTTAGGTATAGTTACTCCATCTATGTAAATTCAAATAAAGAAATATTAGTGAAATGGTTTACATAAATATTATATTGTTTATTATTTCACTTATTACAATTTCACGAAGATTTCATTTAATCTTATAATACAATCTTTCAAAAAAAATGTTTCATTATGTGTGTAATAGAATTTTATCATATAGTACTTCTCTTTAGAAATTAATGTTAGATCAGTATCGGTTGTTTATAAACAATAAAAAAGAACAAACAGTCTACTTGGAAAGGCACAATGTGGCATATATACTTAAAATATTTTATCAACGAAAATTAGAATCTAATTATAGTAAATATTGAAATATTACAATATAACAAGATACAAGTATGAATGGTCAAAATTTTTATAATTTTACTATGTATAAAGAGTTTAAAAATAGTAGTCTTTTTGTTTCACTGTCTGTGTAAATATTATGGTAGCTTAACTAACATTGAAATTCAAATACATTTTTCAAATTCTTTATACAAATTAGATATACAATTCAAACTAGATGTCGAAATTTAATACAAAATCATTTGAATTATTTATACACAGACATTTGTTGCATAATTCTTTGCAAAAATATAATTTAAAAATAATTTTAACAATCTTCAATTACTACAAGTTTCAGTTACTGAAAATTTCATGTTCTTAACTTTCAAAAATATAATTGTGAATAATGCATCTCTGTCTGTAGGCATTTTTGCTTTAATAGCAATCTGAACAACTTCATCGAGCAAGTGTGGAGTAAAATTTAGGCTGAAACAAGATAGGATATATTTATCATTAATTGTGTCGACTATGCTATAAAAAGGAAATAGGTATCCAATAAACATTACTCACCTCGTCGTGATTTTCTTCTTTATTTCCATCATCGTCGTCACCAGAACTATCTCCTCCTGAACTATCAGCAGAATTCCGTTGCTGATATTTATTATTCAAACTGTCAGTAGTTGGAGACGATGCTTTTACTTTACTAGCTGCATCAAAACATTGTAAACAGACTCTAACTGCTTTTCCGTTTCCTTGTCCTGGCAATAATAATTTCTTATTGCTACACGGTCCGCATACTACAGCTCCACATTGTCTGCAATGGTGCTAAAAAATGTTAATATTGTAAATATATTGTAAAGTATAATTTCTATGAAACGCATTGCTGAAATTGCTGATATATATGTGTGTGCATGCGTGTGTGTGTATATATATATATATATATATATATACCCGTCTGTTTAAGACTGTGAACTGTGTTTTATTACAGTGCATACATATCGTTGCTTCATTATCTGGTACCCAGACAGCTGCATGAACTTCAACCGGTTTCTTACCACCTATTGACATAAACATTCTCAAGATTAAAATGTTTCAGTTTCACAAATACTCTTTTCAGGGAAGGTAGCAATAATTACTTACTCTTTCTTAATAAGTCTTCGATACACTTTGTGATATGAGCCATCCATTCTTGTTTCTCTGTTGCAGTGGCAGCATAAACAGCAAATGATTTTGTTACTGTTTTTATAAGCCAACCATTGCGATATTCTATAAATAATGATGAATTACTATACAATCCTTATGTAATTATGAACAGATGATTGCAGTACTGAAAGTTGCAATGTAAATAGACTAGTATTCCAAGAATTACTCCTGAAGCTATTATTATACTTTAAAAAATAAAATATATCATTAAAGTTTTATAAGAATTTACAAAATATAATATATAGAAGGAATTAATAGTAAAAATGTAACTTACGACCATCGTCAGCCAAAGACTCCAATTTCACTTCTTCGAGTGGTATAATATGCTGTTTGTTGTACTGTTGATATAAAAAATGTCAATTTGATTTGTAACTGTATAGAAACACCTTTATTGATTCTTACATATCTACTTATAGACAAATTTATGAATTTCTAAAAGAAACTTCATTACAGAACTAATGTTATACCTTTTTCTTGTTGATTACAATGTTTCCATACACCAGTATATCGTTAAATAGAAAGAACTGTCTCGGTTTTGGTTTCTTTCTACACATTTTTGTCAAGACACCTTCGCCAACCAAAACTCTTCCAGGTACGTGTAATGGCTGGAATAAATAATATATATTCAAAGTAATTTAAAAGAAATTAGATTGCAATTTTCTGGATATTAACAATGTAGTTTGGTGCTTAAAATCTTATAATTTTTTGGTATTAACTTTACCTGACCAGAACTGCCAAAGCAGTTTTCAACCATAGCAATACGCCTGGCATTGGCCTCACTATTTACTGTAAGAAATGTCAAATAAAATATGTAATTAAATATCTTTTTTCAATGGTTCATATATGCTACATATAATCATCTTAAACAAAAATTATTAATCTATAGTCAATGGAAACAATATAATATGATTGTAACAGAAAGAACAATACACAAGACACATATTTCTATTAATTCTTTCATAATAGTATTCAAAACATGAGTGCTTGAGCCCTTAGTCGATCTTATGACTATATTATATCTCTACCACTAAGAATCTACTATCACTTAATGTAAATGTTATAAGATATGGAACACATAAATTTATAATCGTCTAATTTTTTAATTGGATTCAATATCACAAATTCCATAACGAAACATGTTAGAAGTAAGTTACATAGCATTAATGCTCCTATATAGGTATTGCATAGAAAAATTGAACGCGTATTAACATATTTACAGAGGGAGGTGCACCAGTAAAAAGAATTTGGTATGAAATTGAGTAATCCTTTTTCGTAGATAGTTCAGGTATATGTATTCAATTTAACTGTCAAAAACACAAGCTATTGCACTACACCGTTATTCGGTGCAAATGTCACAATTTGTGGATACATAAGGTGGAAGTTTTTCAATTACGTTGTTCTAACAAATATCACGTATCTTGAAACACTGTGTCGCAAATCGGTGGAATTTTTCGTGTAATTTATAACATTAATTAAATGATAATACAGAGGATATAAACTAACCCAATCGGTCAACCATGATCCTATGAATCAGGGCTGACAACAACAGGAAGTATGAATCACATCCATGTTTTACTATAATTGTCACACATTCCAGAGGCAGAGTGAAACTGATGTTAACTTGCACAAATAAATATTATTTGGAAGCCATTCACTTCTAAATAATTTCTTTTCTCCTTTTGGTTAATGTTTTACATTAACACTTCATCTTTATTATAGAAGTTCGTTCTTAACAATTATTTTTCATTTGATTGGAAGAAACTCTGAGAAATAACATATGTTCATTATAACATTTATTTTAAGGTAAAATGTAAAAAAAATTTATTGTGTAGCAGTTAAATTAAAAGCAGAACATATACAAAAGAAAACAAGTTTATTTCGATTTTGTGTAACCATTTTATATTCTGCTAACTATATATATATATGGGATAAAAATTGAACAAAATATAAAAAAACAATGAATTAGTAATTAATAATTGCGTATCTTAATAATATTAAAACGCATACTATAAACATTGTGGACATTTAAATGCTTCAATTTTATAGATATCTCAATTCCTATTATTTTAAATACCGGATGCACTGCTTCGAGATATCGATGGTTACTACCTATTCATCAATGAAAATCATATGATTGCCGTGGGCGTAACGATATAACAGTAGTGATACGTACCTCGCTAGGTTACTTCACAAAGAAAGAAAAACTAATTTCTGGTTGAAAATGAAGATATGTGGACCTAAATATGCCCTATGTGGCTTGATATTATCCGTCTGGGGTATATTTCAATTAGTAAGTTACGTTTAGGATTCAATTTGAACACACTGTCAATTCATAAGAGAAAGTCAATGTACAAATTGTGAATTAAATGGAAATGTTATTAAAAGAAAGTATTTTCTGTACTTCATCTTGGTTACACACATCTTTGTGTCATTTATTAGGCATCTCGGAATCTAGCTAACCTCAATTTCTTATTAACAAAACTTTATGACTGAAGAATACAGTTTTCGAAATATTGTCTGTATCTGTCAGTACCTGCGTGTATGTTTAAATGAAATACAGTAACAATGTATGTTTATCACAAGATTAGGCTTAAGGTATAAAGGATAATGTTGGAACAAAATAATTACATCAAATTTACTTTCTACGAGGTCATAGAGACTCTAGGATATGTTTACAGGATAAAATTTAATCCATCTTCATTATACTTGAAGTAACTAGATAAGATTTCTTCTTAAACTTAAGTATGTTATTGCCTCAGTTATAATAACCTGCTGTCTTAATACATTACATATATCTGTTGGATCTATATATTCTAGTGCCTTTGTTATTGATATATGTTATATTGTATTTATCATTGTGAACTGTATGTGTATAAAGATACACTAAAGTATCATTATTAAATAGTTGGAAATTATAATATAATGAGGTAATAAACCCAATAGAACTATAAAGTAGTAACATGTTGAACCCATTGTCATGTGCAACAAATTCCTTAACTAAATTAGTTTTCTTTTTATACCATATAATAAACCCTTATGCAGGCATGAGCAGCAAAAGAAATGTGTCTTTATGGATGCATTAGGTTTAATACCTTATTATATTAGTATCTTTTAATTACATTCTATATTAATATTCTATAAGAAATAGTTAAAAATATATTATGTTTGATTTTTAGGTCCTGATGGGAATATTCTTCTATGTGAAAAGTGTAGCTTTAGTAGAAGATCTTCCATTGGAAGGAAATTTCAAGAATATTAAGGATTTCTATACACAAGCAGACAGAGGCTACACACAAAATGCATATAATTGTTGGATAGCAGCTTGTATTTATGTTCTAACATTCCTGTTCTCAGGACATCAATTTTATATAAATTCAAGATCATCGCTTAGTGTTTAAAGAAGCATTATTAATATATTATATAACAAATAAGAAATATGTATAAATTTACAAATTAGTGTTATATTATAAGTAGAGAAGTCATATTTAGAAGTATTCTAGATTACATTCATCAGTATGTTATAAATATTAAGAACAAATAACATTGGTGGTACAGATATCTTCTTTGATGCATTTTATGGCTAATTGATTTAAAAATATGTATACATATATATGCTTAAACCTTTTAGCGGTTAGAGCTTATATCCATGAACAATGAGGATAAATACTATTTCATAGTATAATATGTGTATAAAAATGTAGACAATAATATTATTAGTTGAAGCAGTTTTTCTTTAATGGTGAACACCATTTTATTTCCCTCTGTTAATAAATATTGTTAAGTTTTGAAACATTCACTCTTCTTAAACTAATACATTTAAATGTATTCACAGGTCTCCTTAAGTCTTATTGTACGATACATTATGTGAAGAATAGTAGTAATGAAACAATTGTTTCAAATTGTTTATGCATGCAAAATAAAAAACTATATTTAGAATGAAATTGCAATATTTATTTGTCACGTAGTTTGATACAATTGATAACAGTGCTAGCATATACATACAAGTATCTATGTACTTAGATGTCATATTCATGTACACAAGCTATCATACAATTATCTATGGACCATGAATATATGTAGTACATATATTCATGTAAATTCACATTTTTATACATCAATTTATGAAAAGTGATATTAAAGAAATTCATATTTTTCACCAACGATTTTATTAAATCAAATATGGTGTAATATTGTTATTAAACTTCGTACTATTCTTTCTTTTATTGTGTCCTGCATACCGGGGCATGTTATAAATTTCTACAGTCCAATTAATAATAATGAATCATATTCGAACGTTTCTATCTGTTGCTTATTCTTAGGTGTAATTTCGATTCCATATGATTCTATTTATATTAATGTATTTACAAGTTACAAAGAAGTTTTACGTTTTATAAAATTACATTAAAAACAGTGTGCATTTAATAATATTTACTACATTATTGAATACATCTAGGAGATGTCAAAATCATTGTATACAACACGCGGGATTGTGACATTTTAAATAATAATTAAATAGGTTATACGCATTATATTCGCCCAATAAATCAATTTTACTTGAATTATACGATAGAATTTGATATAAATAGATATTGCATTTAATAATGGAAACAGAACGAGCAAGTATGACGAGTGACTATACTGAAATCGTTCAACGTTTATCCTTTTCTTTGAGATTAGCGTATGGTGTAGGACATATATTTAATGATATTTGCGCTTCCATGTGGTTTACATATTTATTAGTGTTTTTTCATTTGGTACTGGGATTTGATGCAACTTTATCCGGTGTAATTTTGCTTATTGGTCAAGTAACGGATGCTATAGCTACTCCATTTGTTGGATTTTATTCTGATAAGAATGACCAGTTCTGGCTTTGTAAATATGGAAAGAGGAAAACATGGCATTTGATAGGTATATATATTATATGTATTCTTCTATATGTATTAAAAAGATATAAAAACTTTTAAAATATGTTTTAGGTACCTTGTGTGTTTTATTGGCTTTTCCCTTTATATTTTCACCTTGTATCGGATGTGAAACTGCTCATGAATGGGCTCAGTTAATTTATTATGCCTCATTTGTTGTAATTTTTCAATTTGGTTGGGCTGCTGTCCAGATATCTCACTTATCATTGGTCCCTGAACTCACACCTACCAAACGTGAAAGAACAGAGCTCATAGCTATCAGGTATTTTCCTTATATCTTTTAAAAAAACATAAAAATAAGAAATTATAATACTTATTATTAATTTTGTACAGATATAGCTTTACTGTTCTCTCAAATGTTTTTGTTTATTGTATCACATGGGCAGTATTACATGTAACAAACAACAAAGATTCTAATTCCCAAATTGGCCCTGACGATGCAAAGAAATTTCAAGAAATTTTATTCATCGGGATAGGAATAGGATCTCTAGCATCTATTTTCTTCCACGTTTTTATCAAGGAGGGAGTTGTTAATAACTTTGATGGTCAGATTAATTTTGTATCTTATTTGTGTTTGTATTTATTACATAATCAATAAAATCTAATTAGTGCTAACATCTATTTGTTGTGTCCATTTTAGGATTGCATAGAAATACAAGATCAGTGTCAGTATTATTGAAAGATGCACGCTTGTATCAAGTAGCCTTCATTTATATGCCTACACGTTTATTTATAAATTTATCACAAATTTATGTTCCTTTATATTTACATGAGACTTTAAATATGCCAGCTACATCTCTGGCTGTTGTTCCCTTAATAATGTTTCTGAGTAGTTTTCTAATGTCTCTAATTATAGAAAAGTTGAATACAAAGCTAGGCAGACAAATGTCATTTTACCTCGGTGTTTTCTTGGGTACATGTGCTTGCATTTGGATACGATTTGGTACAGGCATAACATTTACAAAATATCAAATCTACCCAATATCTGTGATATTAGGTAATACTGTATAATATGTCAAATATTATCAACTTAAGGAATATGTAAAATATTTTGAAAAATTAATTAATCTGAGTTTCAGGATTTGCAGGGTCCATCATGTTGGTGACCAGTCTTGGTGTTACATCAGATTTTATTGGGCTGGACACAGACAATGGTGCATTTGTCTATGGTATCATGAGTTTTACAGATAAACTTTCTAATGGTTTGGCAGTTATGATTATTCAATATTTGTTAGTACATTTACAGATTACCGAGGTACATAGAATTGTGTTTGTGTTACAATTTGTAAACTTTATAACTTTTTTAGGACACGATGGATAAGTTCCAAAAATTACTATAGAGATATTTTGGTTTATGTCTGTGGTTCTTCTGCAATATTTGGTTTAATAGCAATTATATTCATAAAACCATTTTCTAACAATGCAGGTAATATAAATACATTATTCATAATAAGGGATTATAAATTACAGTTTTCCTATAAATTTTTCAACTTCTTTCAGCTTACAGTACGTTAAGTTCAGAACAAGAAACAGTAGCAGAAACCGAACCAGACAATTTACCACGCCAAGAGCATGTCACATAATTTAGAAAACAAATTTATTAAACTAATCAATGAAGTTTAATATTATTTTTTATACGAATTAGGAATAATATATACACATAATTCAATACTGTTATTATATAATTATTAGTATATTAGTAAACTTTAATTTATGTATTAACTGTTCGTGTGTATTATGAGGTAGAACCAATATAAAAAATTCATATTAAATCGGTAGTAATACACTTCTATTAAGTTCTAAATGCGATTTTAAAACTCAGTGAAAAAAATGAAATCATGAAAGTTTCTTTGTAACTCTGACAGATATATAAGTTACTGAGAAATTCCTGGTAATAAGTCACGAAAGGTCTGTGCGTGATGGTACGGTGCCTGTCACCATAAAGCATGAACGACCATCTGGCATGCGATTTACTGCCACGCTTCTCTGACTATGTTTGGTTGGGCCAAACTTCGATTTTCTTAAGCGTTACTATGAACGATTCACTTGTGTGTTGAGCAAGTGAATACCTCGTTCATTGATTAGCGTACATTCTTATATACGACGACTCGGCAGTATCGGCTAAACGAACCCAGAATGTTTGAAACGAGCAACTGCGGACGTCGATGCCAGCTTAATAGTACACCGGGAACAACTACGGGAAATCTAAGCGCTTATTTGGCACGCATAAAATTCCCCCTGCGGAATTACTTCAAGGCAAAAGGAAATTTTTCAAATTACACGGATCCCGTAAATTCTGCCCGAATGAAAAGATTAAGTTTGAAATCCAAGTAAGTAGGAATTATGTAAATCTACTATTTTATATTACGTTCTATATACATACGTGCATTTAAACTTTATAGAAAGGCAAATGTAATTCAGAAAATAGATTTAAGTAAGAAAAAACCTATAGATTACACGGAGATGGCTTATAGGGAAGCTGTTTCCAAGTTGAAGTATTTGCTTGCTGAGTCTTATGTTACAAAGCCAATATCAGGGTAATTTCATATGATTTTATTATGTCATCTTTGATTTATCTATTATATGTATGATATAATTTATATGTGCAATATAAAGTGTAAAATAATTTTTGTATAGAAAATCACAAGGTATTGAAGATCTACAATACAGTAATATAAAAATTCATGAATCTGAAGAAGATACAGATGACAAGAGTGTAGTCCTTAACAAATCTAGGGGGAAAGAAATACCTGAAAAAATACACAGAATTACAGATCCACATTTTGCTTCTTGCACAACTGTGCTTCCAACAAAAGCATTCAGCAATTTGGCACCTTCGTCTGCAGGTTCACAATCTGTCCCTCCAGAATTAAATTCTTTCATTGAACAACAAGAGGAATATATTCAACAGTTACATCAAGAATCTCAGTTTTGCAGAAATCAACTAAACAATTTGCTTCATAAAGTCAGAGAGGTATTCTATTCCATTCAGTTACTAAAAAAGTACTATTGTTTGTTCAAAGAATTTAATTTAATAAGTTTAGGTTGTTGCTGAAAATGAAGCTCTGCATTATAAAAACAAAACAGGATTCTTTAAATGTGCACTCGATGATTATGTACACATCAAGGAAAATGATAATGACAATGATAAACAAAAGTTAATTGAAACAGAGACATCTGAATTTAAAAAACCTAAAACTCTGGAAGGTCCTAACATAGTGTTTGAATCGAGAATCAGTGAATTGGAAGCTCAACTGACTCAAGCGAAATTAGAATTACGTAAAGCTCAAGAGGAGAATCAGTCTAATTTAAAACGTTTATCTCAGAGTTGTTTAAATAATGATACACTTGAAATAAAAAATCAGTTGGAAAAAGCTTTGCATGCTAAATATGAAGCAGAAATGAAAATAGAAGACCTACAAAAAACTGTAACTTTGGTACAAGAAAAGGAAATCGAAGCATTCCAAAAAATGAAGCAAACTGTGGATGGTATGCAGCAGATGCAGTTTGAAAAAAGTCAGTGTGAAGTAGAGATCAAGAGATTGAAGGAAGAATTAGATAGGCAACACGAGAAAATTAGAGAAGCTACCCAGGAAGCAAGTAAACGTATTGCCGAAGAAAGAAAACAAGCAGAACGTAGATATAGTCAGCAAGTTGAACAATTGTCTGCTGATATAACTTCTCATTGGGATGCGGCTAATAAATCTCAGTTAGAATCTGAAAAACAGCGGAGAGAGTTGACAGAACTTAGAAGGGAATTATCTCAAAAACAAACGTTTATTGATAATTTAAAAAAAGAACTTCAAAACAAGATAAGTAAGTTTCATAATTTGATCGTAAATATTATTAATAAATTATATAGCGTTTTATAATCTATATTGTATGTAGCAAATTTACAAAGTGAATTGAACCAAGCATTAACCGAAAAGGATGGTGCCGAACAAGAAGTTCTAGCTACAAAATTGACCGCTGAACGAAACGAAAGACAAGGTCGCCAAGAGCAAAGTAGATTACAAATCGAAATAAATTCGTACAAACAACGATTAGAAAGAACAGAAGCTGAGTTGGTTCATCTCAGAAGAGAGAATTTAAGGCTTTCAGAACATATAATTTCTTTAGAGAAGGAGGTAAAATATTAAACGTTAAATATTGTTCACAATGGTAAAGGTTTACTTCTTAATTTTGACGCTGAGTACAAGTACGTATTTCTTTTTTTCCAGATTAATACAAATAAATCTATAGGTTCGGACGATTTTACTGTACAAACTCCATCAAAATTAGAGAACGAAAAGGAATTGACTTCTATGATAATGGATATGGAAACCAAACATGGTAAGATTTTAATTTATGTAATGCCTATGTTAGGTATATTGTCTTTGAGAAATTGTATTATGTTACTGTTATTTGCAACAACATATTGCGTGTGGGAAATCGGCATGCTGACATTATGCCTAGCATGGGTAGAAAATGAATTAGTCAATTTATTAAAAATTGACTGATGGGTTCGCATTTCTTAGCTGCTACAGTGGCTGGTCTAGAAGATGCCTTGAATAATCAGGCTACGATCGTCTCTCACCTGACTGCTGAATGCCAATCTCTCACACAGCGTTTGGAAGCAAACAACCTCAAGCACAAGTATATTCTTAGATAAATGTAGAAAGAAATACCAAACTATACGCAGTTGTACTATATGTAGATTGTTCAGAAGAGTTGAATGATTTATTACTGGATAATTAACAGATATTTTACATTACTTCATTGAATACATCTAGGGCTATTCTGTGTTGACAGAGGGAGTCACTGACAGAGACGTAACAAGAGTTGGAAAAACTACTTCAACTTCAAACAAGAGACGCACTGTTAAGGTTGATTTGAAAGTAAAAGTAGTTCCAAAAAAGAAATGAGTATCTTTTTAAGGTACCTCTATCAACACAGTAATAGCATATGTTTGCAACATATATATATATACATGTACATATATGCTTACTTTTATGTTAATATTATAAGATACACAAAGTAGTAAGTACAGTTGTAGCATTTGTATGATGTATATTGAAATTATATTTTAATATCTATTATTCTATAGGGAAGAAATGGTCAACTTACAAAACAACATAGAGTACTTGTCGAACAAAATACAAAGTACTTTTAGTAACCAGGAAGGTAGTATTTTCTATGCATCATCGTATTTTTACAATCGTTAAAATTATTTTTATAATAATGAGACTTTTTAGGAATCGCATCGACGGGAAGTAACAATGAATCTACAGTAAATTTTCCTAACAATATATCACCTAACTCGCTAGTGCAAGCACAAAATACAATACCCCATACAGTTCATCAAGAACATAATATGAAAGCAAATAACTCAAATCAGATGAATAATCAATTGTTGGAGAGTGATTTATCTAATGAGAGAAGGTATGACATAGATTATGAGGTAGAGAGTGATTTGAAAACAAAAATGCAGATGTACGAACTAGATCAAAATGAAGATAACAAGCAAGAACATGTAATGGACAACCAAGCTTTAGAATCATATGTAACTGAACAAGAGTATAATTCATATGACCAATCTAGTATTATGGCTAATGAACAACAAGAATATATTGACGTAGAACAGAATTCAAATGATGTAACATCATGATTTTAGTATCTTAAATTGGATGTATAAAACAGTAATACTAATATTACTAATTCTACTATTGAATTTATAGGATAAGTACTTTATGTACAGTATATTTTAATATGCTAAATCTTATCCAAGTATTCTATTATACAGGCTGATTCTCTCGCTGCGCAAGGCGTTTGGTTTCCGCAGCAAGAGAATCACTTTATAAATTCATATATACATTTTTCATAAAATGTATACATTTAAATGCATACATATATTATGAATAAATACATAAAAAATTATATATTCACAAGAATTAATGTAATATTATGATACATTAACTTTGTTCTTAATTTTGAATGTAAACTTTGTATTATTTATTATTCGAATAATATATGTAACACGTTTAATTTATATTGAACTTGAATTTTTTGAATAAATGAATCTTGTGTTACTTGGACTCATAGAGGGCAGGCAGTATGTATTTAGTTGTTATAGATGGTGATAGGCAAACTGAGGCAAACCATGCATATGTTTATCTATTTGCAAATTTGTAAACAATGTATTACATAAAATAAAATGAAATTTGTTAATTAGATAATGAAAGATTGTATACAAATGCTGAGGATTAAGAAAGTGGATTAAAATCCTATACATTTATATAAAATGGCTTTATCAACAGGTAAGTTAACATGTGACTACTTATAACCTCAATCAAATATTTATAACCAATATTCTTACCCCATATATTTAACAGAATTATTGAAACGTTTGAATTCTGATGAAGAGCCGTTACCAAAACGTTTGAAATTGGCAGAAAATGCTTTCTGTACCAGTGATCTACCAATAGTACGTAAAGAAGATCTTATTCTACAATGGCTCTGCGAAACATGTTCCACAGATGAAAATGTTTGGAGGTCTATAAAAAGTTGTTTGAAAACTGAACATTTGAATATAAAGGCCGATGTGAAAGAATTGTTAGTTAATGCACTCATTGCAAAACTACAAGGAAATATAAAAGATGTACACGATGATGTTTTTGAATGCTATAGATTAATAGTCTTTAATAATTCGATGCAACAATATTTCATTAGCAAACCAGAGGATTTAGGACTTGCAGTAAAATCTCTTTTAATTTATGCATTGAAATTTTTCAAATATACCTTTAACATTCAAGAGGACTCAGCCGAAGGAATAGATATAGAATTAATAATCAAAAGTGATGGGATGCTATCTGTAATATATAATACAATAATTAGCATTATAGAAAATATGATACAAATTTCTAAATCTGCTTTTATTGTAAAAGACAAATTAAAAATCATATTTGTACGTGATATTTTATATCCTTTGTGCAATATAATTGATCATAAGTGTACCAATAAAACTAATAGATTAGGAGCAGCAGCACATAAATGCGTTCAACAATTAATATTTGGAAAAAAATATGCACAGGATGCTACATCTTTTAGAAATGAAAGTACAACTCAGTTTGCAGATTTAGTATCTGCTTTTGCAGAAAATATAAAATCCAAAGATTTTCAAGCCAATTTAAGGACATTTGTTTTTATTTTTCATGCAGCAGTAGGTGTATTTAAAGCTGACAGTGCTGCATTGGATTTCATACTGAGAGAATTAGTGGAATGTGCTGGAATACATAAAAAAGAAATTTTAAATGCTTTGCTGAAGCATTTAAATGATATAACATTTAATTTCAATAATAAAGTGCAAGATGTCACATTGTTTGACTATTGTCAGAATATAATGAACAATATTTTATCAAACGACAGTATGAGTACTATAGACTATGATCTTCTTGCACAATTCTGTTCTTTTAATCCTCTTATAATTGAGAAAAGAATTCAAGAGATATTGAGAAAAGCATTTCTGGGAAATCTATCCTTGGAATATACAAATTTAATGGTTTCTATTTTAAACGCAGTTATACATTTGAGACACGAGGAAAAATTGATTTCGTTCATATTAATAGCTGTAAAACACTCTTTAAATACAATACCTAATACAAAACTTAACATGTTTTTTCCACAAGAATTCAAAGAAAAATTAAAGAAAGCAGTGAATAGTACCACAAACTCGCAAGGTGTATCTATATTAAGGACATTAATATATCACTTAAAGACAGATTGCATAGAAGTGTTACGATCCGAAGATGCACGTAAGAATACCAAATTTTTAAAAAATATTAATCTGATATAAATTTAATTTTATCAGAATTTAATTGTTCTTAATTTATTACAGATAAAAATATAGTTATTGTGCATATAACCATCGAGTTACTTATTATGCTTTTAGACAGTGTATGTGTTTTTGAGTACACAGGAACATTGACATCTCATCAAAAATTTATAAACGCTATCGACGATTTGCGAAATATTTTATCGCTTCTGGTAGACAGGATTTTACACTTAAATCACGACGAGAAAATTATTGTAATATTATTACGTGCAATGTATTCGTGGAATGAGACACAGAAGACTTTAAAATATTATGTACCAAAAGCAGTTACACGAGACTTGAGATGTCCAATATCGCAAGATCAGTGGCAACAGTTAATTCAGAGAGTTACAAATTTTGGCACAGATAGTTGTAAAAACAGCATAGTATGTCTTTATTATTCTTATTGACATAGATTGTTTTGTAAGTTTTATTTTATTGGAGTATTAATATGTTACAATTTCAGAATAAACTTATTTTACAACAAGCCAAGATATCTAAAAATACATCAAACGTATCTTTTATTACGCTTAATAGTCTGGTGGGTGGTTTAGAATACTTTTGGAAGTCTATGTTGAAATTTGATAGACATGCAATATTTCTTTTGAGTGAAAAGGAGATGCCAAAAGTGGCAGATTCATTATTGATAGATATGACCTCCAGTGAGGAGAGTTTTTCCGAATGGGTAGAAGTATTACACAACGACAGCTTACAAGAAAACAAAAGATTTGTAATGTGTTTGTTAAGTTCTGTTGTTACACGAATGGAAAATTTGATAACAAAAGGAGCGACAAAGTCTATATGCAAACATTTTGTAATAGTAAGTTTGAATGTTCTGTGTATACCATTATTTGAGCAATTAAATAATATTTACTTTATGTATCTCAGAAACATTTGCTTGAAGATGAAGGTATCGAGAACCAGAAACTAAATGAAATGGTAATACATATGAAAGACATCTTATCGCAGAAAGAGTGGGTTCAAATAGAGAATGCATCGTTGCGTGAAATAAAAGTGTACTTACAAGTACTGCTTCATCTACCTCTAATACACCTGAATGCCAATGTAAGATTAATAATATTCATCATTATATTCGCTCTTAGGATAGAGTGTAATCAAAATGAGGACATAATTTCCTTATCTAATGTAATACTTTCAGGTATTTTCCCTTTTTATGTACATATAAGAGAAAATTAAATTCAGTAGTACATTTAAAAAACGTTGTACTTTCAGATCTTCTAGAAAAACCTGGTGTTCATATATTTCAATACATGGATCCATCGTTATTATTATGTCAGTTGTCACACAACAGAAACATCCAGAAAACTCTGGAATTATCTCTTAGAAATGGTTTATCATACACAACTTTAAAGAAACTTATAAAAGCGTTCGCACATTCTAAGAAGGATTTACAGTTTTTACTAGAATCTGTGGAACATGTTAAACAAAAATTAAGTACAGACCAAAGAGTAATAGTTAGAAAAGCAGAAATAAAATTAAGTACAACCATAATGAAAATGTTACCCTCCACTGTCACGGAAATGAATGATGTGAATATATTAAGTTCAATATTAAAAATTAATGTGACCAACGAAAATATTAACAAAGAATTTAAAAATTTAGTAGAGCGAACGCTTCTAAATATATTCTTGGTAAATATAAATATACATATACATAAAGAAGTTTAAGCTAATTCTGTTTTTTCGTCATTATTAGACATACTATATTTTTAAATAATTGATTAACAGAATGATTGTAATGGAAGTGAAAAGAATGACGTATTAAAAGAAGGCTTGAAATTGGCAGTTGTTGTCCTTCATAATCGAAAAATATTTCAAGTTAAGGAACAAACTATGAAAGGAATATGGTGTGTTCTACTCAAATATCCATCTACACATGTACTTCTCCCATTATTAGAATCAAGTGAATCAACAGAACTTCAAGTATTTTTAGAACATTTACATGATCAAATGGTATGTACCTTCTATAAATATGAAAACCAAATAACTTGTATATAGAAATATTATGATTTTACAGGTAAAAGCAATCACACACATACAACCGAATGACTTAGAGAATGTTTGTATCATATGGCAAGCTGTATTAAAAACAAATATGTCTCACGATAGAAATAGGTTACGTTTAATAGCAATTAAAAAATTAATTCAGATAATACAAGTGTTAAATGTATCGGAAGAACTTTGGACAAATTTATTGAAATTAATACAAAGCATTCTTGCTACCAAGCATTTATATCTGTCTGGTACAATTATCGATATGAGCATATTTCTTGGATTAAAATCATTGCAACAATCTACAATATTTCCATGTCAAGATGCGTTAACATTGTGTAACATATTGTTAAAAATGAGAACGAACCTAATTACAGATAGATTACCTGCGTTGCTAATTTTATACAGACATATACTAAATGTTGTTGTACATAAGTCCAAAGTTATGATAGATAAATCTGAACAGCATATATTCAAATGCATCGCATTAGATATTGAGAAGTAAGTTATCCATATTTGGTTCATTTTAAAAAGGTATACATGAATTTTAAGTTGCTCCATTTTATGGACAGGTTCACAGGCTCCCTGATAAAATTGAAAAAAGACATGGCAAGATTAAGTCCTTATCTGATAGCGGATTTGTTGAAATTGTTTTCAGAAGCTTCTATATCAACATCTGTTAAGGTAATTCTCTCAGATATATCTTTCGGAGTTCTTACACTTGTCACTTCCAACTTTCTGTTCTAGGTTACTCTACAGAATTGTATAAACTTGTTAATTGGTATATGCGATCAACATGGAATTGCACTACTGTTTCGAATATTACCAATTTCAATGCAAGAGATTTTTAAGACCCAACTAGATGTATTTAACAAATATTATAAATTTTCTGGAAAGATTTAATTAATGCGTATATAGCAAAAATTTATGTACATATATATTTTTATATAATAGATAACATATTGATCTATTGTTAATGAAAAATTGTCTATAAAAACAATTTCAATAAAACAGCATGTGAATTCTATTACTAGTAATCTAATTATTAGGAACGTATCTTTAAATGAAAAAAACTTCAAATATTCTGTCATTTTTCCCGCCAAATTTTTCATAGCACAGACGTGGACGCAATCAGGATAAGAAGGATACGGTCACTCCAGTCACGGTCTTATACGATCGTGCTGCTAACACGGGTTTAGTACTAACCCAAGGATTAAGTGGTCTGTGAAAGCTGTATTAAAATTGTGTACCGGGATAATATGATTAAAAAATCTATGTCCACTATGTCTATGACTATTTCCACGAGAGGTTATAAATGGTTATAAAGTTGTTCTAAAATAATGTAAACCTGTGTAAACCTAAATTTTAAGAAAAATTTGATTATTCCAAGAAACAAGTAGAATGCGCTTCAGCAAATTACCGAAAGATCAAATCTATCTTGCGATCGTTTTAGGTTGCGTTACTGGTTATTATATATGGAATGAGCCCATAAAGAATTACAGTCAAGAGCATTTTGGCGATACAAATCAAATAAACGTGAGTCATTTTTATTCTGAATGAATTGTACTAAAGACGTTGATACAAACAGAAATAATCATTGAACATTATTAAATTTATGACTTGATAAATTATATGGATACATATATAAAACATTATTAAAACCATAAGAAAGTAGTATTAACTTTATATTTCCAATAATAACATTTACTATTTTAAAGAAACTTCCTGATGGCCAAAAGTAAACTTCTGGCGTCAGTTCGTTTGAAGCTGTTGGGAACTGTGTGTGCAGGTTTAGGACTTTTATTATGTTACAGGTAAATGTAATTTGGCATGTTACACTACAGACTGTTATGCAAAATAACATTTTTTAAGTAATTTGTGGAAACAGAAGTTTTCTTGGACAGTATGTCTAAAAATAGATGTTGCAGACTCATAGACAATGTGTCTTCTGAATTTTCATAAACAGAGATGCAACATAAACTTTCAGAATTTTAACGAAAGTATTTAATATTATACATAATTATAAATGTATAATAATACTTTTGTAACATTTTTTCCTAAAACAGAAAGTGGTAGAAAATAGAGAACAGATGGTGAAGAAAGTCAGCACCCAATAGTGTGTTAAGAATTTTATAGAATTAGAAATAGAATTTGTAGTTCATCAAAATTAGTTAAAGGTTTATGTCTTATTGTATTTCACACAGTCATACATGCTGTACACAATTAAAATCTGTAGTCCAATTATATTGTTACAACATAAATTAATATTATATTGTTTACAGATTCCTTATAAAAAACCATGTTTGGTTTAATAAACACAATGAAGCTGAGATGTATGCAAATTTCATTTATGAAAACTATAAAGAAAAAGAAGAAATGAAAAAGATCGATTATTCGTGAAATTATTTTTTAATTTTGTGCATGCACCCGTTGAAATATAATATTTGTTCACACAAATGCATGTAGTATCATATGTAGTTATAAATATATAAGTTCATTCAATAAATAATACAATTAACAATTATACAATACTATAGTTTATTACATAAAAGAACATAATGGATGTATTTTTTAGCCTTCTTTAAATTTGCCTCCATAGAATGGTAAGTATTGAGCTACTAGTTTCCAATCAGTGAAATAAACTATTGCTAAGCCAGCTGTTCCTCCATAAACCATTGCAGATGGAACCCTAATTAACAAAAGGAAACAAGAAAAAATTTAATAAGGTACATGAAAGTTAATATATTATACATAAGTAACTTTAGTTCAATTTAAAAACACATAATTATACTACAGACTTTATACAATCACAGCTTACATAAAATTATAAATCCAACAAAATAAATGATTCCTTTAAAACTTAATAAAATTTTTACTTTCTTCTTAACTCCTCAAAGTCTTTTATAAAGTAAATAAGCTAGTGTTTAACTCTAGTCTTCATAAAATAATGTACATAGAACAATCTATACTTGCATAAAGATCTGCAGTTCACATGTGATGTTTAGGAAACAGAAGAAAATGTTATGTAATTAACACAAATGCTGAATTTGATCGAATATCCGCGTATACATTAGATATTTCAAACTGTGTTTGCATTGATTTATATGTTCAAAAAACTATAGTTAGTACTTACCATCTTGTAGCTATTTCAATGTGTTTCCTTCCCAGACGCATTTTTCCTGAATCTATAATAATTCAAAATAAAGTCAATGCATTCAATACTTAAATATAGGTTACAAAACGTAAAACATATTGGATACAGTGGAAGAATTACAAGTGCTTATTTATTTACTGTAAATAGATACTGCAATAAAGATTGTGTATTCCTTTCCTCTTCAGTCTCGTCCTTCTACGTACTTCTACTGCCTTCTACTGTGATTGTGTATGACTATGTGTGACTGTGCAGCTGTGCGGAACGGTCATATTCACAGCAACCAGGTCCGGAAACTCTCGTGGTGGGGGTGATCCCTTAAACTTAAAAGAAACAAAGTGTACTTTCAAACTTTGCCATGAAGCGAGGGCACTACAGTCTTTCGACAGTCATTTCTAATTCCTATGTCGATGGAAAAAAGTGGCGTAGAGGTTTCTACCTCTTGGTATTGGGAATTACTGAAATTTATGCCAAATTAATATTCGATTTAATATTTATTTCAGTACCTAGAATGAATTTTCCAAGTGATAGGAGACCATTACTCTGTTGCATTTCGCAACTGGTAATATTTAGAATCAAACGCTATCTGTTGAGAATTCTAAGAATAAGTAATTTTAATCTATGCCTACAGATGACAGTGTAGCTACATGTATTTATTCTTAGAATTCTCAACAGATGGCGTTTGATTCTAAATATTACCAGTTGCAAATACGCAACAATCCTTACGCCGATTTTTCCCCTAGTAGAAGCCGAGGTTGTTCGTCGGTGTAGAGTTCAATGGGAATAAATGGGAACAAACAACTCAAATCCGGGACATCTGGTCACCTTAATATACGTAATAAATTTTTTGGGAGACAATAGTGAGATGAACAACGCTATGTATTTTGTTTGGTGGTTACTGGTTACCTGTCTGTAGAGGAATTCCTATTTCTCCTTAACGAATTCCTACTGTAACACATAGAGGTTGTTAGAACTGGAGTTAGAGGTGTACTGGGTGTACCGGTCTATAGAGATGGGCAGGATGGGTAGAAATTATCATACATTCGAATCATATGTATCAACCAATCAAAGTTATGTATGATAATTTCTACCCATCTCTACTGATCTATATACAACATAAATATATCAACGTATCATACAGTATCATAGTTGGGAAATTCCCTACTTCCCTCATCGCACACAGGTCTACAGGGCGTATAGTCTGGAAGGTCTAGAACAATTACCGATACATATGGATAGATAGTCACCAATAGTCACAATAGTCACGAAGGTCGCGAAGGAATAACATTGTGATTCATATACAAGTGTACAACGGATCTACTATACAATTGCTACAGTACAGATAATATTAGGATACAAACGTAATTTACGCTGGTATTATGTTCATTCCTTTAATTCTTTCTTTCCTCGTACATGTTATTTGCACTGTATTTTTTTAATATAAGAAACAGTATCAACTGTTATCAACACATTTAACCATCATACATCGAATTATATTGAATGTCATTTTGATCCCTTTGTTACGACAGTCGATTGTCGAGAAATCGGATCTTATTACAGTAATACAAACAACTATTTTATCTTTCTTAATATCATTTGAAAAATGGATTTCGGAGAAATAATGCATTCAAAACTGAAAAGAAAACTTTATTCTGTAGAAAATATATCGGAACTTTTATTATAGGTAACAATCACAGAATCATAGTCATCCATCGTCAGTCACAATACGTTGCTCCGGCATTCGGTGTCTGAGAGTTAAGACTATTATTGTAAGCGTCATGAAAAACTACGAATGTTTATGCAAATTTTCATTTTCAAATACCATTTTACATTAATCTGAATCAAAGAATAATTCATTTCATCTATTAAAAATAATACAGCCGACTTTATTAGTATTTTTATTAAAATATTTTATTTTAATATGTTTTGAATGTACAAAATAGCTATAAATGCATACAATTTACAGTTTATTTATTACATTTTTTATTATATTAGGTTTTAAACAATTATGTATTTTATAATTGAGTTAAATTTTCAGTCATTTTTTTTTTATGGTTTATTGTAAATGTTATACCTCTGTGCAATTTGTTAATATTGATATATTAATATAAATGTATTTCTGTTCAGGATAATGGAAGAAAATGCAAATGAATTTACACCAAGAGCCTATCAAATTGATTTATATGAAACTGCACACAAACAAAATACAATTATTTATTTACCAACTGGTAGTGGAAAAACTTTTATAGCTGTTATGCTTATTAAAGCATTAAGTGCTGATATACGAAAGTACATATTTGTAATTGAAACTTATAATATTGCTTAAATATTTCTTTTCACAATGATACAATCAAAATTATACTTATGAATTTTATTTTATATTAGACCTTATAACGAAGGTGGGAAACATACTGTATTCCTAGTTAATACAGTCCCTTTAGTTACACAGCAAAGTGAATATATTGCAAGAACAACTGGATTGGCATGTGGAGGATACTGTGGTGATATGGGGGTTGATTGTTGGAAAGATGCTGAATGGGCAAAGGAATTACAAAAATATCAGGTATTTAAAATTTATTTTACATTATTTAAAACTAATGTTATATATGCGAATGTTATACATACACTATTGTTGCAGGTTTTAGTAATGACATCTCAAATTTTGTTAGATGCAATTTGTCATGGGTATATACTTTTAAGTAGAATAAATTTACTGATATTGGATGAATGTCATAGGGCTGTGTCAGATCACCCAATGAGACAAATTATGCAACGCTTTCAGTTTTGTCCTAAAGAAGAACAACCAAAAGTTTTAGGTTTAACAGCTACATTATTAAACTGTAATACAAACATGCCTAAAGTAGACTCAACTGTTCAGGTAAATTCAGAGTATATTATTCAAATTGAGTATTTTAATAACACAGTAATTTTTTCAATAAAGTGTTTTTATTGAATATTGTTTTTCATACAAATCAGCATGAGAACAAAAACAAAACTGTATTGCATTTACAATGTTTGAATTTCACTACAGGCTTTGGAAACCACACTTCATGCAAAAATAGCCACAGTGAATTCTGCATCAGAAGTTCAAAATTATTATGGGATCCCAAAAGAAACAATTGCTAAATTTGATGCTTATATTATACCTGATGTTGGAATAGTTATTAATAATTTAATGGATAAAATAATAGAATTTTTGAACAATATAGAGTTACTGATTTCCTTCAGGAACATTGAAACGAGTGAAGAATTCAAACCGAAATCTGTAAATAAAAAACTGAAGTCTGTACTACTAGATATTAGGGAACAGTTTGCACATGCTGGTACAGTCATAAGATCCAATGAGGATGTATTTGTATTAAATCTTTCATGTATGTACATTTAATTGAATTTCACTTATAATGCAGGAATATATGGAGCAAGTAAATCTATTTTACTTCACATGATCCAAATAGAATGTATAAAAAAAAATACTCAAGATGTGGTATGTGATAAAGTAATTTAAATTAGAAATGACAAGTAAATTTTGATTTGTTAATCATAAATTATATGTCTAGGAAACTGCGTACGTTTTGGAATACTTTATTTCAGAATTCACAAGATTTCGGAAATTATTAGAAGATGAAATGAAAGATAATGCAGAAGCAAACAAAATTCACAGGTTTGTTTTAATTATATTTATTCTAATAAAGTAAACTCCTTTTTAATCGGTTCTTATAAAACCGGACTCCGAGCTGGATAAACGAATGGCCGGTTAATCCGAAAATATATGTCAAATATCATATATGAAGTTAATATAAATAAAAAATAGAACTAATAACCATTTAAACAATATGTTAAAAAGTACAATGTTAATTTCTATATGTTCAGAAGTACACTTAGCATTATAAGCGTTATATAGGAGGGACATGGTAAATTTTGTATGTATTTCAAAATTAAATCCGAACAATGTGTCAATTGTTGTCCCGCTGAGGCTCTCAATGAAAATGCGGCTGGTTAAAACGGAGATCGGTTAAAGCGGAACCGCATAACACGGAGTCTACTGTATACTTAATTTTTAATTTTACTCGTACAATCTAAATATGGTGGTGAAATTAGTATATAAAAAATTCCGCTTTTATTGTACTAATGTAAATTACACAGTTTAACAAATGATATTGGTTTATCGTGTTATTGCAGCTATTCATCCGATCAAGTACGAAAACTTTTTGCTATATTAAAAGAATTCCACAGAAACAGGTTTGATAATCAGAAATTCTGTTGTATTATCTTTGTGCAGCGACGTTTCACAGCAAGTGTATTGTATCACGTATTGAAGGTAATTGTTAATTTCTCTCGAAATTTAAAAGAAATTAATTGGCTATAATTGTAGTACAATTTTTATTATTTTAGAATTTATCTAGATATGATGAAGAATTTAAATTCTTAAAACCTGATTACTTAATTGGTTTTTCAAATGATCCTTACAAAACTAGCAAAGAATCAGTATGTTTATCTAAATGGAATATGGAAGTTTTACACAAGTATGATTGTATTCGTTCAACCTGTTCAGTGTAATAGAAGTTACAAATGAATGTATTTTGTTGCTTTAATTGTAATCTCTTTAGATTCAAAAATGGCTCCACGAACTGTGTTCTTGCTACAGACGTTGTTGATGAAGGTATAGACATACCAACTTGCACGTTGATTGTAAGGTATAATTTGCCAATGGATATTAGATCGTATATACAAAGTAAAGGAAGAGCACGGTATATGACTAGCCAGTACACCTTATTGTTGTCTAAATCTGACAGTAACTATATATCACGACTTGAAAGTTTTAAAAGAACAGAATCATATTTACAAAAGGTACTGTTCCTATTCGCACTTCTTCTCTTGCCTTAACTTTGGTTCTAATTTATTAAAATTTTCCATATAGCTATTAATTGGTCAAACGCAATATCGTGAAGATATATCCGAAAAAAAAATTAAATCTGAATTGTATTCATATGAAATAGAACCGTACACTGTTGTACAGCCTAATGGAACAGTGTGTATCATAACAGAACAGTCAGCAATATCTATTATAAATATATATTGTGCAAAATTAATGAATTTGAAGTATGTATGCTTAGCACCAACTTGGAAATTATATAAAATAAAGCAACATAACCACGGAAATGAAGATGAATTATACAAGGTATTAGAAACTATTAAGTCGTTGCATATAAAATTTCGGTTTCACCGATTACAATATTTCATGGTATTCTTATGAATGAAAGTTATTAACAGTGACTACTACTTGCATATTATATTAAGATAGAGAATGTTCTGCACATTTTACAATATTTATGTCAACAGTAAGACTGCTTATGGAGTATCTAAAATACATTAATACAGATGATGCACTACGATTAAAATTCATGAAATTTTATTTAAGGTTCTGATATAGATACAAACTCGGTACAATTAATACTGTTTTCTAAATATTAGTTTCAAATTCAATAATTTACTTCCAAGACCTTAGGTTTTCAATAATGACGGAGTGAGCGTACATGTGATTCATTGAGGAATGTAAACAATCTTTGATCTACAAAATTCTCTAAAGTCCGACAGAATATGAAATGCCGCAAATTTTATATGCAATGACCTTGTATTACCAATTTTACTTTTGTTTAGGAATTATTTCCTTGAGTGTGCTTATAATACAATAGTCGGTTTCTCGTAAAAATGTTTTTTAGGTGTCGCTTAAATTGCCAATTGTGTCTCCTGTAAAAACTATAGTAGAAGGAGATCCTATGGTATCCATTAAATGCGCAAAGAGGTCTGCTGCATTGAAAATGTGTATAGAACTGCATAAACATGGTGAACTATCTGATAAGTTAATCCCCAAGACGGTGGATTCTAGGATACAGAATTTAAATTATTTATTCCCAAATTGGGAAGAAGAGGATAAGTCCGAAACAAAAATATATGGGACATACAAAAAGAAACGACATCATAAACTACAGGTAAATCAAGATGTAAACTGATTTTATATATGTATTTACAATTTTTCTTCTATTTTTCAGACACGTATATAGGCTCCTTTCTTTCTTGGTGCTATTTAAAAACACAATATAACATCAATTCTTATGCAAGGAAGATGCTTTCAAAATTTAGTTTTTGTTAATAAATTCTTATCTAAACTATTACCTTACTATTATCTTCTAAAACCAACCTAAATATCGTTACGACCGATTCGTAGACTACCTTGAATCTACTTTAAATATTATTTTCAGTTTCCATCAGCTCTGTACAGTGCATATCCCTTGCCAAACGAGGAAGTGTATCTTCATCTACTTCAGGCGACACCTACGTATTCATTAGCACATGACGATAATCGTTCTTTGGTGTTTTATAATTTACTATCTAATGGCGCGGGTTTTGGGATACTTTCTTCGAAGAGAATGCCGCAGGTAGAACCAATTTTTTATGCCAATGAAACCAACATTTAATCGCTTATATTTTTTATATAGGTACCGTCTTTCCCAATTTTTATGAATGTCGGTGAATTACAAGTTGACGTTAAAATTAATGATACACCATTGTGTTTGTCTGCAACAGAAATGAAATGTATAAAAGCCTTTCACGATTTAATATTCAGTAAAGTTGTACGAATTATAAAATCATTTATGGTATTCGATAATTACAATCGTGATAATTGTTTTCTAATTGTCCCAGGTAAGTTTAAAAATTACATACATCGATGAAACGAGACAATCTTGTTTTATAGAAATGAGGGGTGAATAAATCATAATGTTCTAGTTAATGAAAATAACGAAATAAATTGGAAGGTGATACATGAATATCAGCAAATACAGTACATACCACCACCAAATCCTTTTTATTTTGAGTATGATGATTACGAGCTGGCATTAGTTGAGCCAAACTATAGAGCGGCTACAAATGTATATGTAGTCACACAGGTTTGCGAGGACCTTACACCAAGTTCATGCTTCCCAACTGAGAATTTCTACTCGTATGTTCATTACTATAAACAAAAACATGGCCTAACAATAAAAAATTCAAATCAACCAATGTTAGAAGTAAAAACGATATCAAAGAAAATTAATTACATAAAACCTAGGTAATGAACAAATACATCGTTGTTTAGAATTTGAAGGAACTTTCAATTTATAACTAATTTCAATTTCTGTGAACAGACGTATGCAATCCGAATCAAAGAAGCGCAAATGTATAGACACGGATAATGATTTGAAGGAGCATCTAGTTCCAGAATTATGTACTATAATTAAATTTCCAGCTTTATATTGGCTGAAAGCGACAATGTTGCCTTCCATATTACACAGAGTTTCGCAACTTTTAATTGCGGAAGACTTAAGGTGTACTATAGCTAAGGAAGCCAATTTAGGATTAGTATGCAGTGATAATCGTTGGCCTTCGTTAGTAATTAAAGATGAAGAAAGAGAAGAATCGCTTGATTCTATAATGGAAGTTTCTCTTGATGAATGTGTTGAAAATCCGCAACCAGAACCGGTATTAAGCGGTCCAGAAATAGACGGTACACATAATATTTTTTAAATCTAACTTATTTCATCAACGCAACGAACTTACATTGATTTTCTATGCTGTTTTTAAATTTGATTTTTTTACGTAGTTTTGAATACTGACGCGCTTTGTTATCCATGGGAAAAAGATGAAGAACCGCAAAATTTATTCAAAACCATTGAAGATGTTCGAATGATTGATATTGAGCATTATTGTCAATTTATGACTAGCGGGTACAATACAGACGCCATCACAATGGTAATCGTCAGATAATTTACAATTCTTTAACATAAAATATGCAGTCATCAGTGCATAAGTTTCTATCTTTTTTTTTAGAATTACATTTAATTTATAAATATTTGAATGTTACATGAAATATGTTTTTGCAGACAATTAAGCAAGTTAAATTTAAGAATAAGCCGTCGGTTCCATTGCGTAGTTTGAAAATATTATCGACGGATAATTCACGAAGTCCAGACCCTGTACAAATTACGTATGTAGGTATATTTTGCATTTCCTTTACGGCAGTTACAGTATACAAAAACATATTACAGAAACATAATTTATTGTAGGCGCTGACAAGTAAATTAGGAAATGATGCGTTTGACTTGGAACGATTGGAGACATTGGGAGATGCATACTTGAAATTTATTGTATCATTATTTTTGTATACTAATTTTCCAGACTATAACGAAGGTCCACTGACAGCATTGAAGGGAAAGATAATTGGAAATCGTAACCTTTACTACTGTGGAACAAAGAAACTGATCCCAGGACGTATAAAAGTCGATGACTTTATACCCTTAAGCAATTTCATTGCTCCCACGTATGCAATATTTAGACCGCTTCAGGAGCTGTTATTAGCGGCGCAGGTTTGTTAATTTAGTAGTTGAATATAATTACCATAACATTTTTGTAAAAGCATTATAAAATTTTCTTTCTTCGATAAAAGGTATCGCCAAATGTTTTGTATGAAATACACATACCAAAAAACGAACAATTTAATGGCTGTGTGACTGAAGTTACACAAGATACAATTAAAACTAAGATTTTAAACTGGGAACAGGCTGAATTACAAACTGGTCTTGAGCATTTTCTTGGAATACAAACTGTTTCTGATAAAACAGTTGCCGACTGTGTAGAGGCACTGATAGGGGTCTATCTTACAGTAAATACAAAAATATGATATTACTCCTTTTGTGTAAAGTGCTTAAATAATGAATTTTATATCTGTTGCACTGCTTCAACGTCATATTAAACATGAATGAAATTGTATTCCTAATAATTCATTGGTACATTTATGTTTTAACAGAATATGGGTATTAAACATACTGTCACTTTGCTACAGTGGTTCGAAATTTTGCCAAAACAAACTGATGTTAATCAGTTATTATTTAGTGTGTCTGAAAATTCTATTATTGATGCCGAAACTATCAATTATTTCATGCCGTGGGCTTCCGATATAGAAAAGAGACTAAGTTACAAGTTTCAAAATCGAGGGTTTTTGTTACAGGTATTTCGACATTTTATTACAATTTTTGGTACACACACTATTAAGTTGAATCATAAGTTCCGTCTGTTGCGAATAGTGAAAATTTGTTAACTAATAATGACGATGGAAAGTACAGAGTGTGGCTAAACCATGTGGTACAAGTGTACCAAGAAAATGTTGATTGTATGTGTAAAAATAATGTAAAATAAGATTTTTTTGTATGGTGTTTTGTTCTCGAAAAAATTGACTTTGAAATCCAACTGATATGCATGTATTCGAGCTTATAATAAGTAGACGCAGTGAATGAATAATACATAAGCATATTAACCAAATCAATTTTATCGAAAAACGAAACTTCGTACGAACTAACTTTAATTTATATTTCGAATTTGATTTTACACCTAAAATTATTTCTTTCTCGGTTGTTCTACGAATTTTGCCACATCCTGTACATAGCAGATTAGTAGAAGAAAGTAAAAATTACTAGTGATTTGATAGAATGTTTTTGACAAATCAATTTGCATAAACGTCAATGTTACATATTTAATTACGAAGTACAGTTATTTTCACATAGAACAAATGTTTTAGGCTTTCACACATCCCTCGTTCAGTGCAAATACTACAACTGAATGTTATCAAAGACTGGAATTCCTTGGTGATGCTATTCTTGGTAAGAAAATGTTTAGAAGCTTGGATTAAAGTTTTCTCTGGTATTAATTTAAAATAACCATGTGTAAACAAAAGCTTTATTATTTCAGACTTTTTAATTACGTGTTATATTTATGAAAATTGTGGAAATTTAAATCCTGGTGCTTTGACAGACTTAAGATCTGCTCTCGTTAATAATATTACATTTGCATGTTTGGCTGTGCGATATGGTTTACATACTGCGCTTTTAGCTTATGCGCCACAGTTGAATGATGCTATAAATCGTTTTGTTAAATTCCAAGAGGAAAGGGACCATGTTGTAAATGATGAGGTACTTTACATTATAAAAAAATATTGAACGCATTGCATTTTAAATTGTAATCGGTCATGTACAAGGTGTGAGATTGTACGTACAAAAACAAATCGAAGGTAACAAAACACACTCAGTCGTATTTTAATGCAAGTATTTTAATGCAATCGAGTTGGTGTCGTTTCGAATTCCATTTTCTTGAAAAAGAAGTTTTTCGAGACACAATTTCATTCCACCGTTTCAATTTGTTATTGTACATACATAGAATCACCTTTCACGTGTATCAACCATTGCGAGACATATTGTGTACATATATTTTTAAGAACCTGTGTTTTCAGCTTTTATGGATTTTACTAGAAGAAAATGAATGTAATATGGCTGAATATGTAGACGTCCCTAAAGCTCTAGGAGATATATTTGAGACTACGATAGGTGCAATATATTTAGATTGTGGAAAAAGTCTTACCACAGTTTGGGAAATAATTTATTCTCTCATGTATAAGGAAATTGGTAAGCTTTATGAATAAAAAGGAAATACATGAATTATATTTTATTTTAAATATTAACTGTTCTTTAGATGGATTTAGTAAAAATATTCCTAAACAACCGGTTCGTGTAATACACGAAACTCAAGGAGCCCACCCACAATTTTCGTAAGTGTAATTAATTTTTTATTAGAAAAATTTATTAGATGAGAATTGATGTTTTTAACTTTATTTTATAATCATTCACGCTTGCATCAACATGTGCAGCATGGTACTGATATATATATTGTTGTATTTTTGTTTGTAGGCAAGTAGTTCCTATTGAAGGCTCGAATTCTTGCATGGTGTCATTAAAAGTCGTTATTGCTGGGAAGTTGAAACTCTTCCATGGGTTTGGTGGAAATAAAAAGCAAGCCAAAAGCGCTGCTGCGAAGCAAGCTTTAAAATATTTGTTGTACAAAACTTAAGGAAAATGAATTGCATTTTAACGAATACAGTAAATCTTCGATGAGTGTCACAAGGCTCCTCGGTCCTCTATTACGATCCTAAATCTCATTAAAAAGCCAGCGTTACACCTGGATACCCTCAAATTACTGAACAATGTTCTTGGATATATCTTTCTATAAGAATTGTCGATATTACTATTAGAGGTGTACGAATACCCTAGATAAGTGTGTCTCAACCTTTTTGCCAGACGACTAAAATCTTGAAGCCAAATACTTCCATTTAACTAAATATGAAAAAATGTACGACTAACGAATTAAAATAAAACAGGCTGTTTAAGGTAGCAGTTTTCTTTTCACGACTCATAGGTTGAGAAACTGCCCTAGATTACGGATTTGGAATGCGACGAAGCGGCGAGATGTTTATACTCCCATATTAAGGAGCATTTATATTACGACGCGCCGAACCAGGACGAGCTTAGTAGTATTTATACATACTTTCCTTCGAGTCACATAAAATAATATTTTTCTCGGTTTGTCGTTGGCTCGTCCTGTGCTCAACCCGTCCTAGTATAAATGGACCTGCATGCGAGTATCGAGATCTGGCCCATACCACTCTCAAATTTGTCCGTTGCGACTGGAAGCTGGGGTTCCCAAGACATGGAACGATCCGCACATCCCTACTATTCATGAAGTCTAAACATCGTTCCAAAAGTTCATCTCGATTTAAATTTCCGTGAAGTGTCTGTATAGTATCTTCAAATTTGATACATAAAGGTGGCTATGTTGATGTTCTAAACGCTTTCTACCAAAAGAATTTTTAAATGGAAATTACATTGTTTTGGGCGGTATAAACAATCATTTTATGAAGAAAAAATTCTATTATTGAAGCCACTGGTGAATACCCGGCAGCACAACTCGACTTCAACCATTAACTTAAAATTAAGATTTAATGTTTTACAGAACATAACTCTGTACGATGGAAACATTTGATTTCAAATAATTGTATTCTTTATATCTGTAATTCCTTTTCTTATATATACAAAAAAATTGTACGTTGTTTTAACGTTACGAATATTTTTATATGCAATTTGTATAGTTTGACAATAATTCTTATAATATACAATTACAATATTTGTAAGTAAATAATTCTCTACCACGTCATAATTAGTTTTCGTTTTTTCTTTTTTTCAACGATGGTCGGTCAAATATCTGCTTCATTCCCGCTGCTTGATTATTATGAAACTTCAGGTTTTGTGCTGTCTCCGAGATCCAGGGTGAATCAAATTGAGTAGTATCTTGATCAACCAAGTGAGTATATTTTGTTCTACCACTGCGCCCGAAATTCTTTACTTGCATAACTTTTGGCAAAATTGTCTTGTCGAAATGATCTTCCAATGTCGCGCCAGAGAAATCTCGTTTAAATATGTTATCTTCTTTATCCAAATAGAAGGCTCCACGATGATAATATTTCTGTAGGAACTTGTACTTTCCTTTAGCAGCTTTATTCGTAATAAGCTTCGGATTTAATCGGGCTTCTTGCCTTCGTTCCTCCTCTGTCATATTCCGTATACGTTCAATCTCGAGACGTTCCTTTTCAAGCCTGAAAAATAAAATTGTTGAACAAAATTAGTATTTAATTTCTGCTGTAGAAATTTCTAAAGACAGTCATTACAACACTATGAATTATTGAAGAACGTTGCGTTATCTTTAATGATACATACAGTTCCCTTTCTTCCCGATCACGTTTAATTCTTTTCAATTCCCTCAACTTCCAAGCTTCATATTCTACTTCATCGTTTTCATCATCTGTACAAACATCTTCAAGCTTTCCTTCCTGTTCGTTACTATTTTTACCAACTTGCGTTTCCTTCCGTATTGCCTCTTCTACCATCTGTACAGTAAATAAAGTTAAAAAAATATGCAAATATTTGTTTCTTTATTTAAATAACTACATCTACCCTTAAGGTCTGCCGTTTTCGTTCCTCTGCCATCTTCTTGGCCTCGATTTCTGCTTGCTTCTGTTTCATTGCTTCTTTTTCTTTTTCCATTACTGTAATTCTATCCTTTTTACGCACAAAAACTGGCTTCAATCTTGGACCAGTTTCCTCTTCTGAATCAGTATATTCTTCATATTCTGAGCTCTCATCCGAACTGTCGCCGGATCTTTCATCTTCTTCCCCATGAATCAGTTCTTCCTCATTTCCCTTCTTAGACAACACTCGCTGTTTCAATGCTTCGCGTCTCTTTTCGATCTCTGAATCTGATAACTCTTCATCTTCCGACGAATCAGAACTCTCCAACTTGATTCTTTCACGAGTTCTTTCAGGCTCGACTTCGATCAGTTCTGGTTCATAAATGTGTCTGTGCCTCTCTGTACGAATCTCTGTGTTCGATTCTTTGTGTCTCTCCAAACGTGTTAACCGTCTTAAACGTGGGTCATCTTCGTCGCGTATCCTAATTTGCGACTGTACCGGAACATCCATAGAAATGTCATTTTCCTCATAACTTTTGTGTACCCGTCTATCCAAGAAGTCGTCCTCTTCGGATTCTTCATCAGAACTAGCAGCTGGAGCATAATCTGGACGTTTTCCAGAAACATAACGATGTACCTTCACCTTTTTCATGGACAGCTCTCCTGTAATGAAATATCATCTTTGAACATAATTTCAACCACGATATGAATACTTCATATAAAGAGTGAACTATGGGAAACACAGCGCCTAATATCTTTGTTAACCCTCTTATTAGAGACCATCAAAGCTGGTGACTGGGTCAATTGTGATCGTATAGACATTTCGGTGACTGTGGTAACTGATGAGTCGTTGGTGATCCAATCATAGGAATGCAATGATTAAACTTAAACATAGAAGGAAACTTTTCCATCTTCGAATCTAATAAAAATATTAAACTGTTCTGATTCCCATGAGTCACTCTGTATAATTAGGAATATCTTTAAAAAATCAATAATTATCAAACACTATGAATTAATGGTAAATTAAGATGAAAATATGATTTATAGAATAGTGACGTTTCGAATCTAACCTTTGTCATTTTTTACGGGTACAGCACCAGCAGTACTTTGAATTCCCATAGGAGCTGGTGCTAAAGAATTATTTGTAACGAAGTAGTCCATCATCATTTTGATAACTTCGAAAGCTTGGCAAATTATAAAAAGTAATTTATAGTGCACTCGATGCACTTTAACAGCCAGTATCAACAACAGTCTGTAGTTGCTGTTGCTGTAGTTTGCGCAACAGTTCACCGAGTCCACCACTAACACCGTTTTGGAGCAGCACCAGGCAGAGCAGCACAGAGTCAGTGCGTGTTTGCCGAATTCGCTGTAAGTTTGCATACTTTGATCTTAATTTTTAGTTTTATTTGATCGGTAACATATCTTTTTATCCGTGCCATCATAATCTCCGTAAAAAAATCTATAGCTACTTAATTTTTTCATGAAAATGTCATTTTTTGTAACTAAATGAGAAGTGATTAACTTCAGTATCGCACCTACAGTTTAAAAAGACTTGTGTTAAAAAGAAATTGTTGAAACGTTTCTTTTTCAATAATTTTATCGATGACCTTGCGATTTTTTGGCAGCAATCAAAAGGGGAAGCTTTTAAGAATGTTTTGTTAAATTTTTACCAAAATTTATAATTATTAAAAATTTACGGGAGCCACCTTAAGCAAATGCTTAAGGCGATCTTAAGAATAAGAAGCGACTATGAATCCGCCCTATATCTCATCTGTGCTTCAGGAAACTGATAGATGGCGCCATATAACAATTCCTCTGAGACAAATTTTTAGGTCAAAAACAAGGCATAATATTAATTCAGAATTATTTACGGATAATCTCTTACTTAGAGCAACTTTCTGACTTTAATTTGTTCCGGTTTTTTATGTTTTTGAATATGCTTATTTATACTATTGAATACCAGAGCATAAGATAGAACATGCACTTCAGTTTGTAACTCTCAACTTGAGGGTCTCAAATTACAAAGTGAGATAGCCAACTATTTTGACCGCCAGTATTGATGATTTGCGTGAGAAGCTTAAGAAGCTTTTCCCGCTTTTCCTTTCATCGCCTTTCATAACATTATCTTCCAATGGAAGAATTTATTTGACAAGAATCTATAAGAAAGTGGAAGCATCAGTTTCACTGACCTTATCAGAAAAGTTTGATCGAAAGATGACAGCGACCTATAATTTATGTTTGTTAAATCAATGTAGTAATGTTCTATGTTATTCGTAGCAGAAGCATTGGTCGATTGGAAACCTTCGCATGCGCTTGACTGAAAGTATTCAGTGGAACAAAATTCATTTCACCTTGTAAAAAGATTTAAAAGGAACGTGAATTGTTTAGGAATGGCAGATATTAAACAGGATCACAAAAGCGAGGACACCGACAACTATGGAATGGGTAATAGTGCCGATCCAAAGAATATGCAAGAGCTGACACAGTATGTAAGTTGAACAACATACCTTATTGTTGTGATATCTTCTGTCGGTGATACGATGTTTGATATCTATTGTTCACATTTGTTTTTATTTTATTTTTAGGTGCAAACTCTATTACAAAACATGCAGGACAAGTTTCAAACAATGTCGGATCAAATTCTTGGAAGAAATATCCTTTTCGATTAAAATAATTACGTTGCCTTAAATAACCTCAAAGATTTAATCAACTATTCATTAACATTAACATTTATGCAATTAAATTCCAATTGTATCGCGTTTACCGAAATTGAGCTTATTTAAGGATATTAGATGTTGATTTTTATTATTTTTATGAATAATCTATACATGATTATGCCCTTAACGAAAAAACAATAGATGAAATGGGAAACAGAATAGATGATCTTGAAAAGAATATTGCAGATTTAATGACACAGGCTGGTGTAGAAGGAGGTGACAAATAACTACCTCTAGTAAAAGAATACCTTTGATATTTAATAAAAATACATCTGCGTAAGCATCAAGAAGTATCATTGCACGAGAATAACATTTGTATGACATTGAAATGCATTTTTGATTATAAAAAAATAAACCAACACATTTTTTAATAACGTGACCAATGTAATTCGTTTTTTACTTTGTTTTTTTCATATGTAAATATTGTGACATACATTTTACTGCTAATTGGTGAATAAACATATCAGTCATAATTCTTAGTCATAGATTTTGTTAATGACTTCTGATATGCGGGAATGGGTGGAACTGCCTTAAATAAAAACCGGGTCAAGGTTTTGTGTTCGGAGACTGCTTGAACCTTCATCTAAAATTGCATAAAACATTAAGAGGAAGTAGATTATCCATAACTACATAGACTTGTGCCTGGTTCTCACAGGTTTTCCTTTAATAGATTCAGATTCTGTTTCTTCTGAGCTCTCTCCGTATTCTTCAATTTGTACAGATTCGGAAGAATTCGTTTTTAAGCTCGACTTTGCCGAATCCTGTAAAAGAGTGTACGTCCGTTTAATTATTAGCCATTAATCGAAAATAGTTATTAACTTACGATAGAATCGGTGGTATGATTAATTAATTTCTGTGGAATCAAGGGGGAAGATGTAAAACGGCTGGCTAGATTAGTGAGAGAATATGCTTGTCTGAATGACGTTCGCCCGACGGTAGGCAATCTGGCAACGGAATCAGGTACCCGCATCACTTCACGAAATTCCTAATTAAATAAATGACTTAATAAAAATATTGTGTACATACAATAATTTTAATAAAGTTTGTACACTAAACTCAAATCTATAAAATAATTGTAATTAGTTACACAAGAGTTTACCCCATTCATGTTTCCTCTTATCACTTGAAAGTCCTGCAGAAATATTAGAATAATCCTGGCATTAAATTATTTATACCACCATATATTAACGTACCGAGCGATGTGATATATTTGAATAAACTTTGTAAGTAGTGCGCATCTCACCTCTAAATCTTTTGTCTCGTCGATTTCGGCAATATCTTGATAAGCTTTCGTCAGCAATTCGAGAGATTTCGCGTGAAAACTTATTTGGATAACTACAAAGTCTAACAGTATAGTTTTTAGGTCGTGTAGCTTTCGCTTTTCAAACGAATCGATCTGTTCTTCTAAACCTTTTACGACCCTTGAAACTTCGATGGAAGCTTTCATTAGTTCAGATTCGGCTTGCGACTGTATCAATATTTAAGGATCTATGATAGTTAAAACGAATATTTGAATACAATTCTATTTATTTTTATAATTAAGGATACGATCATTTGTCTGTTTCTAGGGTTTCGTTCTCTAAGTCTGTCCAGGTGTCTTTTTCTTGTCAACTCTTTATCGCGAGCTGTGAATGTATTTTTAACATCGTCGCGTGCATGTTTGCAGATGGTCGCGTATTGAGAAAGGGGTGCAATTATTTTCGCGTCGAATCGCTGCACCTCTGCATCCCTAATCATGACAAACAGCGGTTAGGAATGATATTTCATATATTTATACTTTTTTTTAGTGAATCGAATGTTCAATGCATGCCTATAATCGCCTATTACTGATAAAGTTGCGGAGAGATTCGACAATCCTGCCGTTAGCGATCGATTTACAGTTTCCGATTGTGAATAAGTTTGTACTACTTTTGCGATTTCGTCTCCTTTGTCGCGTAATCTGTAAATAATGCGATAGATTAAATAAATTCTTCATATTGTGTAACACTATCAAGAAACTAAATGAAATTATCTATATAAAAGACGCATGTGTTTTTACGGTAGTTATTTACAAACCTTGCGGCTTTCCTTGTGTACGCTGCAAACGCTGTGCATAATTCGGCAAAATGTTTTTCCACGTTTGATATACGATCTTGCACAAATTTCGCTTCGTGTTCCCTGAGAAACAAAAGCAATTAGTACGACGTGGTAAGTATGTTCATTCAAATATTGCGCGAATTCGAATGATTTTTCGAAATATTTACCAGATGTTAGTTTGAGATTTCGAGCGAAGCATTTTGCCAACCGCAATTTTGCAATTCTTCTTTTACGTTTAAAACGATCGTTGTATAAAACTACTAGACTTCTAACGTTCAGTTACTGTGAACTGCCTACTGACAGTTTACTGTTGGCAGGTGGTGCATTGTGACCGCAGGTGAGGTCGATTTTAATATATACCCTCTTCGCTCTAACTACCATTTACACAATTTCTTACCAGTGTCACCGACGAGTTACATACACTGAAAATATGTATACATAAGTATGCGAAAAAAAAGACCGAAAAGTGTGCTAAAAAAATAGATTGGATGAAATGTTTACTTCTATACCTCGTCGGTGCCAGTGTCAACAAAATTCAAGGGAAAAAATTAAATTTGATGACAGCGAATATAATTTATATTATAGCGGATTTTTTGTTCGATTATATTTCATTCATATATATGTATGTACATATGCAAGAATTCTATATGAATGAATGTAGCGCAAATACACAATTACAGAAATGCAATATACGAATTAATCAAGATTTTTTAATTAGAGCGAATGAATGACCTGCACCGCTTCCAACGCGTACCGCCGTGAATGTGGAAGAATATGGTAGCTTTTTCGGAAATTTGATATCCCTTGTATCACCGTTTCCACAGTTTCCATGCTCGTTCCACCCCCAACAGAAAATGCTCCCATCTTCTGTAGCATTACGAAATTTACCACAGGTTACAATTGTTTTCGACACTTTTATATTTTCAATACAACTGTTCATACCAGTTAAAACAACGTTATGTTCCGAGCCAACTGCAATGTGATTAACTTTCGCGAGACCTTCGATTTGCATCATTTTCCAAGATAATGGTTCCTTGAACTCTGCCATCCCCAACTGTCCGTATGTGTTTCGTCCCCATGAAAAAATTTGACCATCTGAAAAGAAGGATAATTTCCATCAACTTATTCAGGTAAACAATCGTTATTCAGGTAATAACTACCAAATTGAATTACCGTTCAACGCGATCACATGCGACCAGCCGCTGTACGTTTTTACCAATGTATTGAACCGAACATCTGGTAATTCGATTGGAAATGATGTTTTCAAAAAGCTCTCGGTATTCAAGCCCAATTGACCGTGTCTATTGTCACCGAATGCATAAAGATTCCCGTTCTCAGTTATTGCAACCGTATGGTGTTGACCGCAAGTAACGTCTTGTATATTTCGTAGCGTTGGAACTGTGTATAAAGCGCCGTAAAACCATTTCATTATTTCTGTGAATATACTCAGGTCTAATTAAGAAACAGGTTTGGTTTTTGCAAAAATTTCTACCTTCCGTGAAGGTGTACGCTGCATTGAAAAGTTCCTCCTCTTTAGAGGGGCTTAAACCTAATTGTCCTTTGTTACCTGATCCCGCCACTAAAACTTTATGGTCCTCTGTTACTAGAGCAATGTGCCTTAAACCTATGGCAACCCGTTTTATTTTTCGGTCAAGCGCAACCTCAAGGGGCTCGTATGTCCATCGAAGGGTGCCTGGGTTTTTCCCCAATTGTCCGAAACAGTTCGATCCCCATAGAAGCAACGTACCTTCTATTGTTAATGCAGCGGAACAATCCCAGCCGCATGCTACCTCCACAACAACTTTGTCTTTTAGTTTACCCCCTATTTCCCGGAACGTACAGGACTCCTTATCCACGGAAAAACCTGTTTGTCCTTTATTGTTCCAGCCGCAGGAATACACGCGGCCATCATCATCTAAAATTAATGTGTGTCCAGCACCACCAACTATTTTATTTATCTTTCGCGGTTCCAATGAGCAGTCTGATAAATCAACTTCGCCGGCTACTTGGCATTCTTCTGCTCGAAAGCCTTGCCCAAGTTGCCCATGAGAATTGGCACCCTAGAAAACAGACATTATTCTGTCTATAAATGTACCTATGTTACACGACAGATTTCGTTCAAAGATAGAAATATTCCCGCCGAACATGTTACTTCCGTTTACATTCTTCTTTACCGATTAAGACGAGTAGCATTTAGTCTTGCATGTTTACAATCTAATTACACTTCTTAATTCGTGACAAATTTATTGCAATTGCCGCGCTTATGTGTCGTGACTGTGGTCATTGCTGGTCATGCCTAAAGTCCTAAAGTAACCGCATGTGTATAATATATGATATGTAATGAAGAATCAATTGACTACATTACCCATGAAATTAAACAGTAGCTCATTGTTGATTGCAGTTGATTGTTCCTCTTTAAAGTATATTATCCTGAGTTCTTGTTTATATATTGCAAAGTGAAATACATGTCAAATATACGTCTACTAAAATGTAGTACTTGACACTACAGTAAAGGTTCCAAAATGAAATTACAAAGCTATATTTTTGATAATGTATTGTAGATGGCGGCAAAACATGTTTGTGTACTATGGCCCCTGTATTCGGTGTGCATTTAAACTGCAAGAAAATTTATTTCTTTGCTGAAATGCTTGGGATTGTAGTGTAACCAATTTCTTAGATTTACACAAACTGAATCAAACGTCGATGAAATTTATCTATGCAGCATGGAAGAATCTATGAAATTCGATATAAAAGAGGTTAAGATCGACCTTTTGCGCGCGATAAATGAATGTTCTCAGCGGGGATTATTACATACTGCGAAATGGTACGTAATGTTTTATAATAGGAAATAAAAAAATATTTCCAGTTTGTGGTAGGTATGTTAAAATATATGTTTTCCATGCAGGTTAGCGGAACTTAGTTATTCTTTGAAAGACATTAAACTAAACCTCCATGATATTACCACTGATCTGTATTTATCGGATGTAAGCGATGAAGAGGATACGTACATTCTGGCAAAATGTTACTTTGATTCGAAGGAATACGATAGAGCTGCTTATTTCACAGAAGATTGCAAAACTCCGAAGGTTAGGTTTCTACACTTATACTCTCGGTATTTGTCAGGGGAGACTAAGAAGATACACGATACAACAGTAGTACCTCCAGACCCTGTAAAAAATGATACACTAAAATTATTGTGTTCGGATTTAAGAAGGGATCATATAGCAGATAAGCTGGATGGCTTTGGCTTATACCTTTTTGGCGTGACTCTAAAAAAATTACAACTTACTCGAGAAGCTATGGATGTGTTCGTCGAAGCAACACATAAGCAACCTATGCACTGGGGATCCTGGCTAGAATTAGCTTCTTTAATAACAGATAGAGAAAAACTTGAAAATCTGTGTGTACCTAATCATTGGATGAAGCATTTTTTTATGGCTCACATGTATTTAGAACTACAATTAATTGACGAAGGCTTAGCTTTATATTGTGAATTGCAGTCAATGGGATTTGAGAAAAATGGTTATGTGCGTGCTCAAACTGCAATTGCAGTTCATTATAGAAGAGGCAAGATTTTTTTCAGGATTGTAAATATTCATTTAACTTTATATATACATACATATACTGAAGAATTGCATTTTATTTCAGATGTTGATAATGCTATAGAGACATTTAAGAGAATAATTAAGGAAGATCCTTATTGTTTAGACAATATGGATACATACTCGAATCTATTGTATGTAAAGGAAATGAGAGTTGAGCTGGCAAACTTGGCTCATAGAGCAACAGAGATAGACAAATATAGATTAGAAACATGTTGCATAGTAGGTAAGCCTGTTGCTTTGCTAAGCATAATAATTAAAAGCTTGTTTTTTTACTATCTGGTAGAATAAATATTCTCTAGGAAATTACTACAGTTTAAGAGGAGATCATCAAAAGGCAGTCATGTATTTCCACAGGGCATTGAAAATGAATCCTCAGTATCTGTCTGCCTGGACATTACTTGGTCATGAATTTATGGAGATGAAGAACACCAATGGTGCTATTCATAGTTATCGACAAGCTATTGGTATATATTGTAATTTAATTCACGTAGATATAAAATTAAACACGCGAATGCATTTATCTAATAGGATTTTGTTTTTACATAGAGGTAAATAGGCGGGATTATAGGGCATGGTATGGTTTGGGTCAAACATATGAAATTTTGAAAATGCCATTTTATGCAATCTACTATTACAAACAAGCTCAACTGCTGAGACCTCATGACAGTAGAATGGTATTAGCTTTAGGTGAAGCATACGAGAAACAAGATAAAATACAGGATGCTCTTAAATGCTACTACAAAGCGTGCAGTGTTGGTGACATTGAAGGAATGGCGTTATTAAAATTAGCCACGTACGTGTAGAGGTTCAAGACTGTTACAGACATTATCTGTGTTTAGAAATACGTTTTTACTTGTTTTCTTACAGGTTGTACGAAAAATTGAGCGAACACGATAGCGCGGCAGCTGCTTATACTGATTTTGTAATGGATGAAACTAGAAATGCGGATAGAACCGATTTAAGTCACGCATACAAGTATTTAACCCAGTACCATTTAAAACGTGAACAGTTGGATCAAGCCAATCACTACGCTCAGAAATGTTTACAATTTGATGAAACGAAAGAAGAAGCTAAAGCACTGCTGAGAACGATTGCTCAAAAGAGAGTAAAAGTTGAAGAAACTTCGATGGTGGTAATTAAAAGAATACTTTCAGTAGTCAAGAAGAAGAACGTATTAGGAAATTATAATATTACGTTTATTCATTAGGTGGAAGATATGAACGAAACGGATCCTGTTATCGAACAAGGAGAACGAACGGATACAACTCCAGGAAATCAGTTATCACCAATGAATTTGTCATTTATGCCTACACCATAAACTATGGTGAAGAAGATACACGTCAGTTGTTAAAGTTGACGCTTTACAGGTTGTATATATTTCTAATACACACCAATTTTACATAGATACAGAAAAAAAATATTAAAAAATCACATTATTTTATCGATCCTTTCGCGTCAGTTATTTATTGCACATTGGTTTATAGTTTCATATGTACACGCACACACATATTTATATGTAAGTATATATTATTTCGCAATACTCTGGTCACCGGTAATAGTTATTTCTTAAAATATTACTTAATATTTTCGAAGAATTCACATTTGAAGGAAGGTCCATAAATTCGGGATAGTCATAATAGAGATGTCTCATAGGCGATGGAGCTGGTGGTACTATTGCTCCTGTTATTACGGACGATGGATAACAATTATTTATCAAAGGTGCCGTCACTGTGCACTGTTTCCAATTGATACGGGCGTAGGACGTTATTGGTGGATTCTGTGGTATTTCGGGAAAACCTGGCGGTGCGCGGTTGCACATTCGAGAAGCAATCATCGTATCGTACGTATTCGTGTGCAATCGTCCCATTCCGATATCTGTCTCAGGAGTTATGAACACGCGTTCATCGAAGCCAAGATCTGTGGATATGGATGAGGTACTGCCCGATGAAATCTGTTTATGTGCGATCCTCGTAAACCCGTCGTGCGAATCCTCATTGTCCGCTGTGTAATTTAATTCACGCTCCATTTCTTTGCCCTTAAAAGAGAAAAAACAATACGGTTAGAGACATATATTTATCGAAAATGTAAGTTAAAACGCTAGTAAACTAGTGCGGTGGTAATCGTAATCGAATAAAATTCAACATACCCGATAAAGAAGAGGAAGCGATCTGTAGGCTGCATACTTGCAGCAAAATTGTTTTTCCGTAGAGTTCATATCGATCGGAATCATTTCGACGTCATCGTCCGAAAAGGCGCTATCCGTTTGCGTTGCCGTTTCCTTGTACTTGACGTCCCTCCGTTTAGATTCTTTGACTTTAACCGGAGTCCTCGATGATCGGGTTCTGGATTTGCTTGGAGTATCCTGTCGCGAAGAACGTTTTTCGATGCGTGATTTCGTTTCAGTTTTGCGATCGCTTTGCTTCTCATTTGTATCTTCGTCTTGCGACAATTTTCTTCGTTTCTGGTGAACGACAGCGTCCGAGGGAGTTTTCTTCTTCCGTTCTCGTTCGATTTCTTGCGGCAGCCTCTTCGATCGGGTCACGGCACTGGTGTAGCTGTTGTGTTTCTCGTGATAAAGGGAATCACTTTCCTTCGTTTTGTCACGTTTCCTAAACAAAGACTGACTGTAGGAAGATGGATTTTCGTCGTCGGACGAAGTGCACTGCTTCTGAAATATTCTTGCGATCTCTTCGTCCACCGATGAATTGGTTTCTTGCTTGTCGACGTGTGACCTCGAAGATGCACTTTCAGTTGTATCAAGTACATTACCAAGCGCGCGATTGTCCCGCGAAGTTTTCGTCCCGATATGCGATTTCTCGTATATGTGTTCCTCCATCGATATATCCATCGGTTCTTCTAAGGCGGCAAACGACATGGATCTGTCGATGTTATCGTTATCCATGGACATGTTCATGATCATCGTAGTTCTCGCGGTGCTCCATTGATCCGTGGAGGAATCTGAATCTTCCGCAGCGGTGACCAGCTCGTCCGTGGATTCCTCGTTATCCCTTTTACTGTCTTTTTTCGAATCCTTCTCACGAGGCGACGTGTTTTTGGTTTCCGAATGAGAATTAGACTTGGAAATTTTTCGAGATTCTTCGGATGATTTATCGTTCGAACTTTTTTTATCTTTCGTGCGTCTCGTTTCCTGGTCCTTCAGTTTCTCTTCTTTTTTATCCTTTACCTCTTTCTTGTAACTCGATCTCGGTTCCTCTGCCCCTTTGTTTTTCTCAGACTCCTTGGACTCCGAGCTTGTGCCAAATATACAGAAGCGCAGAAGATGCAGCGGGAACATGATGTATTTGATGCCGTTACCGATGATACCACCGCTCGTCGGATGAAGAACCTCGGTCGATGTCACTGTCGCGATCTGTTTCTCCAATCTCGTATCGCTTTTCGGTGATTCCCGTGACAATGGGTTGTAGCGGTTGCCTCTGGTCACGGTTTTCACGGATCCTCGTTCACCCGGTACTGGAATGTCCTGTTGAATTTACAATAATACAATAAACGATTTAGTATAATTCCTTTTGTCTTTTCGGGATGTTCGAACGATGTTGCGGCGGTGATTGTTACACAAGAAATAGATACACGGAAATATGCGAACAGGATTGAAACTACTCGAAATGTTATGCACTCGGGTGTTCGAACGGAACACTAGAAGAAATTGATCATTAAAATGTACATGCATATATGTGCATATATTACAAATCTGTCGCCTGATGAAACACAATTCGCATGTTTCGCTTGAACTTTTTACGAGATAATCTTGTGAAAAACGAGCAGCTCTTCGAGAATCAAAGGCATTTATCGTTACGTAAATATTTTAAAATTCAGATAATTTAGTATATAATCAGAGTGGATTTATCTAACGGGTGACGTCAGTCTGCAACAGATGCATCTACTGACCGTTGCAACGATAAATATTTCAATTAACTGGCTTTTACTTTCATTGATTTATTCAGCGAAGATTATGCAATCGAGTGCAATCACCGATTTATTGTGAAACAATCAACTCTAGCTTTGGATCGACTGTCTTTCGAATTTATTCGGTTGCCCGCATTATCTGTTTATGCTTCTTTCGTTTGACGAGAGTACTTACCTTATCAACTTCGTGACACTGACGTCTGCTTCTTCGGCTCGTGCTTTTATTTTCTTTCGGCATGATTGCTGACACTTTACTCTTGTTATCACCGCGACACCACCGACAGAATAACGATCGATTTGAATTCCCGTTCTCGACACTTGTGCACGGTACACCTTAGAAATCGCAAATGAAGTGGAAAATTTACGCGGTGTTATTTGTAAGGAGCTCGGTAGTCGGTATCCTGTTCTCTGATTGGTCGGCCAATGCCGAAGGGAGGAAAAGAAAGGTAGTATCGAAGCTCAAAGGATCTAGGGGTGATTATCCCTTCTGACGAGACTTGACCGTAACGTTTTGTACTCCTTCGCTTTCAGGTCAATTCACTCCCCTCGATACCTTGTTCGTTTATTATTAGACACATTGATTAGTCCGAGGCCGATCCGTCTTTTAAAACCATGATTCAGTTATTTAGTTAAATTTCGCAGATTTCTTCTGTAATATTTTTCCACCCGCAACGAATATTACGTTATGTCCGTCTACTGGTCATTTGACTTATCGGAATAAATTGATAACTACATTTTTTACAAATAGCGATACCTTTATATAGTTAACGTCAGCATACGGATAAAAGATATTTTATTTGACATTACATTTATTGATGGGAATGCATATCGTCATTGTAATGGTAAAGTTGCGAACCCTGAGGTTTTTATGAATCTGAGTTAAATGCATGATTTTATTTGCTTCACACTGTTTAATTAACTTTAGATTCTCACTATGTACTTAAAAAGGCAAAAAATAGATAGTTCACATAGTTGGTGAATAAAATCATTTTATAAGTCAGTTTACATTAGTTGAAAAAGTGGCCGGTTTTCTTCTCTTCGATCATGTACCTATGTATGTAGGTATAACCAGAGTATATGAAAAATATATTCGTCTACATAAATTTTAATTGACATGCAATACAAATAATCTTTGCGAATGATATGTTCATGTAAAATCGGTAAATATACCTAAAACAAGGGAAAACTATGCACACGACCTCCTCAGGCCCACCCTTTATTGCTTGTCTAAGCCTTTCCAGCCCCCTCGGAAGGTTTACTCGCAATCAAGGATTGAGAATAATTGTCTGAACAGCTTGTTTTGAACAGTCCTAGTTAAACCTTTCTTCGAACGATTTCATTCTTTTCAATGGAATTATTCGTCGTGGCATGTTACTCGTATTTTTCTACGGTAATGGAATTACCACGGAAGCTCCGGATTTTTCGGAATCGATTCCACTAAACGTCACCTGCGAGACCGTTTCAATCCCCATTTTGGTCCTACCTGGTTTATTTGTTTCAGCATAGCAAATACCTGGATTCGTTAGGCTTTTAAAGCATTATAAAATACATGGAACTGCCTTCCTTATGCGATATTATTTGTAGACAAAAGTAAGATTTTTTCCCGTCTAGTCTGGTGTAGCTGCGTTGAGTACTCAAAGGTGGAACCTTAACGATTACGGAACATTGTTACGGGATACGAACTCACGCAAGCACGTAGAGACACGCGAGAATGCACGCACGCATGCATGCACGCGGGAACTGATGGTCGGGTCGTATTATACGACTCGTATACATCTGTTTAGTTGAATATACAAACGGTACCACGCAGAGGACACGTTTCCTATTTTAATATACTCTTGACATATTGATCAATATTGATATACTGCTTCTGATTCCTTAAAAGTTTCATTTTATTGCTATGATCTTGTGCGAATGATAAATATATTATCCGCGTCGATGAATATCGTTTTCTTTACACCTTAGTCATTTGATTTAACAAAGATGGAAACTTGAAAACATTTAGGATGCAATCAAACATTTTTCTATTCTCGTACAAAAGCTGATTTTTCGAAAAAGAAATAATTCCTTCTTATTTTATTATTATTCTCGATTACATTAGTTCAAAGGCAAGATGGTAATATTAAATATGGTGTAGAGCACGTCGATAAGCGTTTCTAAGGCTCGCGCGCAATTCAACGAGTGGAGAGTGGCGGCCATATTGACTATCTATACCCAACCCAGCACCAAGGATGTTATGCGTGCCTGGCACGACTGCTGTTAGACGTTACACCGCGATCGCTGTCATCGTCATCGTTGTCGTTGCCCGTTGTCGTTGTCACCGTGTTGTCGTTGTTGAATATTAAACGCTGTCGACACGCGAAAGTGGCCAAGCTAGTTTACTCGTAACGCGGTCATAAGGTTGCGATAAAGGTGATACTTTCTGTTTGCGAGATGTCAAGTCAGATATGCCTAAAATGGAACAGTTTTTTGAACAACATCGCGACCAGCTTCGAAAGCCTTTGGGAAGAGGAAGGTCTGGTCGATGTTACATTGGCAAGTGATGGACAGTGTCTTACGGCTCACAAAGTGATCCTCTCGGCTAGCAGCCCATTCTTCAAAAAAGTTTTCCAGGTCAGTTATTTTTTTGTATTTATTTTTCGATACGCGTTCGCGGTTCCGTTGATGTTTGACAGCTGCTCCGTTTGTTGAAATTCTTCGTTAGATTACTCAATCGGTATGAAGTGACAAAAAGAAGAGAATTTTAACGAATGTAAATCTTGAGGTTAGTTTGTTTAAAGCGGGAATTTTGATATTTTGTACGTGCCTTCGAATAATTACCGTCCGATATTCGTCAGTCGTTGTTTTATTGTTGATCTTTTCCAGTAATCTTAACATTACTCTTTCTTCACTTTTGGTTGCAGACAAACCCATGCCAGCATCCAGTTATAATATTGCAAGATGTACACTTCAGTGAACTAGAAGCCTTACTTATATTTATATATAAAGGAGAAGTGAACATAGAACAAAAAAACTTGCCTGCTTTGTTGAAAGCTGCAGAGACTCTACAGATTCGTGGACTCTCTGGTGGAGATATATTTGCAAAAGAATCGTACAAGAGATTAGCAGAATTAGAGCAGGCTGTGGAAGAGGAGGCAGCAACTGCAAAAGATGAAACGCCAAAAAAAAAACAGAAACTTAAGCATCAAAATAATTCTATTCTCGAAACTGTGTTGGCACCTAAAATATCACAATTAGAAAGTGCCGATGAATCGACAACCAGTGATCAGAGTGGAAAAGATGGGGATTACCCGCTCCAGAAAAATGTAGAGAATCCAGTTTATCATCGTTTGGAAATGAAGGTATATAACTTAGGTTGTCTTGCATGTTGATTCAGATATGGAACATGCAAATTGAATCAATCGCATTTCAGATAGAACCATTGGAAACAGTGGTAGATGATCTTCAGAAACAATCTGCAGTGGATAAAGATCCTGTAGAAAGATTGGACACTGGACAAGTCGATGGAAGCCAAGGTGAGTAGATGAAACATTATATTAACACTGTAGAACCAACTGTAAAATATGGTTAAACATGGGTGTGTTATTTTTGGAATGTGTTACAATTCCATTTCCTGCAGTTTGTATATATTTTATGCTCCACATGTATATGCATTTTGTTTCGTTTCATCATATATTTATAAATCTTATAGTGCAAAGAAACAAAAATTGGTGCAAGCACTTTAAACATCTATGTGTAATGCTCTTATATCTGAAGGGTTAATTCGTTTTCGATCAACATGTCGTGGGAATTTATTGAAGGTGTACCATTCTATGTAAGTGCTATTACTTGCTTGGAAAAATCTCTATACGATTCTTCGATTTCGTTCGAGAAACGTATATCAAGATCTTCGGCGCGGATGTATACGCGTTTGAAATTGATAATACCTGTGAAATTACGGGGATGTATTTCTGATTCGAATCTAAAGTCATCGAGGCACCGTGTACTCTCGATTATTGTGTATCGTTTTGTTTTTGGTCGCTTGTCAAATCGTTCAGTTAGCTTTGATCGTTACTTCTGCTTTATTAGATTGGTGTGGCACGTATTTCTTTCGTTTTTTTTTTGTTTTCGTTGTTACGTCAAGCGAATCGCTAGAGAAGAGGGAAGCGCTTGCAGACAGCCGGCTATAAAAACGGTAAACACGATCGGAAGTTCTAGACGGCAAGACGAGGGCAATGTTAATTTATCGGGCTGCACAAGCACCTAAATCAGAGAGAAAAGTAATTGGATCGTTCCGTTTGTCGCTTGACGCGAGAAGTTCCGATGTTCTGGTACTCGGGAGCGTGGTCTAGACACGCGGTGGTGCGTCTAGACGGAAAGGTACACGCGTATGCGTGACAGAGGAGACAAATGGAATGATACGGACGCGATCGATCGATGAAATGTTTAACGCGGTATTAAACGAATCTCGTGGAGCCTTTGCTTTTACTGCTCGGTGCGATTCGCTGCGACCCACTCATGCGTCAGGGGGATCCGTGTTTAAAGCAGGCTGTGCTCTGATGTGTTGTGGCAGGGTCTGGGAACAGCCCTGCTGAAGACATTTCCGGTTTATCTGGGTTATCCGGCCTAACTGGATTCTCGGACGTGAAGCCGCTGCTTTATGCGTATCAGCAGCTACCTTACGCCGATCTTCTACCGAGTCCGGAGATTATCTCAACCTGGGCATCCTCTCGACCGATGGATCATTTGGCCTGTGACCTTATGAAGATCCTCTTCACCCCGGAGGAGAGGATCCTCTGTAACGTAAACGGCAAGATGGGCAAACAGCAATTCGATAGTAACAAAATACATTTGATAAGAGAAGTTCTGTTGCACTTTAGTGGTATTGCACCTAACAGCGTCGAATGGGAAGAGACGTGGAAGAATTGCGTAACGAAAATCGACACTAGTAATAGGGGCTTGAAAAGGTATCTGTTCCAGAGACGGTCGGTTTACACTCAATGACTAGGGCGTTTCAGGTCAGGAGCAAAACGGAAACGTTTTCACTGGCTAGAATGAACCTTTTATTTTCCTCGCTGGATCCGTGCGTCGTATTTCCGATCGCATTGAATCATTTAGGATCGTCTTGGATCAGCCTCGATGTTTCCACATCCTTTCTTCTTTCGTGGATTTTCAATTATTGGACGGGGATCGTCGTGTGAATGGTAACAGTATACGATACGGGAGATACAAGGACTATTTACGCGATCGGAAGGTACACTGATACACGCGTAATAGGGTTACGGAAAAGAGTAGACTAAACGATTAGGAGGAGAAAACGATATTATGTATGGTCCAAGAGGCAGTAGGGAACGGAAAGCATTCCAGGCAGGGTCCAGTTAAGCTACACGGTTTCACGTTTTCCTTTAGGAGGCAAACAATCGAGTAATATTAAATTATCTATTCGAAATGAATTTCGTATCACTGTCTTTCAGTTCACAAACGTTATTTTTCTATCTTAGCAAGGGTAGCCGATGTCCTTCGGTGTCCTCGTTCTTTCTACATTTCCTTTTTCCTCGTAGCTCCGACAACGTAACATTCCTACCTTTTGCTTATTTGCAATGTCCACGCAAATATGCACGCTCGTCATAGACGATCTACATAATACATACTAATATTAAGCGCGCTGTGTCATAGGGACACGCGACAAGACCATCCTACAGTCGAAGGCACGGCATCTACGATCACTTGCATTATTGTACAAGCGCATAGTTATACACCTAGGTATACGTTTCTCGGTGTACTATTTACCGGTCAGATATGGTCGTAATTGAATTCGAATTATTATCTAGATAGAATATCCGTTGATATAACGGCTAACTTTGTTGGTAACGCGTGTGATTAAAAAAGAAACGCGAGTGAAGGTGCACGTAATTATCCGTTTCGCGCGGGAAGACGAATACGCGTCTTTAAATGCGATTTCATCTACGTTTCACGGAAACCAAGAAGCTCTTACGATGTAGTCGTATAAGATATGCTTGTAGAGTATTTAAAGCATAGTACGAGTGTCACGACAAAAGTTTTCACGAACGGTTCGCATCTATCGACGGCACCACGATATTTTCGTCCGGGTTTGGTGCGAGTAAATCGAACGGGCCCGTTCTCTTTCTCCCGCGTTTATTTGTCCACCTTTTTCATTTCGTTGTCAGGTCTTGCGAAGATACGATACGCTTTGAATTGACTATTCTTTAAAAGTATACGATTGTAGACGAAATACACATGACTGGTTGCAAATAAACCTATTTTACATTTTTAATTGTCTCGTCATTTCCCGGCGTTTCGCTGTCCCCATCGTGTACCGGAAAAGTGCACGGGGTTCGCAACGAATTTTCGTCTTCCCTTTGCCATCCAGTTATCATAAGGATAATATCGTCATTCTACGAATCCGTTGCATCTTCGATGAGATGTCTATCCAATTCCCGAAGAAAGAAGATCCTAGATGAAACACACACACACACATTCCCTGTCCGTCTTCCTCTTGCATTATGGCGACGAATAGCGAAAAACGAGTTGAAGTTGAAGTCCTGGACTGGAATTAATTGCAGGATCTTCGAAGCCGAACGTAACCGTAATCGCCGAGGCACGAGAGGTTGCCACACCTTCGCCCGAGCCACAGACGCGAGCTATGTATCCGATCGGGCTCGATGGAACTCCACATTGGACTGCTTCGAAAACCATCGAGGACTTCCATTCGCCGAATCATTCGTATTCAGAGTCGATGTCCGATCATCAGGAATCGAGGAACCTTCTCGTGGAACGGGACGGTAGCGTTCTTCGTGCTGGTTTCCCAGGTTGCACCGGAGGTACCGCTGGCAATTCCGAGTTTTCGGAAGAGACTGTGAAGGGTGCCGCGGCGTATCCGCCGTTTCCGTGTCCCTTCTGCGACAGGGCGTACACCAGTTGGGGCTTCCGACGAAGACACATCAAAGCGGTCCACACAATCTCGCCTTCCCTGAACTGCAAATGGTGTTTGCAGGTACGAGGGTAACAGGTGTAAGATACCTGTCTTGCAACCCGAGTTCACCCTTTTGCAAACCATATTCAACCTTTTGCAATTTCCGAAATACAATGTAATGAAAAAACGTTTAAAAAAAACGCAGTTAAAATTAAAATTTCGAACCACAGGTTATCAAAATTATCCACCCACAATCAGCGATCTATATAATTGTCTTTATGATAATTTCAGTAGGTTATTTATTTTCATTTATGAAAGGAACGTTTAATGTGAGTTTATAGCTGCTTGTTTATTAACACCCAAATATATATTGTTTATTTTCATTAATAAAGAGAACGAGTTCGATGGCTCGTTTCACATCCGCTCTATGCAACGTCCACTGGAATTATCACAAAGACAATTAGAGTGTTGATTGCTAGGGCGCATAATTTTGATCAGCTACTTTTTATTTCAGATATTGCAGGAGGTTGAATTTTGATTTGCAAAAGGATGAATTTGATTTGCAAAAGGTTGAATGTGAGGTGAAAAGTCAAAAATTGAAGGTGAAAATGTTGAATTTGGAGTGCAAAAACTGTAAGCGCGTGTCTAAAATATTAGAAATTGAACGGGATCGTGTTTCAGGTTTTGCCCACACATGCGGCATGGAGGCGACACGTGATATTGGCGCACAATCTCTCGGCGAGCGATGCACACAATGGTCTTTTGATTTTAGAGGAAGCTCACATGGTCTTACAAATCGCCCGCCCCACTAGATTGGACACTTTGGTCAACATAATTAAACAAAATTCTCAACAGATCAATAATCAGGAGAATCCACAGACGGATAAAGATTAAGATACTTCCCGGTAGCGTATCGTCACTGTACTTTGCGTGATATAATTAATTCTCTTTTTATAGACAGTTCCAGAAGCAAGACTGTATCGCGTTTGACGCGCCTCGAATCGTGTTCGATATGGAACGTGTTTATATTTAAAAATTTTAAAGAACATGACATTAATATGCGTTTAAGCGATTCTACGACGGTTTCGTGATTGTCAATGTGATTTGGAAACTAGAAAATTTGTTAAAAAATGGAATTGGTGTATTTTAGAAAAATACCTTGTTGTCCATGTTGCGACAGTTATTTTGTTCTTTTCAATCATTTTTTTATACATGTATATTGTTGTTATATTCTTTGTACATATCGCTTTTATAGTCATTACCGACGGCCAGTATCGCGCTACGTTGCGCACACTATTTTGTATTGTTGTATTAACAAGAGTTTTATATATTATATATATAAATTAACGCGTGTCAGAGACTAGTTTCGTTATTAATAAGAGAATGTTACGTTGTCAGCAGTACACGGAATGAATGAAATACTCGAGTTGTTTTATTTTTTTTTTATTTTTTAAAATACTCTTGACAATATCGTGCATCAGTCGATTGAAACTTTTATAAATATTTATTCCGTAAAAGTGAGGGAGTCTCGTGCTTTCAATAAAACCGATCGTGCAGCGTATAATTTTTTCGATAATTTCTTGCGGTCCATTGGTAATAATAGTTTGATTCTTTCGATAAGTGAATACCGTTGCGTGCGATAAGTGGGTGCGAAAGCGTCGCTTACAATTCATACACGAATCTTCGATAATTCATTAGGTCGCAACGAAAGTCCAACGCAATCGTGTATTGTCGTAATTTTATTGAAACCGATTGATTGATCCAAAGTATCATCGTTTAATTCTTGTTCTATTCGTTTGTTCGTTACACCGTTGGTCGCGCGATTCAATGTTTGCTCAGCCAATATAAAAAGAGTGATAAAATATTCACGTCGTTAGGGAGCATTGCTAACTGTTTGAGAAACATGGCACGGTTTCCAATCGAATCGTTCGATAGAAGTTATTGTACATTGGCGAAAGGTACGACGGGGCCCCTCGTGGTTGGCCCAAAGCACGGGGAATTACAAAAAGAAGTTCACGTCGGCAAAAACATCCGCGGCGTCAGAGTTCGTTTCTATGTTTGTTGAAAAACCGGAGAAGAAAAGCAATAGAAAATATACGTATGTACATATTTTGTGGACGAAAAGAAATTCTCTCCGAGTCAGCAACGACGGTGGATTGGGGTATCGGTCGTTCGAATCATACGAGTCGTGCATTTGTTTCCGTTGGGACAGCTACAGGTATCTTTCGGGCTTCTCTTTAGTTTTTTCTTTCTTTCTCTCTCTCTTTCTCTCTTTCTCGTCTCATCCTCTCGCGGTATTAGCAATTCCAACTGGTCCAGTTTTTGTCCTGGTTCGATACGCAAGAAGTTTTCGGGTTTGTTCGCTCGAATTTTACAACTCGGCCACATAACCCTCGATAACGATTCCTGGCGCAATCTCGGCGGTGGTGACACTATCCGTGGTAACGATGCCTCGATCTTCTGATCGATCCTCGCCCCAGGCTCCCTCCTTTCCATATTTCTCGGACATCCTTACCATCTCGTTTGGACTCCACTCGGGAGAATCTCGACGGCTTCCGCCGCTTTTATAAACGACGTTCGATTCGGTTTCGCGGTTCCCGCGAGATCTCGAACCTGGCAGTGGTGACGGAGAGTAGCTATCGTAGACGGGATTGCGTTTCATCGATGCTCGTTGATGACCCGTCTTCCTCAGCATCGCCTGTTCCAACGTTCGATTGTAGATATTACAATCCATTAACGAGTAAACACGGGTTTTTTCTTATTATAACAGAGTTGTCTCACCTGAAAGTTAAAAGGTGGCTCGTCGTCGTCTTCGTTACCCTCGTTGTTATTCCTGCGGCCTATCATTTGCATTTCCTGAATGGGATTGATGCTACGGTATAATAAGAAAAGCAAGGCAATAAATTTCATCCATTCGACTATTGTACATGATCTTTAGAACAGTAAACATAGCGCGGTCAAACCGATTAGGGTTGCCGGCGTTCCTGTTGACTTTGTCCTCGACGTCCCAATCGTTGCTACCGGTGTTCACGTTGCTTTTCCATCGAGGGTTCGAACTGTAGTGATCGGTGCTACGTGTCGGGGGTGGTTGGGTCTGATTGAACGGAACAGGTGGAGGCGGTGCGTGTTTTCTAGAGCGTATCGACCCGGTGCTGTCGTAAGTGTTCTGTAAGAAATATCGTCTTTCTCGTGTCGTCTTCTAATTGTACGAGAATCGCGTGTAATAGGGAAGACAGAGGATGAAACTTACTGAGCGAGGAGTATGAGCGTTAGCAGATGGTACGGGGCTACGGTTGCTTGAAGGACGCTGAATTCCGGAACTACCCATTCTGCTTTGGGCTGTGTCTTCCGGTGGACATTGAACCGGGGTGTTCGGGTCTCTTTTTCCCTCGGTGCCCGTGTGTGCCACTCGATGTGGCGAGTTCGTCGTTTGCACCTCGACGTCTGAAAAATGCAGAGCAATCCGTTTGGAGAGGTGAGTTCTCCCCGAGGACAAGCCAGTCGCCATTCGAAAGAATCGATCGTTATCCACTTACTATTAAATGCGATGATGCGATCGTCGTCCGCTTACTAATTACGTACTATCTTAAGAAGGACAGAGATTCTGATGAAAACGTAACGAGTCCGACGAAGCATACAGGGTGACGAGGAAAGTTTATCGGTTCAGTAACTTTGTCTTTTGTTTCTTTTCTTTTTTCTTTGTTTGTTTTGAAAGTTCGGTAATCCATTGTCACGATTCAGAAGCGAAATCATCCGGCACACCCTGTACACGTGTTCGATCCGACTCGGACGCGTATAAAAAGAAAGGAGATCGCGATATTCGATGTTCACGAAAAAATGTCTAAAAAATGTAGTTGCTTTTTCGCGAGGACAAAGAAGTCGTACTATCGACGAGTGTCAACGTCGCTGCGTCCTGACTGGATGAAACAAAATGTGAGATAGGCACCTCTGGTACGAGTGTTCCTGATGGCCCAAGGCACCGTTTGTCTCCGTAATGGCGCGTCCCAGGCCTCGTGCTCGTCGTCAGACGCCAATGACGACGCGGATCTGCGAGAACGTATTTCTCAATTGACGCCAGAAGTCTCCGAAAAGAGGTCATAAGCGACTCTTACTTCGATAGAGACGGCATACAACGGAGAACGAAAAACAACGATTTATATATACATACATACATACATACATACATCGAAAAATGGTGCATCCGCGATACTACGAGGCTTTTTCTTTATTTAGCACAGATATTAGTTACCTCCTTATGTATTTTTGTCGTACGAAATACATGTAGGACGACAATTAGTAAGGAACATGTCACGAGACAGAGATCTACGCGACGCGACGGCTATACATAGACGGGACACGATGAAAGAGCTCAATGATGGATGATATGTATCTACGGTTTTACTTAAAACGATTACGCTCGATCAACGGACGTTACGTGACGGAAGAATAGAGTAAACTCAACTCACCCGACACCTTTCAGTTTCCTAGAACTCTTCATGTCGAGAAATGGTAACTCGTTATAAAAGTTGAATGGTAACTTGTGCACTTGGGGTGGTTTCAACTGGCCTAAGTACGAAAGTGACGAAACGTTCGGGTCGATTTGGTTTATGGACACGTGTTCATTCGTCGCATCCAGTGTTGCTACTATCGCTTGATTGAACAGATGCACCTGCCCGAGAAAAAATTTCGTTCGAGCTCGTTATACGTGCTATTATCGTGAAATCAGGATCGTTTCTAGTGGAAACGCTTACTTGCTGCGAGAAGTGCACGAGGTCTTGATAACGGGCTGCACGGTAACGTAGGAGGACTTGGAATATGCTCTTCGACCTCCATTTGCTGCTGTAGAATTTCATCATGTCCATCGTCTCCGGATCCATCGGGCCCTTCCCTAGAAGAGGTGCCATTTCCTTCCTCACTGCGTGACCCCTGTACGCTATTTTTCCATGAAACAGAACACTCGATCAGACGTACATAGATATTTCGTTAACCGATTCGATCGATCCACGCGAAAGTAGCGTCCTAAACCATCAGGCTCGTCAAAAATCAAATATCAATCTCACCCTCTCCCGCCCCACCCCTTTCTTTCTCAATCTATCGGTTCCCTTCTCGTTCACCCTACCTTTCTGTATCATTACCGCCGCCTGATCCTCCGATATATCCACCGTCTCCTTCCTCTTTAATGACGCTTGCTTCACTGAAACAATACCCGTTAAATTTCCCGTAGCGGATGAAAAAAAACAGTACGAGCCTCTCGGAGGGGGGGGGGGTGAAAAAAGAAAAAAAAAGAAAGAAACGAAGCGACGCGTCGGTTAAGAAGAATCGGCTCGCACCCAACGTTGTTTCTCTCGACGAGCAATTTACCTACCGACTTCTCTCTTCGTTCCCGTGATCTTCGACGCCATGTTCTTCTTCGCCAGGAACGCTCTCATCATACACTGAACCTTTACGATCTTTTTCACCTGCGTCTCGTACAAACGCGACAGATATTCCTCGTTGTAGTATTTCAGGAAGACCTTGGTCTTCCCGAGCATCCAACCTTCCATTTTCAATCTGATCAACAGCAGTCGGCAATTCTCTTTCGTTATTTCGACGTTCTCGTCGAAATCGAATGCCAGGAATTGGTACCTGGATGGGGACACGTGTCGATGAAACTTTCGTATGGAAAAAAACGCGTCCGCGAAGCATATTTACACCAATAATAATAATACTAATAATAATAATAATAATAGTAATAATAATAATAACAATAATAGTTACCTTCGAAGGAATTCCTGAAACGACATTCTGTAGGGATAACCCCGTTGTCTGGCTTTCGCGGTGTCTAGAATAGCCAACGCTCGGATCTGTTGTCTGACGACCTCTCTATAGAAGCCACGAGGCGCCCCCTCGAGGTCCGACCTTATACACCTGATGAAGTGGAGACCACCGCTTCCGCTACCTCCCGAAAAGTTCTTAAGGATTTCCAGGCTGGTGGATTTAAACGTGGCCGCGGACGTTCGCATTTTTCGCGTTTGCGAATATTGTCCCCGGGACGCGGTGTTGAATCTCTGTTTACAAAGCAACGATCGTCGAGCGAATTATCTACAGTAATCTCTCGATGAGTGCGACGTAATCGAGTCTGCTTCGGAGCGTTCATGGCAAGGACGGAAAGGTTTTCAGCCCTTTGTAAATTTGTTTTCTACCCGGAGCCGAGCCTCTGCTTAGCTTCTGTTTATTCTGTTTTGATTAATTCCAGCTGGGTATCCCCCAAGTGATGGGAATAAAACCGTGTCGCCTTCATCGAGGTTTCACTGTATTCTCGTTTCTCGTGTCGTCGAGAAACCAAAGTGGGCGGAATGATTATTAAGTGAACTCACCTTTGGCTTGGACGTTTCTTGCATCAGTGCGCCCCACTTCCCTTTGTTGGTCTTCTTTTCCGTAATTTTCGCGTGCTCCACCACGATCGTCAAGTTTCCAGACTTTGTCAGCCTGTTCGTGAACATCTCCTTCACGATCACGACGTTCGATTGCCGGAACGTTTCGATCATTTCCAGCGGCATAAAGTCCCGATTTTTCTCGGCCATTTCGCTGGCATCGTAGACCAATTTCCCTGTGTAATGCGCGACCGTGAACTCGTGCGAGCTCACCGGTTTCACGTAGACGTTGTCCGATTGTTGTTCTATCTTGGTCAGAATGTATTGGTAATCGACAAGGTTCTTCGACGCGTCGTCGATTATACTGAACAAGCCCCTGTCCTTGCTCATCAGCTGATCGATCGCGTCTTTGTTGTCGTAGAAGTGTAAACGTTGCATCGGTATATCCTCCTCCTCTTGCTCTTGCTACGGACACGTATCGTCGCAAACAACATAGGTACATGTTCCCATCGTTGATCTTTACCCGAAGAATTCTGTTTCGCGAGACTTACCATTTCCCATGCGAACAGCCGTTGATTGTAATAGCACTGCATCTGTTCGTTCATCGTGTTCACTATCAGTTGCTCGAGCCGATTCGCCGTGACGCACTCGAATCCGAATAGATCCATCACGTTGATGGTGTACTTGTCGCCACTGAAAATGGCAAACGTACCTTAATTAAGCGGCTCGCGAACCCCTCTTGATGCCGTTTTCGAAACTCACAATAACGCGCGGGTAACCGTGAACTTATGATTGATAGTGTTCACTATCCAGTCGACCAGCCGCTGGTAGATCGTGTTCGCCAGCACGTCTCTCGCTTCTTTCGCCTCCTCGCAGGTGTGCTTTCTGCGCACAACGCTGCCGTTTACAATCGCGCAGTAATTCACCAGAGCCCAGGCGAATTTTTTCTCTTCCAGATTTAGAAGTTCGGCCACTAGACACATGGTAGAAAATGGTGGAAATGCTGGAAAAACTGTAGTTTCTGGTAGGTACGTACCTTTGTTGGACGCGTCATTGTTGTCCATTTCGGCGTCGCCGTTGTTACCTTCCACGAATCGAATCTCGCCCAGAATCAGGATCCCAGCCAGTATCTTCCAGATCGTCTCGCAATACTCCTCCATCTCTAAGATTCGTAGATTCTCCTTCAGTTGATCGAACTTCATCACGTTGCCACGGGGATCGTTTCGTACTTTGAACGATCGTTTTCTCTCAGTGCCCTTGTCGCTGATTCGAAGATACCGCATCCTTCGTCCCGCTGTTAGACTGTACTGCTTCAGTTTGCTTATCGAGTCGAGGCCGTCGTAGAAATAGTAGAACACGTGAAAATTCGATTGATTTCTGTTGGGAAACGCATTCCTCGTGACTACCGCGTCTAATCGATAAACGCGTGCGATTAAATCTCGATACCATGCTCGTGACGCGGCCGCAATTTTCTATTCTAATATCCAAGCAAATTACTAGCTCTAGCCAGACGCAATTGTCAGAATTCCGGCACAGGCAGCGTTGTACGATCTACACTGACGGATAGGCGTAAGCAACGAATTCTCGTATGCGATGTTAATAACCTGTCCCGTGTAGAAACCCGCCATTTCTCCAGCTGGTACAACCAAAATATGCCGCCGGAAGCTTTACCGGATGAGCCGTAGGTCGTTTGTATTTGCAGTATGCATCTGGTCGAGTTCGGATTCAAAGGTGTGGCCGCGTTGCTGAACGCGTGAATCACTTTGATCGCCCGCAGTAATCTCGCCCCGGTGTCTTGTAAGCTCTGAAATCGTACTCATGAAACAATTCATCCCTGTTACGTTTAACCCTTTAAGGACGGCGAAAGTTTCTCGTTTCTTCCCATTTGACCGACGTAGGCGTCACATACATTATTATAAACTGTTAATGAACCAAATTTAAAGTTTTTTTTCATAGCTATAGTTAATGTACGAGTGCATTCAAGGTGCATATAGGAACTCTGTAATGAATAGAATTCGGTCGCTGGGAACGGTATGAGAGTCGTTGTAATGCACCGACGCTGTACCAGAAGGGTTAAGTTTTGTTTTATCGACGATCGATTACTTTTCCGAGATACATGAGGTGTTGTATCAGATGCATCATGGTCGTCGTTTTCCCCGAATTACTTTCGCCCGCCATTAAAATGTGCTGGGGCTCCTCGTTGTGCAACACATCCTGATAAGCGCTATCGGCCACGGAATACACGTGGGGCGCGTTATCCGATCGTGATTTAAACTGATATTTCGTGTGGTACTGCAACGCCAAAATGGGTGAATATTTACTGGACAGTCGGAGAAGGTTATATCACAGACGAGATATAGGAATAGACCTAACATTCTATGGGACTTGGTGTTCCACGAAAATCACGCTGGTTCGAGCTCACCTCTACCTCAACGACTGAAGTTAGCATGGAGGGGGACTCTGAACTTAAGTAATTGACTGCATACCAGTGAATGACCATTAGGCAAGAAATGTAAGTTATAAATTTAAAAATTATTAAATATTTATAAGTGGAGCGTTGTTGCACTTTTAATATCTCATATTTTTAGTTTAGTGTGTTAACACATTACTTACCGGTAGCCTATTTATAGACTTTTAACTTCCTGTGCTCATAAATAAGGAGTCTATTAATTTACCCTTGAAATCACGATAAGAATAAGTAATTATTTTTATAAAAATTTCAAGAAAAATATATGTAATTGCAATTTCAACACCTGTTTTATTGTTATAAATAAACACATTCAAGTATTAATCCAAAATGTCCACAAATTTAACAATTCGGTCATTCACTGGTTGGTTTACCTTAGTATTGAAGTGGTACGGGGGCTTCTGACGCCCCCGAAGCAAGGGACAGAAAATTACATTGCATTTTAGGTCTATTCTTATATCTCGTTAGTGGTTATATCCTATCAACGGTCTACCGCTTACGTCAGATCCGTATATGTCCTGCTGTTCGTTCGGATTTAATATCAGAAGAATTTCGCCGACGAAACTGTGGAAATAACCTTGCCTCAGTCTCTCGTGGAGCTCGTCCAGTACGGTGTCCTCGGTCAACGATTCGAGGGCGGCGATGTCTTCCATGAACATCGGCTCCAGAGGATCCGTCTGATGCGTCTGTGTTTCAAACAGAGATGGGCACAATTTTATTCGAATAATACATAGTGAGAAGTAGCAGAATCTAAGATCGTCGTCCTGACCATTAAACAGTTCATGAGATTAAATAATTTTAATGATAAAATATTATTTTATGATAAAAATTGCAGTTACTACGTTCAATCGAGTAAAAATAACGAAATATTTTTTTCATCTTTTATTCGTCATTCGAAACTTTTTATCGAGATAATGAATTTGACCATCTCTGGTTTCAAGTATTCGCACGCTAGGAATCTAATTACCACGCTGCACACGAGACTTACTTGTTCGTTCGAACGTTACCTTTAGGAAACCCTTTCGGACCAACACCTCGGCTCTTCTCTCGAGTTTACCTTTCGCGCAGGCATCCATCATTAATACTTTGAGCTCTTGCGCCAGCTAAAAAATCACCGTTCTTAGATTTTCTCGTCAATTCTCTCGACGTACTGGTGGGGTCACGTGTAAATTTTATACAATTACCAGGTACTCGTTGTCGGGTAACTCGGCTAGAAATGGGTGCTCGGATATTTCCGCCATAAAGGGTCGATTGTCGGGATTTTTCTCGAGGCATCTGGAACAAAACGAAAAATTGTCTATCCACGTTAGCGTTATTGAAAAATTGTGTATCAGGGTGCTAGAACGTACTCTGCGATGAAGTCGTTGAAGTTTTGCGACCAGTTGGACGGTCTGTATAAATTCGGGGGCGGATTGCGAACAATCTGAAACAGGGCCCTGGTCGGGTGCATATCTTGAAAGGGTGGCTTGCCGTCGGCCAATTCGATCGCTGTGATTCCGATCGCCCAGACGTCCGCTCGACTTCCGTAACCGTCGCTGCTGCTCCCTTTGCTCAACGCGACTTCCGGTGCCATCCAACAGGGCGAACCCACGCAAGTGTACCTCTTCCCCATTTCACCTTGAATCGTCCTCGACAGCCCGAAATCGACCAGCTTCACTTCACCTTCTCTGGTTAGCAAAATATTGCTGCCGCGTATGTCGCGATGCATCACGTTGTTCTCGTGGAGATACACCACTGCCTGAGGGAAACAACATCTTAACTCGTTACGCGGTCTATGAACCCTCGCGAGCAAGCTCGGTTTCCGCTAGGGGAAAAACTGACGTAGAAGAAAAGTATCCTACCAGTTATTAAATTTATTTCAAGTCCTGATATAAATGTTAAACCGAACGTTAATTTGGCATAAATTCCAGTAACTCCCAAAACTAAATGGTAGGAGGCAACAAAAGGGGGGAGGGGGGTGAGAAAGAATCGGAGAGAGTTTGCGATCGAGTACCCTCGGTCAAGCTTTCTTCTCTTTGGATTTCCCTTAGCCGTGATTTCGCCGGCAGTAGACACACCGGTGCCTGGTTCTTCGCCAGCATTTATTTCGCGTGTAATTTGCCGGCATTAAACGTCAACGTGGCCTGATTTACCGCACGAGCGACCGTGGACGAATCGCTACTGGGCCCATGGAACACGTACCAACGCGAACAAGAAGGAGAACTCCGGGGAGACGAAGAAGAAGGGGTTGCGTGCACTTTACGAGAAAGGATGCTGGAATGAACGAAGACAGAGAAAGAGAAACCGATCCCATAAGGGAAGTAGATGGGAGGGAAACGAAGAACGCGAGAAGAGTGCTGCGTGCGCGTATGCTCGAAAAGAGTGGACCCCTGTGAGATGATTTAGCGACAAACTGCACGACGCGTAAACATCGCTGGTCCACGGGGAGAGAAAACGCGTGGTCACGTTCTCTCCGACGATTTCGTTCGATCGGAAATGAATCGAGAAGATGATCTTGAAAAATCATGAAAAAAAAGAGGTGATAAAAACATTCTTGATCGGACTGCTAATAACAGAGTAATCTCTACCGATCACGATTCGTGGTTCAACGGAGTTCCTGAATTCGGAAACTTTTATGGTAGAGGTGTGCTGGAACCAGCGTGATTTTTATGGGACACCAAGTCCCACGAGATGTTAGGTCTATTCTTATATCTCATCCGTGGTATTATACGTCTATGACCGTACCACATTTCTCGAAAGTTACATCGACTCGATTCCCCAAGTGGTAACATCGATTGAAAGTTGATAGGTCGATAGGTAGTATTCGCAGTTACAGACCATGGTGGAGATTCGAGGGAATCGGGTTCGCGGAGTTCCCACGGCGAGGATAATTAGCAGAACCCATCGATTTTACGCGGTCCAGTGTTTTTGCCGAGAGGTATCGGGGATACGAACCGCGGATCGGTTGTGTCCGAGCGGAAGGGTTATACATATATACGGCACGACGCACGATTCGAAACGGAAACGGGCGTTCTACCCTCGGCGCCGTTCACGTTTGACGCGTAAATGACACCCGTCCACTCAGATGTCCAGAATCGTTTTCGTTTTTTTTTCCTTTTTTTTTGTGGCATCCAATCGTTTCCTTCGCCGATTCGTTTCCATTCCGCGGAGTCGCGGCGGGGTAGTTCGTGCAAGAAACGGGTGAACGGAGGAACGTTTCTCGTATATACGATATTATGGTAAATTATATTCCGCGAGGAATAGGGGAACGGGAATTATAGAACATTACCTCATTGTGTCCGAGCGAATCGTTTCCCTTATCCTGTCTAGCGTGGTTTTTTTTCTCTGTCTTTTGCGAACCGTTACGGAATAAACTCTCGGTTCTGCATCTCGGGAGAGATCGCGAGTTTTGTCCTTGACTGTAACGCGCGGGGCATCTTCGTGGATACACGAGAGAAACGCGGGTACACGTTGTAGGAGAACGGGACGGAAGTCTTCGCCGGCGTTGATCTTCTGGTGAACGCTGGTTCCCTCTCTCGAGATGGCTGCGCGAAGATCGGAGAAGGGCCGAACGAGTGGGGCAGCCTTTCATTTGCGAGCAGGTTAATTAGCGAGCCATCTCGCCTGTCTTATTTGTAATTTATACGCCGTAGAATGCGGCCCATTGACGCGCGCGTCTCCCGCGATCCTTCCACGTTCTCCGATTTGGCGCGCACGCGAACGCGAATACACGTACTTGCTAGAATACCGGAGAATCGAACGTGTCATCTCGCCGCCGGAAGACCCTTTCCGACGGTGGCTATCATCCAATGTTTCGGTTCGCGTAATGGCCCGAACCGATTTGCTTCGAATTTACGTTTTATCGCGTTTCACGGCATTTCCTTCCTTTTGTCGATTCCTCGTAATCTCCCCCTTTGCTCGATCCCGTTGGAATCGAGTGATATCGAAAACTCGACGTCGACTCGCGCCGCCTATGCACGGATCGGAATGACACCGAGAAGCAAAAGCGATCTCGAAGGGGCATACCATCGGGTACAATTACGTTATAATAACGTCTTCTCCCTTGGCTATTTACTCCCGCGACGTTTAGTTCTTTCGTTGTTTCCTCGGTATGTCTCGTGGACGGTACTGGGTCATTTCGCGGGGATAACGCCTGGACAATAATCGAGAGGCGTTTGTATTTTAAGAATTTACCTTGATCACTTCCCTCAGAATGTAACCTATGTGTTCCTCACGCAGCTTCTTGTCCATGGAGATGAGACCGCGTACGAGGTCCATCGCGGTTCCGCCATCGCACAGCTGTAAATCGAAAAATCAACAGAATTACGTTCCGTGGCAGTGTAGGAAAATAATAGCTTGCAGGAGGGACTTAAACCGGTATGATTTCGATACCTATATTACGCCATCAAAGCTATATCGAAATCGACATATTACCGATCACCGAAATAAATGCCGATATTTTTTGGTTTCTATAAGGATAGGGCTTATATAGGGTTATATAGGGTGAAGGTACAACAGAAAATACCGGTATAATACCAGTATAATACCGGTATATTATGTTTCGGTCGAAGTCCTTGGCTTGCAGTGGCCCTTGGGATCGCGGAAGCAATTTAGATCTTACTACCCGGGAGGGAATTTCATTTTACGTAATTGCTCGGGATCTCGACGTCTTGGTGCTGATTTTAACGGACAATGTCCCGCGTTCCCTTTTCAATCTCGCGCGGATCTTAAGTTTAACATTCTATAATACCAAGTTGCTGCGTTCGACGGATACGGTTTTCGCCGGCAAACGATTCTACATGCATAGATGAAGGGGCGTCGTACGGTTATCGGGTACACACGAGCTTCAAGCGGAATGGGCCAGCACGCGATTGCATTCTTTCGTGGGCCCCAATGAACGCACAACACGAAAACTTCTTCGTCCACTCCGGGACGGTTCTCGTACGTGCCCGTAAAATTCTCCCGTGATACGATATGGAATACCGTCGGCGATAAATCATCGCCACATTGTCGTTGCCGCGTCGTTTCTCTTTGCCAAACCGTCCTCGAACTCGAGGGTTCTTTCTCGGTGCATGGCCTTGCGCCGGTAAACGTTTACGAGCTATTTACTGGAGTCGATCGATTTGCAAAATTCTTGTTGCAACATTCTCGCTTATCGTGCGACCTGTTTGTCTGTTTCTTTTTTTTAATCATCCAGGGGAAGAGTCGAAGGAGAGACGGAGAAAATCTTGCGTCCAGGTCGTTTTTTAATCGACCACTTTCCCACCAGTAGCGAAACGATTCTTTCTCAGTCGTTTATTTACAACGTTCGTTTAATTGGCCGCGGGAAATATATCAAACGACGGAATCGGAGTGCCATCCCCGATGTTTCGATCACTGGGCAAAATAGGCAAGCGTGCACGCGTTAGCGTTAAATCGTGTATCGACGCTTTGCTCGAGATAAGTAATAATATTTCGTGCGCACCGCGGAGGTCCACCCGTAAATTAGGGCCGCGACGTGCCGGGGCTCACCTGCGTACACGAACGAGTTTAATGATTGTTTAATGGCCGCGCGTGTCGTAAATTATCCGTGTATTCGACCGTCTCAAATGCTTGAAATTGCCTCCGGGTCCTGGCATGGGTACGTACAGCAACTCTTCCCTCGCCGCTGCATTCGTTTTCTCTTTTTCCTTCTTTCTCCTTCGTCTCTTTCTTCTCCTTCTCCTCCTTCTCTTGATTCTTCTTCTGCTCCCTCCGCCCCCGTTCTCCCGAGCCCTCACCCTCACCCTACTTGTTCCGTGTCTGTTCTCGATCACCGAGCTTTTCGTTTTTCCTTCGGAGAATTACGATGTTAAAGGAGCGCCGCCACGGATATGCTTCGACGTCGATCGTCGTCCCGACGCGATATCGCTATCGATATAAATAACTGGGATGCCGATCGTGACAATAATGATGCTCGTCCTCGTTCGTGTCCAACCCACGGGCGAAAAATCGTTCGAATGTACATATTTAATTTAATTTAATTTAATTTAATTTAATTTAATTCACACTAATACAACAAATCATCAAATGGAGTATAGTGAGATATAACAATTATAAGAATAGAATTCAAATAGATATAAACTATACATTGGTACTTGACCTAATAATAATAACTATTCTACCCTATCGTAGAAAACACTATGTAATTCAGACCTAAGTTTATATACATATATATTAGGTGAGAAAATGTCAATTTTGTCGTTTCAATTATTTGTTAATGTGCAAATTCTACCAATTCGGTCTGTGTTATTGAAATGAGAAAAGAGGGGAGATAGTCTGAAGAGCATAGGTGGGTCATTCCACGCGAAATCGGACACCTTTGGGAGCACCATTTCGGATTTTGTTCCAATTTGAATATGTTGTAGTTTTTGTCGATATATAAACGTATCTCGAGGGATTTTTGAAAATTCTTAAAATTGTTGGTTTTACTGCTGTTTGAAATTAACCTATTATACTTGTATAATATAACATATATAATATTAGAATTTCTTCGTTGACACGTATGCTTACCTCCATGATGAACCATACTTGATCGTACTCGGTCTTTTTCCCCGATCTTCTCCGATAGATCCCGTAAAAGTCCGGCAGATTCGGATGAGTCGCCAAATCTCGTAGAACCTTGTACTCTTCGATGATCGACGACTGCGAATCGGCAGTCAGCTTTTGCACCTTTACTGCGACCTTTTTGTTGTCTGTAAAATCGTCCGCGGAGTCAGTGCAAGTGCAAAGTGAACCATTTTGATTATTATGGACATACCAGCGTGTTGATCGATAGCTTCGAAAACGTCCCCGCAAACGCCTGAACCGATGCATTCTCTGAGAAGATAACGTTTCCCGGGATCTTGGATGCTGTCGAGGCGTTGAAGGGTGGTTCTTCTGTCGTAATCTTCATAATCACCATCGTCGCCTCTGCTCCCTCCGCGTCTGTCGTACTCTCTACCACCCCTTTTCCCGTACCCATAATCGTTCATTTTACGAGCTTACAGCGTCGCCGCCTGAAACATTGTGAAACAAATATTGCTCGTTCTTCTTTCCAGCAAATATAGTTGAGAGATGAAAACGAGGGGAAAATCGCGTGCGTTTAAAACGACGATACGAATAATTGCGATAATTGTTCCGGGAGTAGGAAAAATAATGAATCAAACAATAAAACTTAAACGGTTCCGATCGAGTCGCATCGAATGAAAAGAAAAAAAAAATAGTTTCGCTCGATGCATCCACGGTGCTCGACCGTCGCGAGACAAAGAGTTCATTAATTTCGTTCTCGTTTCCAAGGCCTGGAGTGCTCGTCGATGGAGCGGTACACGAAGACACGAAGAGGTCGTCGCGCACCTCTTCACGTTCACGGGAAAACAGGACCAGCGGAGCCGGTGCGGTGCCTCTTTCCATCCGTGTTCGAACCGACGACGACGGGAAGGTCGAGAGAATGACTCTTCGAAGCGAACGCTCTACCGGATTTTTTTACGAGAGGCCAGGTTCGGCCGGTCGAGGGTTTCACGGCGCATCGGCACAAAGGTGAGTGCTAATTATATTCTTTCTCGAGTGCCGCGTGAACGAGTGGTAATCGCTAATTAGTAGCTCGCTTCCTGAAAGCTTCGACGAGGGATGCCTAAAGCCGCGGAAAGATATCCTTAGTCGACTCGAGATCGTGATTCATCCGTCCCTCTCGTCGATCTCGTGCATAGGCGTGCAACGGAATTTCGGACGTTTTTTAGAGCCTCGGAGAGTTGTCACGCCGAGTTTCACAGCGTACTCGTGCGCGCTCGTATGTATCGACGAGTCGTTAACCGTGGCACGAGGCCAGCTAACGACAGAACTTGCGGGATTTCTGTCGATTTCAATGTCTGGACTGCGGTGCGGATTCACGTTTCGTCAGACGAAACTGGCGGCAGAAGAATCCGACCGATAATTCGATAGAATGATCCCTTATTCGATAAAAAGAGTCGACTTCCATTTCCAATATACCACGATGAGATTTTGATTTTCCATATCGAAACGGAATCGATTCGAGAGAGCTTGTCTCGCGGGACTCTTTCCATCGTCCATGTCCCCCAGCTGGTACTTGTACGGCTGCGGCAACGCTGCAAGGTAATACATATCCCATTTATCGGATCCCACGGATTGCGTAAGAGTATTTAATGGGTTACGAGAGAGTCCGTGGGTAACGGGTGGCTCGGTTAACCGCTTTACCAAAGACACCTCCACTGGTGGACGACGGTTCTAGCTACGTAAACGACCTCTTCTTTCTTCGATGCATTCCGTAGCTTATCGTGCTTCATGAACGGCGATCGTGCCAAAAAACGATACTTTGTCCCTTTTACCTGTATGAAATGTTGTATTTCAACGTAAACGTTGCTTTCGAGATCGTCCATCGCTGGCGAAAGGTAAACCACCGTTTTCCACAGAATCGGGATACTCCGTGGTCCGCCCGAGGACACGGAACGGTGAAAAGGAAAAAAAAAAAGGGAAAATGGTTGGTCGGAAGGAGAAAGAGGGGCGAGAAATGAGAGAGGATTCGCGTCGTTAGCCAATTCATTTATTCCCGGTGGGTCGGCGCTCGTCCGGCATAATCCGTCGATTTGTCGGCGCGACGTGTCTCGTGTAATGCTGCTTCCTGCCCGGTTCTTGCCGCATGTAATCGAAGAGGGAAAGGGAAAGGGAGAAAGGGCGCGAGCGAGAGGACGACGCGACGCGTCGCTGACTATATGTGAACGAACGTACGTAAGAAACTCGGTTTGATCCACGATGTCCACGCGGTGGGCTCCTCTCTGTTCGGCCTCGTGTATGCGATACGACGGTGTGCGCTCCTCCTCGGTACGTTCAGTTTTCTCAGGCGGTCTCCCCTCTAACCGTCTCCTTTTCCTCGTTCCTTGGCCGTGTCCAGAGTCCCGTGCAGGTTTATTGGTACGGCAGGGCGTTAAATTATTGATGCTCGACCGCGCGTCGCGAGAAGACGAACGAGAAGAAAGAGAGGAAGGGTACCATGGAGAGATGGGGGAAGGGGGATGGGTAAGGACGGGTCCTGTGATTTCAGAAAAAGCTTTCCGTGCCACTCGGTCCAATCGGTTCTTTCTCTCCGATCTTCGCGCACGTCTCGCCGCGTTCCTCTTTCATCTCGGCCTCGACCGATCGCGAACCTGTGCGGGACTCGGAGCTCTTTAAAAGGGAAGGAGCGTGGGGGCGACGAAACCGCGCTTGTTGTGGGAAAGTTTCGCGACCGGAGTCGTTCGTGGGGCCGATCGTGGCCGAAAATCCAGGGGCTCGGTTCGATGATTCTCGATCGCGACTTGATCGATCGTTTTGAGACGACTATTCGTCACCGATATATCGTCCCCTTTATCAGTCTCGATGACTTATCGTTCTGGAATAGGTACCACGGTCCTTGTTCTTCCATCCACCTCGTAGCACCTGTTTCTCCCTCCCCCCCCCCTAGGTTCTTCTCCTTTCGCTCCCGATGAGACTAAACGAAGCGAAACGAAAGAGGGGCTCGGGTGTTGAAGTATCGAATGCGTTCTCTTCGAAACGAGCTGTGGGAAAGTTGATATTCGTTCGCCGCACAGGGGTCCCCCGCTGTAGCGGCGGAATGTTAGCACCGCGAATCCCTGGGAAGAAGCAACGGCAGCAGCAACAGCAGCAACGGTAGTGGCGGTGGACGACGAAGAAGAAGAAGAGGAGAAAGAAAAAGAGTCGCAGAAGCCGAAAACGATCGGCAGCCGACCGGTTCGGGCCGGTTGAAAAGGGTTCGACACTCCTTTCGCCGGAAAGTACGGTAAACCTGGTGACAAGTGACTCGTTCCACGGCGTTTCTCTTTCCGATCTCGGGAACGGAGTCCTTCGTCTCTGGCCTCTGGCTGGCTGTTCGCCGTGGAGTCGAGGGCGCGCGATTACACCCGGAAAAACTAGTAGACGATACCGATCGCGAAGTCGGAACCCTCTCTCGATTCGGCGATCGGTTCGTACGATTTGATAACGGGCGCTCCGTCGCGACGCGGTTCGGTTCGACGATGGAAAAAGTGGTATCGACGGGCGGTCGCGTATCGTCTCCCTCGAGGCGTTGACGATACCGAAGCTCGATTCGCGCGAGCGACACGAGGCTTCCGCTTCTTGCACAGCGGATCCTTCTCTCTCGTACCTTTTACAGATTCCCGAAGATCGATCCTTTCGGCAGATAACGCGGCGGCGTCGACCACTTTCGGATTCCGTTCGGCGAAGGTGTCGGTGTTCTCGCGATCGAGCGGGGATCGCGAAAAATCGCTCGTTCCTCCGGCCAAGTGAGGCGGTCGTACGTTATTTCCGTCAGGGGGTTAATCGATACCGGGAATCTCCGCGCTGTTCTTCTTCCCCGAAGCTCATGCAACATTTAACTTTCCGCTATATTCTTCTCGGGCTCGCGCTTGCGATTCCCCCTCCTCTTACTCCTCTCTCTTTCCGTCTTGTCTTACCACAATGTATCTCGACGTTTTTTCCCCCCTCTCTCTCTCTCTCTCTCTCTCTCTCTCTCTCTCTCTCTTTGTTTCTTTATCTCTGTCTTCTTTCACCGTCTCGTTGGAAATACCGATACGTCGGTCGAACGACCGTGCGCGTCCGTCTTCGTCGTTCTTGCTCGACCGAAGTTGGCTCGAGACGACACCTGCCTGGATTTACCTCCAATACCTGTACACCGCTGCGAGACGAACGCTCTCCGCCGCCGCCGTTCGGCTCGCTCCTCTGTCCCGGCCATTCTGTGTTCACGGGTTTCTCTCTTTTTCCCCGGTCTCCTCGCAAAACATCCTGAAACACATGTTCCGGCACCTCCGAGACGCGCACCGTGGAACGTAAAGCACCTCGCGTATACACCACCGTTTTTATTTTTCGTTTCTTTTCAATCGTTCTACCGCTCTCCTCCCTCTCTGGTCAGTTTTCCTTCTGCCGTTTCTGTATCTCTCTTACTCTGTCTTTCTCCTGGCACCCTTCACTATTCCGGCTGTCCAGTGAAACTTGTTAATTGCGGCATTATTCGCGATCCGAAAGCGATCGGAGTCTCTCGAGGCCACGTTTGTCGATAGTCGCGAGGTCCTGGTATACCCCGAGGGGATCGTTAGACGGGTATCGTGGTTCCTCGAGTATTCGAAGATCAATTAGTACCATCTTTGAGAAATCTCGATTGGTCAAATTTGCTTCCGAAATTTCGATGATGGTGTGTCCCGTGTTCTCCGTACTCGTAGCTGCGTGTAAAAACTTCGACGCGACACCAGCCGAATGTCGCGGCGGACGCGTGAACCGCGAACGAATGCTTCAAAGGCCCAAGCCGAAACGTAATTAATACGCGAGCTCTCTCGGTGTTGCTCGTCTCCGCGAGATCCGATGTAGACGTCTAGGGGGACGGGGCCGATGTTCTCGACGGTTTTCTTCCGATTTCCCAAGGGTCGAGACGGAACCGTCGGAAGAGGACTTGCTCTGTATAAGATCTACCGGGAGAAGAGAGAGCGAAACGAAGGGGTTTCCGCGGAAGGTGCAAAACACTTACTCGTAAGGGACACGTAACGGGTGCTCTTACCGTGGCTCGCGATGGAAACTCACCTCTAATTAAAATGTCTGGCAGGTTGTGCAGGCCCTGCGGCGTCCACCCTCGCAATGCTCGCGACGCTTGTGTGCCGGAGTAAGAGCTGTGTAGGGCGATGTAGTCACGATTGCGTCGAGGGGGTTGCCGTTGGGGAGGGGTGCTTGGCTTCCATGATCCAATAAGGCCGACTTAATTAACTAACTGCTAACTCGCAAGCCTGTTAGCTCATTGATTTCGCCCCCCGAGATCGTCGTCCAGCTCCGTACGTTCTCTCTTTGTTTTTGCGGACCTATCATCCCCCCTTTTCGTTGCCCCTCTAACCCTTTCTCTGCACGAATTCTCCTTTTTCCAATTCGACTCTGTGCTTACCGATCGCAAATCGTGGAGTGCTTCACCTTTACCACAGACGAGATATAAGAATAGACCTAACGTCATGGTCATAGCCAAAGGGTGGGGGGCTTGCCCCCCCCCCTGGACGGGAAAAGGTGGCTTTTGTCCCACCCTACAAGAAAAAAATTGGATTTTGCTCCCCCCCCTCCCAGAGTTATAAAATTTTTGCGTAATATTTAATATTGCATCTATGACTTTAAAAACTAAATAAAGTGTGTCTGGCTACGTACAGCCTTTTTCACTGTGGCAGTCGATGTGTTAATATTTTCACATGCATAACATGCAATGTGAGTTGCATAGTAAGTTCTATATACTTGTATATTGTACCAAATGGTTCATAATCCGTTTACAAATCAAATATTAGTATTATTATTATAAAGACCGTGGTCTTGTGCTCCTGGTTCTAATCTCGTTGGCCGGATCGGATCGATGCGCCTTGAAAAAGATCTCCCGAGGGTCGCGCGATAAATTAATGCGCTTTATCGCGGCTTCTTCAGGGTCGTTCTGGCTCGCGGAGTTTTCAAAGGGAGCCGCACTTCGGTTAATGCGAGTATGCGTCGCGGCGGGGACAACGCGTGTCTTCTTGCCTCGACACGTTTCTTTAAGTTTCGTCTTTGTGCGATTCGCATCCGTATCGTTTCGATTCTCGCGAGCTTAACGGTAAACGTTGTTCCCGCTGACGAACGATTATTCCGCGCTTCCCATTCCACGATCGACAGAATTATCCGGGAAACGGAGCTTCCACGTGACTGGAAACGGAAAGTTTAATAAGGAACGGTGGATATAAATCCCTATCCCGTCTGCGTTTCACAAAGGACACCGCTGAACAATCGATCGGGAAACTTCTTGCTTAAAATTGCCTCGGTAATAATACGCCGGATTATCGGGGGTCGACGTCGCGGTGGGCAGCGATCCGCGTAAAATACGATTACGAAAGTCCTCGTCCGATTTCGAAGCTAATCTAATCGGAATCTTGGTCGTCGCGCATAGACTCGAAAACCTAATTTGCCGTCGGCGATTCTCCAGCTGGGGCTTTCATCGGAGTCGATTCGAGCCGTCTCGAGCGTGTAACGTTCGATTCCGTTTGCCTCGCGAATGATAATTGTCCTCGTTTGTTATCGGCGTGCCCCGCGGAGGCGAGCACACTCGTTAGCGAAACCGTTCAGAATCAAAGAGACGCTGTGAAATCTCCCCGGCTCCCAGTGTTGCTAGACATGGCAAAAATTATCCCCTTAAACAAATAAAAACCCCCCAGAATTGAACAATTTTGTAAAAAATCCCCCCAAACATTTTTACTTGAATATTTTTATTTCGATAACGTTCCATTCGTTCCACGGGAAGAAGAACACTGTGACAAACGAAAATAGTACTACCAAATTAGTGAAAATTCGGTCGTAGATTTTTAGTTTTCCAACAGATGGGCACTGAACATGTTACATTCTTTTCTAAAATAGGAAACTATTTTGAACATAAAAAAAGTTGATTTCGACTTGTCTATAAAATAAAATCCCCAGATTTCCCTTAAAAAAATGTCTGCCCCTAGATTTCCCCCTGTTCATAGAAAAATCCCTTAAATCTGGGATAATAACCCCCAACCTGGCAACACTGCCGACTCCCGTCCCGCCGTGCCCATCGATGAATCGTCAGCGGACTTGATCGGGTAAATGTGTACGATGATATCGGTGGGAATGCGCGCGCTTTCAAAGTTTCGCCCCGATACCGTCGGAATGGTCTTTTCGCTCGGTATGTAAGAGGGATTGGCACAGATTTTTCCAAGGTTTTAACGCGGGGACAATTTATCGTACGATCGATGAGAAAGAAGGTCGAACGAATCTGCCGTAGCGAGAAATAAAAGTATCGAAGAGGCTTCGGCGGTCTGTAAATCTCGCCCGTAACCATTACCAATTTTAAAGGATTTCTGGCCGAACGGGAGAACCGATCGGCGGTACACCGACGAGTCGCTGCGGCTCGAACTCGTACCTAATTGGACGCCGGTTGCCGCGAAGGTAGAGAGAAGAAATTTAAACGGTGGCTGTCGGTCGAAGGAACTCTTTATTGTACGCGCATTATTAAATTGTATACAATCAATCGCATCCATTCGCAATCTTAAGACACACACTCACATATTTGCGTTTCTTCTAATAATACTGTGGCGGAGGTGTTACAGTTGGTGTGGATTATTAAAATGATTCGCTAATTAAATAGAGCAACGTTATAAATAAATTATAGGTTCGCTTAGAGTCTACCGATTAAATTACTCGCGCGGTTTCAAACATTACAACGTCCGTTGTTTACGTTAGCACATGCTCCCACAGTCCAGCCGCGAAACGTTGGAGCGACGCGACACATACGCGCCTCGTCGCGTGCTGTTTCGGCGTCGATTAAAGTACGGTCGTCGAATTACGAGCGTCGACTTCTAACTCGTCCAGTTCGTTTACGTTTGTACATCGTTATCTCGAACGCATCTGTACGCAAACTATTCTGCAATTACACGTACGATATCACGGGTGAACGTCGGGGAATTTTACGCGCGTATTCGTCCGTCGATTAATTTTCCTCGTCGGTCGAGAGAATCCGTCCACTTACAAGATTAAAACGTCGTGTTTCTCAACGATGGGATAACGACCGTGGTGGGTAATCAGATTGTGTACCCGGAATACCGCTTGTACCGTGATCCGATTTAATCCGTGTGTATCGACCGATATTACACGAGACTATTGGCCCGAGGCAGCTCGGTTTCGATCCACGTTTCGTCGGTCGTCGTCGGAATCTTTCGCGGTTGTTATCTTTTTATTTATCGCGCCGAAAATCCATCGATTCGTTCGCGTCGACGATCGAAAACCCGCGATGAGGAAACGATTCTCGTGGTCCCTTTCACTTGCAAACGGTGATCCACTCTTCCACCGTGCAATTTTGGCATTGCACGAAGCAACACCAATGAAACTTGCACCTGCACCGTTCGACACGGCGTTGTCTCACCACGTTGTATCCACGGCCGCAGCACAAGCTACCGCAACCGTCCCCGCCGGAGCTGGTCTTGTTGCATCTACGACCCGCGGTGCCAGGGATGTCCGCGGTGGGATCCCTCTCGCAAAAGTTCGGGGACTTTTGGTAATAGAACAGCTGCTTGGCGAGGTCCCTGGGCCTTCTTTTACGACCACCACCGTTTCCCGCGGCGCCACCCTCGCGATGCTTCCTCTGTCTCTGTCGATCGGGCCTTCTTCTTCGCGAACCTCTCGCTCGGCTCAACGGCGTCACGCTACCCATGTTGTTGCTCTGCGCGACCAGCACCGCCTTCCGGAAACGATCCTTCAGCGTTTTGCCGACCACACGGAAGTCCGGGGCCACCTTCCAGCAGGTCTTCAGCTCGCAGGAACCGGACATACCGTGGCATTTGCAGCGCACTTGCATGTTGCTCGCCACTGCCTGAAATTCCATCGATCGATTGCTTTCTCTCTTTCACGTTTTCTTTCTCTCTATCGTGATCGAATTATCGACTTAGGGGTGGAAAAAAAAAGCAAACCGATGACGCGTCGGAAATCCGGTCGTGATATGGTTAGCAAGAAAAGAGGTAACGTCGATGGGCACGATATTGTGTCCTCGTAATAATCATTAAGTTGTAAAACTGTCCCTTCAGGACCGTGCAATGTCAATTCGGTATGTGTTACGTATAATTTTTATAAAAATATACTAATTACTATTCAGTAGGAGGCGACAGAGGCTAAATACTGTGTGTTTTTGTTGAAATATTCTAAGCAAAAGTTTTAAATATTAATTCGCAAATAATGTTTGCAGTCTGAGATTCAGGGCGCTTCTAGGCGTGTTAGGGCCCCTTATGACGCCCCTGCTACCCCAGGCAATCCCTTCATTCGGTGACATGAATCGCGACTCTAATAAACGCTTAATTTTACGAGGACACAATATCGTGCCCATCGACTTTATATACCTCTGCGTTGTGGTTCTCACGCGAACCATCGCTTACGAGCATCATTTCTGATGTGCAAAGCGCTCGCGCTCGCTGGTCAAGAGTCGCACGAACAGAGATGGAGAGGAGGAGACGGAGGGGGGCAATTTTCTTTTAGACAAAGAGGTGTCGCGCACCAAACAGTTAATGAGTCTACGGCTGGGTGGTCCAGCCCCGGGCTTCGTCTTAATAACGTCGAGGCGAGACCGAGCGTGGAGAGGCTGCGCAGAGGAGAAGAACGGACTCGGCACGACTGCTCTCCTACTCCTCTCCACCCCTATTCACCGACCCCTTCTCTCCCTTTGCGTGCGCTCTCTCCCTTTCACTCTTTTTCTCGACGTTTTTCCGTCGTTCTTGTCGCGATATCATCGAATTTAAATTCTCGCTGAAGCGTGTAAATGATCAACGGTATACCAGCAACCATAGACGAGGTATAGGAGTAGACATTTCATCTTATTGGAGTTGGTGGCCCACCTAAACTATAGTACCGACACCTTAAAAAGCCTATGATTTTAGCGACGTCTCCGTTTTGAGAACGGTGAATCTACAGTGGGTAATGACACTAAAATGGAAATGGGGTACGTAACCCCAGAAAAGTAGGCCGTAAAAATACATTGGATGAAATGTCTATTCCTATACCTCGTCTGTGCAGCAACGAAACGAACAAAAATTCTGTGAGAAGAAGCGAATTGTCACCGGAACGAAAGATTTCTTGGTCGACAATAAAATTCGAGACGAGAAAAAGGCTAAAAGAAAGAGGGAGAGTTAAATGGAGAGAATGAGGTAGAGGGAAAACGAAAGGTAATCGAAAGTTCGGCTTACCAAGCGGCCAGCTTGATTGTTGTGGAGATTGACCGTCGACTGTATATCCCCGGCCCTCTCGCGCGTGTCTAGGAACTGTCTCGAGAACTCCATGCCGTAGTCGAGGTTGTGAGAGCAGCCGCCCCACTTCCATTGGGTGCCCCTGGCCTTGGCAGGTGGTTTACCCTTGTAGCTGGACGGGTCGCATCCACAGGAGAGTAGCCGACCCATGCTGCACGCCCGGGCCACGTTGTGCGCCACCCCAGCCGCTGAAATCGCGAACGCGAACGCGGTCTCTCTGTAACCTGAAACGCGTAATCATATCACTTAGATTAGTATTCAAATTTCGAGAAAGTCTCATATTATTTTATCGAATTCTCGAAAATAATTCGGACATTTTATGAAGCATATATATAGTAAACAATGCGCAGGTTTGTATCGAACACGGGGGGACAATCAAGAGAGAGATATTTATTGATCGCATTGGGATAAGATCCCCTCAGGCGCTAGGCAGAGTATATATATTGTTTAATAAATAGAAAAATCGCGGCAATAGCAGTCAGTTGTGCTTCTAAATAGTACAATAATGTGGAGTGTGGGTCCGAGTGGCAAGTAGAATAGTTATATGCAATCTTAGTCTTAGCGTGTCTTTTGTGTTTACTTAAATACAGTTTAGATTGAATTACACTTTGCACCTTTTGATTCGCGAAGCCCATCTAAATCCCACAATAATATAAAATAAAGCAAACTAAAGTCAGATAACAAAAACGAAAGAAAATAAGCATGCTATAAATGAAATTATTATGACAACAAAGATGAAGATATAAATAGCACAGAAGATTGATAAGTGGCAGACATGGTTCTGAGATATTAACTCAATAATTTGAAAGTATTCATAGAGTTCATGTAAATTTCTGTTGCAAGTGGTTATGCGATAGTCTAATTTATTTACCATGTAAGTAGGGATACCAGTTCTTAGGACACTGTACATTAGGCAACCTAGAAAATAGAGTCTCCTGGAAGCAACTTTCAGCCATTTAATCGTTTGATTTTAAGGCGTGTACGTCCCTTCTGGCATCAAATACAAAGACAGAGAGAGGGGTGGGGGTATGATCGAGACGCAGTGACCGGTTAGCAAATTGCTGCTCGTCCACGGACAGGGAGAGTAATATACGCGAGCGAAGGTATACGCGACAGCCCCCGATCGCATTCGTCGTTTCTCTCGCGAGCGACGAGAACGCGAAACAGCGGGACACCGGTGGAGCCGAGCTTCCGTAGAAGGAGCTTTGGTACCGAGACCGACGAATCGTTCGACGGATCGGCCGACAGACAGCCATCAGACAGAGTTCAGAGGTAGATTATTCAGCCGTCCGTCAAAACAAAGCGTGGCCATCAGCAGCGGCGGCCGGCGGGCATCCGTTTGACTGCATGTATAAACGATCGCCCGGTGGGGTTCCCGAAGACGCGATGCCAAACTCTGTCCGCGACTCTCTGTTTGCTTCTTGCATCTGATCCCGACGTGGGTCGCGCGCGTTTTTCGTTAACGACGTTCGATAATCGAATCGTGATCGGTGTACACGTATCTTTTCTATGCCCGAATCCCGTATTAATATACGGGGTGAGTCATATAACGTTTGCACCTCAGATATCTTTGTTGTTTTTAAAGGTACGTTAAATGTTTCAAGGACAAAGTTGAGTCAATAGGGCTCACACGATGCTAAAAATATGTTTCTTTTTATGTCATTTTCTTTAGAGATATCAAGATCATCTTCATGTTTTTAAATTATTATTTTGTTGTTGTTGAATGATCTTGAATAATTATAGTCACTGAATTCCTAAGGAAAGAGACTATCATTGTAGGTGTTCAAAAAAGGGTGATACCATTTAGAAAAATGAAAACGACCTTGATATCTCTATAAAAAATGACAAAATCATTTAATGGGATTGCTGGATTGGGCGGGGGGGGGGCAGGAGGACTTGGCATGTCCTTTTATACCTAATCTGGGGATCGGCGTTTTAAATGGTTGACTCATCTATATTAGAAAAAGCTATCTGCTTCTTTCTAAACTTGGAATGCCCGTTTCAAGGAGATGCGCAGTTTATATTTCTAAGTCTATGAAGTGAACGAAGACAGAGGTTACTCAACCGGATTATTTGCATCGTAGAATTCGGGAATTCGTTTATCGGGGAACAAGAAGTCCCCCCGATGGACCATTTCGGTAAGTAATGCGACGTCAAACGCACTTTTTCTTCGGTATCTCCAAGGTCTCTCGTCCTCGAAGCGTCGCTGGAGTCGGATTGACGAATGGCCGATCGTCAAACCGCAATGGTGGCTGTCACCTTACAGACGATACGACACACGACTGGCCCCACGGGCCCTGTTCGTATACGCGGATCGAACTGTCTCCTTTCTCCTCGGCCGTTCGACAATGCCCACACATTAAACTCTACCCCCTCGGTCCCTCCTTCGAAAGAGTTACTCCAATCCACGTATACCGGGCGGTATTTGCAGTATTCATGAGAGCGAGTTACCGGGGAGAGCGCGCTAAAGGCGCATTCGAAAGGATTTGTGGTATTCGTTCTCGACACCCGATGAGGCACTGCCCGCTGTCCGTTACGTCGATCCCCCCACCCCCCTTCATCCACCCTTTCCTTCAACGAGCAGCCCTTTTGTTCTGTTCCGTTTTGAATCCATGTTTCGAACGCGACTCGCGACAGGAGCCCGTCGAAGGAGGGGAAAGACGATTCTCAACGAACCTCCTTAATTTTGTCTTTATCGATTCCCTTTGAGAAAGGATTCTCCCTCCACGTGCAACGAGCCGATCGTCGATATCCCCGTGACTCGCAGCATCGCGAATCCCCGTTCGAGAGTTCTCTGAACGTCTCCTTTTACCACCGGCGAGTATTCCGACGTCGAAGATTCGTTGGTCTCTCGTCGGATTCGCGCGGACGGACCCGATCGACAGGACGAGCCGCTTCGGCGGGCGAGATTGGACAGCCGGTAGTCGATTACGTCTGCCCTTCGTCGATCGTACGAAACTCCGGCGCGACGTTAAAGACTCCTGGCTCGACGCAGAACTCACGGGAATCGAACAGATTTTTTGGAGATGGCCGGATCGATAAAAACTTCGACGACGAGGAGGAGGAAGAAGAGGAGGACGAGGAGGATCAGAGATCTCGAGGGTTCCCGCGGAGGTCCCCCGTAGCAGGGTAAAGCGGAGCGTTTGGAACGAGGCCGGATATCGGTGGCTTCGTTTCGGGGAATGATAACCTTCTTCGTGCGGCGAGGACCGGCTTCCGAGACCAGAGAGAGAACGAAAACACAGTTCTCTTTATATGGGCTCGCGGTGGGAAGGGTTGCTGAAAGCTTACGCTTTATACGGCTATTGGCAGCAACTGTTTTATAATGCAGATGGCTGCTGTTGCTGCTACTGCTCGATGGCAAGAGGAGCACGAGGGACTCGTAATAAATCCTCCACGGGGAGTTGTACGTCTCTTCTCGTGGACAGTGGAGGGAAACCGCGATAGGAAGAGGAGGAGGAATGAGTCCGAGGTGCGCAGAGGGCCACGCACGCTGCCTTCCTTTACTCTTCGGCCCTTGACGCTGGGACACGGTGACGGATGGCGCGCAGGCCTTGCTACCCTGTGTCAGGCCCAAATCACTGTTTAGATAACTCAATAGATAGCGTACCGGGTACGAGCCGAGGTAACATCCACGGGTGCGTGTGCCTACGTTTCGGTTACGTTCTTCTCGGTCATAACAACTTTCCCCGTTGTTCTCGTATACTAGATCTTCGGGTTTTTAAGATGTCGGTACTACAGTTTAGGTGGGCCACCAATTCCCATAAGACGAAATGTCTACTCATATACCTCGTCTGTGACTACAGAAAGTGTTTCAATTTTCAAATCGAAATGATTACACGATTTGATCGTATATATTATATTTGGAGCCAGTAGTTTCACTTTTCTCCATGCAAATTCTTTCTCATATTTTTACCCTGTCATCGTTCCTCGTGAATAAACGAACAGTTCAGTATCGTGTCTCCTAGTAGGTCGCGTTGTGTGTGTGGGCCTCTGGGATCAGCAGATGAGGATAAGAAGGAGGAGGAGGATCGTTTCGTGTACATTTCATAACACATTAAGTCGTTTTACCGAGGTTTAACGAATACGTGGCAAAAGAGTGACGCTGCGACAGGGCCGAGGAGGGGACGACGGGTCGAACGGGCGGGTCGCGGGGAGGAGAACGGTGAACGGAGCAACGAGAGGGCAAGAGAACCGTGTCCGAGAGATTTAACGACGCGCGTTCTTTTCGAGATACGAAGCCAGCACGGATTTGACACGGTGGATTTCTCGAACGACCGCGGACCCTCCTCGCCCGGCCACCGGTGTCGTCTTGAAAAAGCTGCGTGGAACCGTTGGTAATGGTGAAGTACGGCCCGTTTCTTGGAGGCTGCTGCCCTCTGACTTTGGGGACGAACCACGGACGACGATCGACCGTTCTCTCGGATAATCGGCGAATACCGGCCTCTGCTCGAAAAATCGTCCGACGAATTAGACGCGTTCGTAGTAACATCTCGTTCCAATCGTCTGGTCCCAAGATTGGGAAAGGGCCTCCTACCGCTCGATAAATTTATTCCCGATACCGAATGTTCATTTGGTATAAATTACAGTAACTCCGAGACCAAATGGTAGGAGATTCTTCCCTTACATCACTTTTTCCCCTAGTGGAAGCCAAATTTGCTCGCGAGGGTTCACATACGTCCGTCGAACAATAACTCGGGTGGATGAAAAAGAAAAAAAAAAAGAAAAAAAGTCGTGGAATCGACACCTCTACTTGGCCGGTCAGCGAAAAAAAGGTGTACCGATCCACGGAGACAGATAACGAGAAGAGGAGAACAGACGTGGCGGCCCGGGCACCGAGATCGTGGGCTGCGAACGGACGATCTTTAGCTTTCAGGTCAGGTGCGCTCGGTGTCGCGCTCTCGCGCACTCGTTCGACACGATATATGTTTCCTCTTTCGACGCACGTACGCGCCACGACGAATTTATATGTCACACTGGAATAGGACAGTCGAGGGGGCAATCTTGGTCTCCTCTCGTCCCTCCCGGTTCCTCCACCTTTCTCTTACGGATTTGGGACAGGTTCTCGGAGCTGTCCGCAACCGAGGAGGACGCGCACACACACCGTATTCTGATTTAAGGAAGCGCGGCGCGGGTCTCTCGCCTACGCCGTTTCGTCGACGTCAACGACGTCGTAAAAGATTTCACCTTTCCTCGTTCCCCTCCCTCTCTCTGAATGCTCAAAAGGAGCAGGTAAACCGTGGTGGCTCCATTTATGTATGTTCGCGCGTGCATTTAACATTTCGGTCGCGAGATATACATACATACAGTTAAGTTTGTAATCTCCCGCCTATTTAACATACCGATAGTCGAATACCGACCGCAATGTCATCAGCGGTCACCATTAGGAAATAAAAACTTTTATTACTTCTTGTTGCTATCGTCGGACAAGAGACACGTGTTGGCTTATTTTTTCTCTTGTTATCCATCATACGTATGGAAATCATACAGTTCTCACTGTTGAGACTTTCGGGTTTAAGTCGTATCCTTGTGGAATTGTTTTCCCAACTTTCTGGAAGCATTGGGAAAACAATTCCACAAGGACACTGTTTACACACGAAATCCTGAACATTGAGAACTTCATGATGCCGGGCCGTGAAAGCCTCTAATCTCCGATCGTATGGAAATCCTTCCTCGTAATCCAACACACACGTATCTCTCTTTCTATCCCGTCTTTGTTACGACCGTTTTTCCCTTACCTCGCTGAAGAAGAACGCTGCTCTGCTGTGTTCTACTGCTTGGCTTCAGGGACGAACAGTTCCACCTGTGCCACATGAACTGATGCTGGCACTCGGATATAGCTATTTGCAGACCTTTGATCGCGGCCACCGTCACGTCCGGGCTTCTGTGGCATAGATCTTTTTGCTCCTTAGTCAGGCCTGGAATACCGTTGCAGACCACGGCATTCCCGCTCACCCAATCGTCCACGGAGTTGCTCATTAAACAGGTCGCACTGCGAATCAAACGAAATTTACCAATTAACGTTCTCGCGTCGGTATGGGCCGCGAAACGGATCTTGCGACGCGGGTAGATCGCTGCGCGCTCGGGTTTTCCCACGAGGCGCACGCGTTCGATCGCTTTGAGTGATTTTACATTCAGGGAATTCAGCCGGGGAGACATTCCTCGTACTTACCGCGCGCGATCTCCTTCCGATTCCTCCCTTCTGTCTCTCTCTTTCGTTCTCTACCCTCGTTCTGTGCTCCCCTTTACCGAACCGCGTGGACCACGGTTATCGAATTCCCGATCGCGAACGCGGCTGCTTTCGGATTCATCGTCGATTAACGAAACACCGTGCCTTTAAGTAGCTCTGCCACGCCTTCGACGTTTCCACGGACCTGAACGTGAAAGTTTTGCGCTTCCGACGTTTCTCCGAACGATCAGAAGTTTATCGTCAGGACGCTTGTAGAGACAATTACTTCGTAAGCAAGTATGTTATAAATGAAATTATTATGAGTACTACCAGGCGATAGAATCCTAGAGGGAATCGATTGCAGCGTGTGCACTTTGAGCCGCGGGTGCATCTACCGAAAGCCGGGTCTGCTTTTCTTTAGGCAATTTTACGAGGCCGAGGTCGAAAGGTGCGATAACTCTCAAAGAGCCGCTGGAATATATCTGCTCGTTTCTTTCTCCGTTCAAAGACCCTCCACCCGTGTATGGGTCGCCTCACCGTTACCCCTTTTCCAGCCCCCGTCCTCCTCTCTTTCGCATCGTCGCGATAACGCCATTCACCTCTCGGAAGAAGAGCTCTTAAAGCGCTATCTTAAGCGACAGCTTCTGCCAAATGGCGGCACATTACCGGGCACCGGGTGTTAATTAATTTTCAGATAAAGAAAGCCGAGGGAACAGCCCGTGCTGTGTCGGTATCGTCGAGAGAGGGTGCGCCGAAATATACGAGCTCGATGGTCGGCCGTGCGCTCGAAAACGCTCGGAACTCTCGCGGGATCGTCGAGCTGCAGCAGTCAGCTTCGTCAGGCGTCGCGTCGACGGGAAGAGGGATCGTGAGGTGTGTGTCGGGTCGCGAGGTTATTTTATTTGCTCGCGACAACGAAGCCGGAATGGTCAATTTTTGTCCCGCTCGGGTCCTGGGGGTCCTTCGGGGGGTCTCGAGGGATGTCACGGACGGGCGCAAGATTCTCGGTGGGTCTGGTGGTTATCTGCGGGTACAAATTAGCCGACGAGCTTCTCCTAAAGTAAAAGCTGTGTATAGCACCCGCGCGAACGAGGAAAAGAGAGAAATGAAAGATATAAAGGGATCCTCAGGGGGGGGGGGGGGGACAAAAGGAAAGAAGAAAGAGGATGAGCGTAACCGGTGAGGAGGACACGGGGAACGGGATTGCAAGGTCTCTTGGCGATTTGGTTTCGGTGCGTAGTGTGGGAAAGAACGGACCGCGGAGGAGGACGAAGATTTTAGGGTCGCAGAGGTTATTGAGGGCTACCATTACCGATACACAGTTGCACCGTTGCTATCTTTCGCGCTATTGATGATCTACCGAAAGCAGATTAATGATCTCAACTCACCGAAACAAATTACCGAAGACATTGCGTACGTGTAGCAGTCCGACCGCGTCGACGGACTGCTGCGTTACCTTTTCTCATCGTTGTATCTCCGTTGTCGCTTCGTTCTTTTCTTTTTGTTTTCATTGCGACGGATGTTATTTAATTTCAGACAGGGAATGGATCGATCAAGAGTTTTTCACGGTCGGAAAGTATCGCGGGTATATTAGCGGTCAATTTTAATCGAGCCACGATGTTTCCACTATACAGGAAATCCTTGATGAGCGTTCGAAGGCTCCTCGGCACTGAACATTAAATATTTCATAAACTAATGGTTATATGCGGCTGAAAGAAATATCATTGGCTTCAGAATTCCAAGCTCTGTTACTAGACTGCGGATTTTATGCATTTATAACCCCATAGAGCTCTGTGAAATGTAATAGAAAACATAACTTTCATCGGATCCAATGAGTTTTCTATTCACTGCGCTAAACCTCATTAAAAAGTCAGCATTACACCTGGAGACCTCTTCTAGTCAGTGCCAAGGATCCTTCGAACACTCATCGAGAATATACTGTACATCGTGGAACGACGAAACACACATCGCGAAAATCATCGAAGAGCAACAGTGTCCGTATCTATAGATCAGTTTCTTCGAAACCGTGGGAAATCGTCGAACAAATCAAAGGTTGAACACGCGAGAACCGGCGCGTCCTGCATTTTTGCAATGATTCAAGGGGTCGCCGAAGAATCCAACATGGCGGCGGGGTTGCACGTGTTTTATTTAACTTGCTCGCGAGCAAACAGACCGGGCACGAGGGACCGAGACGGAGAAAGAGAATCACGGAACGGAATTTCGCGTTTAATGGAGGTATACCCGCGGAGAGAGAACTCGTTACGACTGACCCGCGAGAATTCCTGCGGCAGATATCGAATCCGCCTCGGTTCTTTTACGTTTTCACGCGAAGCGGTTGCCGCCGTTGCGATGCTCCTTCGTTCCAAACATGTTCGAACTTCTTTCGCGCGAGAACCGCCGAAACAACCCATTGGACGTGTTCCGTTCGTTTACCCTTGATCGGTGCACAGAGGCTCGTCCCTTCCTCCCCTCCGTGAGGGGAGGGGGTGCTAAGCACTACGTGTCTCGTAAACTGGTTTATCGATCATTGCATCACGGGAATTATTCGATGGTGTAATTCGATACACAGTTCCGTAAATACGCCCGATGCGCACGCGTGCTTCTATCTACGCGCGTGCATGCGAGCCGCCTCTGCAACGGAGCAACTTGTCGTCGGTACACGTACGGCCTTGTTCCCGGATGCTGTTTGTAATTATTTACGAGGAGCCGCGTGGGCAACCAAGGCGAATATGTCGGAGGTCTCGTCGTGTTCGGACCGCGTCGCGTATGCCCGTAACGCCCTTATATCTTTCAGACGCAACATCGCCGCGGATTGTCGAAAGAATGCACCCTTGCCAGCAAACTCGGCTTCCGCTAGGAGACAAAGCGACGTAGAAGAACCTCCTACCATTGGTAAATTTATTTCAGGTACTGAAACAAATGTTAAATCGAATGTTAATTTGGCAGAAATTTCAGTAATTCCCAATACCCCCTACGCTACTTTTTTCCTTAGTGGAAGTCTAAAAAAGGTCCTCCTATCACTTGGTATTCGGGGATTACTGAAATTTATGCAAAGTTAACGTTCGATTTAACATTTATTTCAGCACCTGAAATAAATTTACCTAGTGACAGGAAGCCTTTTTCTTACGCCGCTTTCTCCCCCAGCGGAAGCCGAGTTTGCTCGCGAGGGTGCGTGTATGTATGGCATCGTTGTTACGCGCCAGAGCGAAGACGAGCAGCGAATTTCGTTACAGGCAGAACCGACCGGAAGAATTTATCGCGACCCGAGCGAACGGATTTATCCCGTTTAACTCACCTGTCCGGTCCCAGGAAGACGGTCGATTTTCAGCGACCACGCGGTCAGGGAATGTCAATCGCGCGAAACGAACCGATTCATCCGACGATTCTTTTGCCGAAAGAAAGATTCGATTAGAGCGTGGAGGGCGCTCGACACGGTGCCCGGCATGGAGCGAACCAGAGATCGGGGAGGCATAATGAAGATCGCAGCGGGATCGTTCGTTGTCCGTGCCACGGAGCCGGTTGAAAGGGCCTATTTGCACTTCGTCATTGTGCTCTCGGTCGGAGCCGTCGATGCGTCCGCCGGCTCGTCGCACCGTCTCTATTGACAGATTCTTTCCGCAACAGACGGAAACTGAGTGGAACACAGAGAAAACGGCGAGAAGAAACGGAGGAAGTCGTGCGGTACCGGCGTGCTCGTAAATTTTTCTCGGCGTAATTGAACACGACGATTTGCAACCATAACTCTATCGAGCCTGGAAGCTGTGTCTTCATCATCGTCTTTTCGCCCTAATCGTTTCTCGCTTCTCCTTCGACTTGGCCCAACCCTTATTCCTCTACCGTTTCTTTTCGGCCATCGTCGTTGAATTCGATAATAAACCGCTGTAGGAATAATGCAAAGAAGGATCGAAGCGACTAAATAAAAATCGTTTCGCGAATATTCGTGCGATTGTACGGTACAACGCGCAGTTTCGTCGAGAGCAGCCAATGTGGTTCATCTTTTACGACTCGGACTTCGCGAGGTATACTGTAAATAAATATTCTCGATCGGATCGAGTCTCAACAAGTCGCGACTGATAGAGATAGTATCGAACGGAAATGATTTCGCTCGAAGAGTTTAGAGGACGAACGATCCAACGCGGCCCCTTGTAACAATAACAAAAGCCGAGAAGGATAAGATAAAAGAAGTGGTCTGCTGTCCGTTGATCGAAGCTTGTATCGAAAAGATGGATCACGATCGGCTGATGCGGTGGCGTTTACTTACCGACGATTCTCAAGTAGAATGAGCAACAAGGCGATGGTCGGTCCGATTCTGGTGACGATCCTAGACGGCGGTCCTTCGTAGACGTAGCGTCCTGATCGAGAAGAAGGCATCCTGTCATCGCCCCGAGGACGTCCCTTATTCTTTTGCGCGGATTTGCCCACTTTGGAAAAAAAAAAAGAGTCGAGTGCGACCCCTCGTCCAGGGCTGCACACCCCTAGCACCCGAACGGAAGGACCCCTCTCGCTCGAGAGACGGTGCCGCGATCGCGTCTCTTTCTCTCCTTCTTTCTCTCTGTTTTCTGTACGGGTTCTTTTTTTCCGAATCCCTCTCCTACTCTGCTTCGTCTCTCGTCTCCGGCGCGGTGCCTGTGATCAGCAGCCTGGCACGCGTCGAGGACTCCTCCTCGCCCCGGGCACCGGCGCTTCTGCTTTGACGTTCCGTACGATTCTCCGAGAGCTTCCAGTTTCGCCGTTTCGAGGGGTCGTTCCGAAAGCTACCCCGGGACACACAATATCCTCGATGACGATCGAACCGGTCGTCGACCGACCACCGTGGTAGAATCTTTCACCCCGTTCGCACGACGCGAGTTTCTTCCTTCGCGTCCTTGTTTCCTGTTTTGCAGGATACTACCCGTAACTTGTCGGCACGTTCGAAAATACGTACCGTTTTTACTCTTGTCGGGTATTAGCCGGACGTGAGCTACTTTGGTTTCGAAATGTCCCTCGTCTTTGGAGAATATGAATACTGTTGTCGGTTGACGAATTACGAGACAGCGCTAGTCCGCCGTTAGGATCCCGATTCCGGAATACTTTGTCGATTACTTCACTAACACTTGCGATCGTCACGATAATCGTTGCGACGATTCACCCTCGGTATTTAAACATTCTCCCGCGACTTCTTTCTCCGCGATCGATCGGACCGGTGGTCACTCCGCGACATCCCACGAGACGAAAGTCACACTTCCGGATCTGGCGGAGGGAATAACTGCGACGACAGGATATTTATCCACTGCCAGCCGTGGACAGACGAGACGCGGCAGCCTTGTTCGCCGCGTTCGTTCCCAGGTATCGCGACATTCTGATCGTCGTCCTTGCACCCTTGACTGCGGCGTGGAGGACCGGTCGGTGGTGGAGCTCCGGCGTTTCCTCCGCTCCCGTTTCTGGTCTCGTTTTTCTCTGCCCGCGGGCGAGGCTCGCGGACGAACGATTCCGTCGACAGAGAGAGAAAACGGAAGAAAAAAAAAAACGGTATATATATCGACGCACGTCTCTATACTTCCGGTGTGTGTGCGCGTTCACGACGAAGTGTCAAGCTCAAATAAAAGAAAAGTCGCCCTCCGGGATCTCTTACTCCTCCCACGCACTCATCCCCCTCCTTCGGCTCGTGTTCCTCTTCCACCGTTGGTCTCGGTCCGTCTCTTTCTCTATCTTTCTCTCTCCCTCTCTTTCCCCCTGGCGCGCGTACCACCGCAGCTATCGTTTCGTTCGTGCAAACAGTCGAATAGCAAACTTCCCGTGGTCGCGTTCCGTGTCCACGGCACCGATCCCGCGAACGTGTCTCTTCTAGACCGGCGCGGCGAGCGTGTGTTTCTTCGTCGGCGGGAAAAATACCGGGCGCCCTGCGCGAGGTCTCGAACGGTCGCGAGCAGAGATCGGACCGAACCGGAAGTGGATAAAGGTATCGATCGAGAAGAAGGGTACGAAAGAGGGAGGAAAGTGTGCAAGAGCAGCGTAAGGATGACAAACGATGGCGTTTGCGATGGTGAACGGAAGAGAACGTCGAAGGAGGAGGTTCTCAAGAAGAAAAGGAAAGTTTGGTGGAAAAACGAACGGTGGATATAGAGATCGTACAGAGGAAGAACGCGAGCGCGATGACCAGAGAGGACACCCAAGGAAAGAGATCGCGACAGGAGATCCACGATCTGTGTTCACTTCCGTTATCCTCGTTGTTTCCGCGTTCGTTTATCCCGACACGCTACTGCGAGCCGAAGAAGAGATGGACAGAATCTGATGATTCCACCTCCGTTCAAGCCCGACGAGAAGCTGTCAGGGAGATCGGTCTGTCTATGATGAACTCGGTGCGCAGTGCGCGGCTACGGGGGCCCTCCTCGCCCTCCCATAGGGAGAGAAAGGAGAGATAGGGAGCGGCAGGCACGAAGAAACCAACTACCCCCCCACCATAGCCACCACCATCCGGACACGACCCACCACTACCGTCGGCCACCACCCTGAGAGATTCAAACCGAAGGGACGAGGACGGACGATCGCAAGTGAAACCACGAACGGAGATAGAACGACGCTACTGGCCGAGAGACGGAGACGACGAACCGAGATGGAGAGCGCGGAGAAAACCGGAGACCGAACGTAAGACGAGGAAAGACGGACCAACGGACGGAGAGAGCCTGTAGGCTGCTTCTGCATCTCCTTCTCTTTCCTCCCACTTTCGACCATCTTTTTCTTTCGAATTCTCTCCTACTCTCTCTCTCACTTTTACTCCCTCCCCTCATCCCCTTCTGTCTATCTCTTTCTCTCACTGTGTGTGTGTGTGTGTGTGTGTGTGTCTGTTTCTCTGTCTGGAAGGACTGCCTGAAAACGCCTCCTCGCAGACCAACAGGTATTTCGCGTCGATGCTCCGATTGTTTTGCACCTTACTGTCCTCCCTCTCCTCGTCGCGGAATTTTCTTCCTGCACGGCGATCGATCGTCGAAATCTCTTTTCGTTCACGACAGTTTCTAACGGCACACGTTCGGCTGTCTGTCTTTGCTTGCCCGCGAAAGATCGTCGCAGTTTCCACCGAGCGACTCTGCACGACTCGTATTTCCAATTAGGATTCGTCGCGATTTCTTCGTCCGTCTTTTCCTGCTTCGAATGGTAGAGGCTGAAGAGTGAGAAGGAGAGACAGGAAGGAAGCTACGATGGATGGAAGGAAAGAAGGAAGGAAGGAAAGAAGGTTGCCCTCGATCACGTGGCAGGAAAAGTAGGAGGAGCGAACTTCCCCTACCTAGCATCCCCCGGAGGATGCTCAATCGGCATAATTAAGGTTTATCTCGTTCCCTAACTCCACTTTCCGCCTACTCCACCCCAGCCGGTATCTCTCCCGTTCCTTCGTTCCGTCGAATTCTGCACACGCGTACAGCTTCCGTCGGATCGGAGAAGAGAGTTTCGCCGTTTCTTATAGACGTCGTCGTATCGCGAGTGCTCGTTATTGCTCGTACGGATTTCTCCCTGACGGGATTCTCTGGACAACGATTGAATGATTACACGAATCGTAACATTCACCGAAACGATTAGAAGTCTGTCCCTTTCGATTTGAATTAATTTCCCGTGAGCAATTAGCAGCGGATTCGATACTATAAACGGCACACGAAAATCTCGTTCGGCTCCGCGATTATCGGGGCGGATACAAGAGAGCTCCTTGCTCCCCTCGGATCCAAGATACCTCTTCGTCGTCCCCACCCTATTGCCCCACGAGTTTGTCCCTTTTCCACTGTCGTTCCTTCGGCACGGTCGGATCAGTGGAAGCGCGGGTTTCAGTGACGTGATCTCTGAGCTGGCAATTAGTCGCAACAACTCCGTTTCGCATAGCTCCGGCCTATAGTAACCCCCAGCGTGGCACGTGGTCGAAGATCAAACGGCGTCCTGATACAAAGCAAACGCGGTCGGGGTCTGCGGACGGTTCGTAGATGCGGCTTCGCTGATCGTCGGATTCGAAACGATGCCGGGAAACTCATTTAATACCGGCACGCTGGCAATTTACCTCCGTCTAATTAGAGTTCGTGTGCCAATGAATGGAAATGCGTCGCTAAGCGATCCGGCGAGATAGGATGGGGGTGGGGGGAATATCGACGATCGTTTCTTCTGTGAGATTCCCTTCGATGGTTACATAGGTACATACCCTTGCGAGCAAACTCGGCTTCCGCTAGGGGGAAAAAGTGGCGTGAGAATAAGGGCTGTCACTTGGTAAATTTAATTCAAGTGTTGAAATAAATGTTAGAATAAATGTTAATTTGGCATAAATTTCAGAAACTCTAGAAACTAAGTAGAAGCCCTTTCCCTATGCCACTTTTTCCCTAGCGGAAGCCGAGTTTGCACGTCAGTGTACAAATCCATCCGTGCGTCACGGATTTTGGAACGTCCGCTCGTCGTTCACGGCGCAAACGGATGGTAACGGTGACTCCGTCTGTCAGGGAAACACGCTGAAATTTGTTCCGTCCTGCGCCTCACGATTATTTGCTGTGGGGCTAATTAGAATCCTCGAGCGAGTAAACCAGTCTGCGTTCGATCTCGAGGGTCTCGCCCCGACGTCGTCTCAGGGAAAAGGAGAGGGTCGAGCCAGCCGGTCGAATGCCGCGCGAGGTGACGATAGGGATGATCCGATCCAAGTAAATACAAGTAAATAATCGATACTTTCGTTTCGGTACCAAGTATTTTTAGTATAAATACTTTCGAAAAAACGTACTGATATCGAATGGAGCGAGTAATCGATACGACAGCTAATGAATGTGAAGGTGGTTGTTGTCCAGTTATAAATATTCGTTAATAAAATACATATCATCGTTAAAATCAGAGATGGACAAATTTATTATCTGTAAAAAGAATTTCCAGTAACGAATAAAATATATGAAAAGTACGTTTTTAATCGTTCAAACATGGGAATTCCAATTGTTACAACAAAGTAATATTTCTTCTTGAATGAGTAGATACTTGGCAAACAATTATTTAATCTCATCAACTGTTTAAAGCTCAGGATGACTGGTTAAAGTGTGTTATGTTAATAAACCATAAAGTTTGTATTCATTTTCCTTCGATGCAATTAGATACCGATACTTTTGATGTGATACTAAGTAGATATCGATACTTTTTTCAATAAAAGTTATGAGTAAAAGTATCGATACCTTGTCGGTATCGGTTAATTCCTAGATGACGACGTTCTTGTGGACGCAAACGAATTTCGTAAGGCCAAGGCAATCGTGGTACGTCTCGTGTAGGAGCGATATCGTTAAAATGTATTTGTCGAGGCACGCGGGCCCGTAGCGCGGTCCGTGCCTTTTTCTTCGTTGCGCGCGCGAGAACCACCGACTACGTTCCATTCGTTTGGTAGTGGACGTTCA